GGCGGTGAACTGTTCTCTCAACGGCCAAACTCCCTTGGCATGCTTATCTCTCTATTTTGGCCGATTTCTACTTTTTCCAGCCGCCTCCTCAAGCCTAGTAGAGGCTATGTCAAGGGGTATATATACATTATTCTAAACACCAAACCTTACACCTTCATACAGCTGCCTACTGATATCGTGCAGTAAGCCAATATTGCAGCGAATAAGACATTCATTTAGCAACATTGACAATAATTTAAAATTTTTATGCCTGAAAAACAAGTTTTGTGTATGTAAAACGTATTCAACACAAAACGTTTCAGGTGTCGGAGTAGACGACATGTTCATCATTGTCCAAGCGTGGGAAAACCTGACTCCAAAACAACGTAAGAACAAGCGTGAAGCGGCGGCCCAGGCGATGAAACACGCCGGTGTGTCCATCACGGTCACCTCCATAACCGACCTGGTGGCCTTTGGAATTGGAGCAACAACGGTAAGTATTCGTGGACCATTGTATCAAGTTCTTTATCTTGCGCCGCCAAAGCATGTGCGTCTACATAGATAGCCAGACTTTGCGTAATATCTAGCACTTCTTTTACTTTGAGATAAAGTACTACCTAGATCCTGATACATTGTACATGACTGTCGGTGACTGAGTCAAGTCACTCGTAACGTCTGTTAACGGCTTGTAGAATGTATCTTTATCTGGAACATCAGATTAGTAGTACAGATGTGATGGAGAAGTGGATTATACTTATCTGACAGTTTTCAAACAAAATCTATCCAGTTGCTCGAGTAACGATTTTCCTGTTTTGCTCATTACCTGGATATCTAACCTCTAGTATCTTCGATCAGTCACTGACGAGAAGTAGTGATGCTAGTTGTGGCAGCTTTTCATGATCTAGTAGTGTGTCTAATTGCTTGAATTTCTAACCTTCATCAACGTACCAATAATCATCGTTTGTGTTTCACTCTTTGCACAGCCGATTCCAGCCTTGAGGTCCTTCTGTATCTACGTGGCCGTCGCCATCGTGTTCCTGTTCCTGTTCCAGTGCACGTTCTTCATGGGGGCGCTCGTGGTCGACCAGTACCGCCGGGAGGCCAGACGGGACGCCTGCTGCTGCTTCAAACACAACAAGGACTACGAACCATTTGCGTAAGTAGTCGGCAAAGTATACACGGTATTCTTGGTTAGAATACCATAAATCTGCAACCATTAGAATATGTTACTGATATCCCTGAAAGTGCAAATACCGATTATATATTATAGCTATATATAACACGTAGTTAACGTTGCAGCTGGATATTCCATTGAAAGTTCCAATAGAAGGTATTTATCACTATCATATTGTTTTACAGATATTCGCGCAAAAGCCTCGTGCACTGGATCTTCGAAAAATGTTACTCTCGGGTCTTACTTACAATCCCCGTTAAGGTAAGCAATGTCAGTGTCTGTAAATATGAATAATTTCTTTCTTTATTTCTTTATTTCTTTATTTGAATTCACCACATGCAAAAAACAAGTGGAAGGGAGGACAAAACAGGTGTATCAACGCCTTTACAAGTTGTCCTCCCAAACCTGAAATGATAATACAAAACAATACGGAACCAAGTCAAACAATAAACATTAGACATAAGACATCAAAAATCAGTAGACATGAAATATACAATTCGGTAAAAGTTATACAGAGAATTGATTATGTACAAAAATTATCAAATGTCATTATGTACAGATTAAAAAGCTAATTATGATACTAATGCGGCCTTAAAGCAGTGCATGAGGCACACCCACAAGATGTGGACCAGGAGCAGGGAACGTCGATATTGAACTGGGTGTCAAATCTCATAAACGTGGCACTCACAAGCGATCGCTTGAATGTCAAGATGTTGGACATTTCAGAGGCTTGAACCCCAATATTACGGAGGACAGGACTCAGCTGATTCCAGATGGTGACCAGCCTTGGTATGTAAGAAGAGCTGAAGGCTGATGTCCTTACTCTAATGGGGGTAAGCATGTGCGATCGGAGGTATCTAGAGGGTCTGGAAGGGAAGGATACATACTTGTGAACAATTGGTTTAGACTTAATAAACACCATGACGTCGCAAACTTCACGCCTGTGCGCAAGAGGCAACAGACCAAGGGTGGAGAGACGTTCCTTGTAGGTCAGGGTGTTCGAGTGGGCTCCTAGAATGAATTTAGTCGCCCGCCGTTGCACCCCCTCTACAAGGGACATGAGTTTGCGGGACTGAGGAGACCACAAAGGTGAGCAGTATTCTAAGATGCTTCTCACCAATGTGGTGTACAGTGCCTTGCGTACATCAGTGCTAGAGTTGAACCCGACTGTTCTTTTGATGAAACCAGTCATAGAATTGGCCCTGGCTACCATCTTTAAGATATGACTGTTCCACTGAAGGTCCGACTGGACAATGACCCCAAGGTCAGGCATACTGTCTACAGATGTAATTGTAGTATCAGACATGTGATAAGAGTACACAATAGGACTCTTAGAGCGAGTTAAACGGATAAGTTTACACTTGGAGGGATGAAAAGACATCTTCCAAGTAAGACTCCAGTTGTACATAGCAGTGATGTCATTCTGCAGCTTAACACAGTCATTTAGCTTGCTGACTTCCCTAAAACATTTAGAGTCGTCAGCGAAGAGTGCTACAGTGGATTGAGTTGCTGCACAAGGTAAGTCATTGATAAACAGAAGGAAGAGAAAGGGCCCAAGAATGGAGCCCTGTGGAACACCTGATGTCACCGGGAGCCATTTGGACTGGCAACCTTCCACTACGACACGCTGACGACGATCGGTTAGGTAGGAGGTAAACCACGCCAGGAGGTTACCACCGAAACCAAACATCTGAAGTTTGTGGAGTAACAAAGTAACAAATAATGTTTCATCTGTAATGCTTCCGGAATTCCATAGAGACATATACTGATTTTTGTATTAATTCACAGCTTAGGTACTTCAACATTGCCACTTGAATGCGCTTACATTGTACTTCAACAAATATTGATTGCGAAGGCAGTATTTGTGTGGCCAAACTCAAGGCATCTCCCATATGGTCTAGTGGTTAGGATTTGGCGCTCTCACCGCCAAGGCCCGGGTTCGATTCCCGGTGTGGGAAATAATATTTTTCATCATGCCGCAATCACATTTACACAGATATTTGATATCGGGGTATCCATTTAATAATATTTACAGAAACAAAAAAGTAGTATGAAATAATGATTGCAAATCTAACAAGTTTTTGTGATGTCTTCCATCTGTTCAGATCCTGGTGATTTTGATCACATTTGGTGCGGCAGGGTGGATGGCGTACGGTACGTACAATTTGAAGCAGGACTTCAACTTCGTCTGGTACCTACCTGCCGAATCGTACGTCTTCAGGTACACCACTCTGTATGAACAGGTACGTAATGATCTTAAAACTACAATGCATACACATTAGTTTGCGTAGTTGCTGTATACACAGTGTTATGTTATTTCTACCTTATCTATATATTAACCTATGCTTGTAAGAGCATAAACGTGCAATAATTATCTCATTCATTCATTCATTCATTCATTCACGTACTTATTCACTAATTGGATGCTGACGAATTTAACCACGTTGTCTTACAAATCATTCTTATAAATCTTAAACAACAGTTAGTGAGTGATCGTGACAATTATATTTCTGTATTTCCAGTACTTCCCAGAAGAGGGTGGTGTGGACGTGGGAGTATATATAGGTAAGTCAAAGCACCTCTTTTAAACATCATGGTGTTTCTGCCACTTGCATAAACACAACTCACCATTATATTACATGCAAGAGAATATATTAAATCTTACAGTCATTATGAATGGATATGATAGGCATTTCTGAAAATTTGAACCACATTTTTTATGTCTCTTCTGTTAAACATGTATGTTAGTTATCGTTCAGCTATTAAAAACTGATCAGCTACCGTGAAGTTTGCAACTAAAATATTATCCTTGGCATTAATTAGAAAATGGTACCGACTATTACAACGAGCGAGACAACATGGATGCGCTGTACAACAACCTCAGGACCAACGAGTACATCGACTCCACAACTGTAGTCAGCTGGTACCACGGCTTCCTGGAGTGGATCAAAGCAGAAAAGTCTGGAGATCCTGGGATAACTCCAGGTATATTCAGTTTTTTTGCAACACATCTTTGATGTTAATTATTGCCTTGTATTTACTGCAGGTACATAACATGAGTATTTTTCAACCTATCTTTGATGCTATTGCCTTGTTTTAACGGGAATATAAAAACAAGAAAAGAACGTGTATAAATATTGCATGGACCAGTAGATGCTGATATGACGAAGTTTATCGTTATAGTTGGACACAATGTGCCCCAGCATATCTAAAGAGCACCATACTTCGAACAACTCATTTAAAGGTGTACTCTCTGTGCGACCGCGGTCGCCATCTTGGATCTGTGCACCCACCAATATGGCGTCTAAGAAGCGAGAAGAAGCCAAATTATCGTAATTATTAGACTATATGTCCATAGTACATAGAATTAGTGCTAGCTTGTACATTGTATTTATTCATTGCAAGCTGTGACGTCTTTCCTGTGACCTGTGCTGAACCCAGTGGGTATTTGCGTACAATAAAGGTCTTCATTCATTCATTCTTATAGTTGGCATCTGTTAGTTGTGACGTCACACACAAACGTTTACTTTGTACAGACGACTTTCCTGGGAACGAGAGCTACTTCTATACATTGCTGGAGGAATACTTCGCCACTCCCTTTCCGGTTGGTGGGGACACCTATGCCTCTGACGTCAAGTACGATAGTACCCAATCAGAGACTTGGATCTATGTAAGTCCACTTTATGCAGCTACATTATAAAACACAGATATGAAACAAGTTTTCTGTTTCTTAAATATCCGAAATTAGTTTCACATTACACCCTTGTTAGATTTTTTTTACATATTTACTGTAATATTATAGACTATATATAGTTACTGTTTTGAAAGCATGACCGTTTCAATGTTTCCTCTCACTATATGCCTTTAACCAGGAATAAATGTCTGACACAGTAATGCGCAACTATTCAAATAACCATAAGGACTCCTTCAGTAACTATTTTATAATAGATGATTATTCGGCAGAATGTGGGACGTACATTTTCAAGTAGTAAGAAAACGATTAAGATTGGTTATTATCACTAAGTATTTTAATACTTAGTGATGATAACCAATCTTAATAAAGTAAGTGCTTACAGGAGTATTTATTTTGTTTCCAAGTCTTCTCGGATAAGGGCCAAATTCATTCGACTGTCGAGCACCGAGGTTCAGGTACGAGGCATGGACAGTGTGGTGAGCCTGGCGAACTCCGCCGGGTTCCCGTCTACCGTCTTCCCTTACGCCTCACAGTTCCGCCGCTACGAGACCAATAAGGTACGCGGAAATTACTAGGGTATTCGGTGCTTTCTTCATGGTCACATAGATAACTGTTGTTAAGTGTTAATCTTCTTTCTTATCATTAGATGTAACATGAAAAGAATAATGACAGATGCATTTTTAACGTAAAAACTTTTGATCCAGCACAAAGGAGTTCTCTCATCTAGAGCTTTCTACAAGTCACTCTGGTCTTCCACAGTACACTGACCCAGTGGGGCTTGTCACGTGGCGTCTTTTTCAGTGTGACGTCAACACTGGGTCAAAGGTATCTGGTAGACGATGTCGGCCCCCGTCGCGGTTGAGTGAAGGGTGATGGGCCCTGATGAAATAGTCTTGTTCAGTGTCCAATATTCTTACAGTGTTAAGTGTTCTTGTGTTGGATCAAAAGTTTCAACTTTAATCATGTAACTATAAGTACCAACACAGATGCATTTCATGATAGATAGTAGTATTGAAATTGCAACAGGACAACACAATTCCTGATGCAATTTCAGTTAAATGTAGTATTGCTCTTCTACACAGATCATTCAGCAGGAAGTGTACAGGAATATCGGGCTGGCCATGCTGGCTGTGATGGTGGTGACACTGCTACTGGTGGCCGACCTACTCATGAGTCTCTACATCACACTGTGTGTGGTTCTCACACTGGTGAGTTGGGAATTATGATATGGAATATAGTGTCATTACCGTTACACTTTAAATTGTATTTATTAAAGCAACCTCTGTAACAGTAACTCTCGCGAGATTACGATTGATTGATTTGAGTGATTGATCATTCATTATCCTGATGAAAGCGACAGTGGTCGCTGAAAATTTGATCTCTGTGAAACCTTGTGTTGGAATAAAGTTCAACATTTACTATGATTACTACCAACACAGATCAACATGATAATGTGTATTGTCCGTAGGTTGACCTGGGCGGACTGATGCATTTCTGGGGCTTGACCATAGAGCTGTCCACTATGGTCATCCTGGTGTTAGCGGTCGGACTGGCGGTGGACTACTCCGCTCACATCGGGCACACCTTCATGCTGGTGCACGGGACCCGAAACGGTATGGGACCATAAAATTTTCTGTCATTCCGAATATAGGAGGGATCTTTATTGCGTGTTCTCGCCCACATTTGGCTTAATGCAGTTAGTAGCTTTACCATTGCAACAGGCACAAAATGCAAAATAGCATTGCCTGTAGTGTTGATAGTGAACAATAAGGTACGACAGGCCCATCCTTTGAACTAATGGTCCATTAACCATGGTCGTGATATTGATAGACCACAAAACAACACAGAAGTTATATAATTAACATACTGAGCTCCTAACTATGACATTTAACTAGATCCTCGAGTAATAAAGTTAAAGAAGTAGGTTTCCCCAACAGTCAAAACGTCATGAACCAAATTATCAGAGTATTAGCTTTTAATCAGCTCGATCGCTAAAAGAGAGTAGCTCTCCAATCAAAATGACGAAACTATAATTGACTCTTTGATACAATTGTCACTAACAGAGCGTGCAAAGGAGACCCTGTTGCGTATCGGGACGGCGGTCTTCAACGGTGGCTTCAGCACCTTCCTGGCGTTTGTGTTGCTATCGGGATCACAGTCTTACATCTTCCAGACATTCTTCAAGGTGAGTCGTACGGAGTAATTGAATATAAATGTTTTAAATTAAGCTGGTAAAATGGTATAATAGTGTTATAGATTGTTATGCTTTCCATGTCAATCAGCTCTGATCTTGTCAATCTCAATTGTATATAATGTCTTGTTTTTTACAGCTGAACTGTCCCTTTGCATGCAATAGTCACAGGTTTAATTTGGGCTGCCCTGGCCGTGTGTGTTAAACGACCAACCAATAAACAAGAATAAAATAGTAAAATTTGGCTCATTTTAGAATACAAACCATGCGCAGAAATAGCCAAGACTCCCATGTATATTGAGTTCATATATCAGGTTGCTGTGTTCAAGTTTATTTATTGTATGTCCTGTATTATTGGAAAATGGGCATAGATCTGAAATAACTTCTATTCTGTAAGAAATAATACACAGCATTGACAAAGATATTTTCTAAAAATTTGAAGATCGGCATGTGCTTTCTGTATTTCCTGCTAAGGTCTTCTTTGGAGTTGTCCTATTTGGATTGTGGCACGGGCTGGTGTTCCTGCCTGTTATCTGCAGCCTGATTGGCCCAACGCCCTACCATACGTCATCAGACAAAACGACGGACCAATCAGAGAAAAAGGACGACATCGAAGAAATCACAATGGACGATGAAGAGTCTCCACCTGTGAGTATATTGTTCCTTATTATGCCCAAATCCAGAAGAACATTTTCTTCTGTATCTTGTGTTGTAGTTGACAGACTGTCAACAACAGTTCAACCTCCTACCCAATCAAAACTCAAACAACCAGGAGTGAACTCGACTCATAAAAATAGACTCATAGAAAAAAAAAACTACAAACCTACCCTGGACAAATGGTCTGACACTTTTAAACTATAGAGCACGTTAAGAGTATCGTATCTATGTTGCAGCTTTCGTCGTCGTCGTCTACAACTAAGCTGGCACAGCAGTCACCAGAGGCTACCACGGGACATTACAACCCTGCCATGTACGCAGGCCTGCCGGAGCCAGACTATCCACCGTACGGCAGGCAGGCGAACGGTCACCGCCAGACGCGAGACCACGGGTCGCAGTCCTACCCCTCCCCACGGTACCACCAGAGTGTCCGCCATAACTTTAACAACCCTCGCCTTCAGAAGAAAGCGAGCTACGCGTTACCGAACGTTGCCTGAATGTTAGAAGAGACTGTTGCTTATGTCGTGTCAATGGGAAAAATGAAATTTATCCTATTTTCGCGTTGATCAGTATTTACATATCAGTACAACTTGTATGACCGTCTAATAGTTTCATTAGGTTGGAAAGTCACTGAATATGGAGACTTTTTCCTAACGAATAGGTTTATATTCATACGTGTGTTTTATCTTAATGGGGTTACTTCTCGTGTAGTTTGTGCCATTGGAGCCATAAAAACACCGCTGCTACATTTAATTTCATTTGATTGTACCAAATGTAGTATCATTTTATTGTTATGATTTTTTTAATATCTTGAAAAAGACAAATAAAAGTAATTAGGTACCGCCACTGACGTGGATGCAACCATGCAGATATTTAATTTGTTTCATCCAAGAAAGCCATTGATAAATATAAGTTGTTGCGGTTTGTATATATTTTACTGTACAGTTTCATCATAAAAATATTATTGTGTATGTACTCTTTATGCTTTATCTATCTAATATGAATCAAATACATTTTGATGAACTTCTTCTCGTCATACAATTGTGATTACTATAACTAACGACCCAAACTCTTAGGTTCATTGCTCAAATTGTGCCCATGTTTTACGCCCCAAAGTGTCTTTTTTTTATCAATGATAATATGTTGCCGTTGTGTATATGAATTATCCCAACGCTGAGTATACATTCTTTCATTGAATATTGATCTGAATTACAGTAACGTAGTTTTTTATTCTACCTTTATGTATACATGTACATAACAAGTGTGTACTTGGACTAGATACCAAGTTATCATTTTAGATATGGTAATCGCATAACTGAACCCCAAAAGGAAACACACCAATTTGTACAGTACGTTCCTCAAGTGCCAACTGGGCATCAAGATTTCATCAAAGGGATGGAATACGATAGATACCGTTAACATATGCCGAATGTCGGTCATTTCAAACATTTCAACCCTCACTGAAGCGGATGGAAGTATTGAAATATAGGCTTTAGAGATGGGAAATTTTTAACATCCGCCGCCTCTCCATACCCATCTCCCCATTGCCGCAATCTCTCCCGTGTCCGTTCTTCCCCTACTCTAACTTCGTTCTCTTTACCGTTTCATATTTGACAGTCTTGTCGTTTCTAGGTCACTGCACTTCTGTAATTTACAAGGGTAAAATTCCAAACCACTGCGTCTATCTTTAGTTTTAGTTTGCAACCTAACACCGTCCACCAACTCATCATCAGAATCTGAGGTATCTTCTATGTCAACAATCATTGTAAGTTCTCTCTTCTGCCGCGCCGTCCACAATTGATAAGCAAATCGTCATGTGCAACGTTAAAGTTCTCAGTAATTTGTCATGATTTGTCCCCGTCTGTCCGCATCTTTGCTCGTTGAAAAGATGAAAAATGTTCCCACATACCACAGGAGATTTGATACCCGCATCAAAAGGTCCTCGCCCTATACCGGAACAGCGCTGAGAGATTACTGACTGACATCGTAATCCATGCGGCGTCCACCGCAAGCACAAGTGATGTCTGTCTGACATAGAGGTGTTAACGTGTGGCCGTGTGTAGCCTTTACGACTCTGAATCGTTCGTAGTCAATCGTATAGCTTCTGCCGTAGTTTGACCCACATGACATGCACAACTCGTGTACTACATCCCCTTTCATTCAGCCTTGCCCGGACGGTTTAAGCCTCTTTGGTTGTTTACAGACCACCGCCCGTTTTAGTGTGACTAGGATCAAAGGTTAAGTATGTGAAGAACTCCTCTTTCACTGGATATACCGTGATGGACATGAACGACCACGGACGTGATATGATTATATAATAGTGTCTAGTAAAGGCGTCAATGCATAAGAGTCAAAAGTTGTAAATTCTCATAGAATCAAAAGTGGTACTACAAGTGTACTGCTGTATATGTTTTATTCGTCCAGCGTAATAGTTATGGAAATGCATACCTGTCCTGTAAAGAAGGGCAATCATTCCCGCTAGTGGTCGGCAGGGCGGACAACCTGTCTGTCAGGCAAACATCATCCAATGATCTGATTGACGTGCCGTGAATGCTACAATAACAACCTGTTTAGGTTTGTTTCTGTCCAGTTGCTGACATCAATCAATCAATGTCTGTGTAGTACGATGTGGAAGATGTTAACGAAGTTGTGGCGTTGGTGCTTCTAAAGTACATGTATGAGAGTCAAAATTAGATCTTTATTTGTCGTCGTCTACTTTCTTCGCCAAGCCTTATATGTCTATATACATTTGCAACTGGGCCATAAAAGGCTTGCGAATAGTTAGTGCTTTTGTTACGTTTTACAAATTTGTATGTTTTCTTGTTCTGCATATCATTTCGATCTGATGTATCGAAAGTGGGAGCATTTGACCAGTGGCTTGCACTAGCAATCCACACGAGAGATCACACACGTAGACAAGTCATACTATTACTAAACACGCGTGCTTTACGAGTACAACCACAATTTACGACCAGAACTAGACCAGACTGAGCTAACTATATAAGTGGCGCAGCATGTACTTCTACTAGCGTGTCCTTCACAATACGACAAGGACTGTCGTCAATCAATGCACGAATGGGGGTCAATAAATATGAGAACAAGCACACAATTGCCGTGGGACAATGATATGGCCACCTAATCCGGAGAGGACTATTGCACATAAGGAGATCTTGTGGTTTACTGCGTACACGGTTTAGAGTATGCCTTCCTAATCTGACCCTAAATTTTACCTAAATGAAATAGAATATTGAAGAACAGAGCATTCCACATGTTAACAAAGAGTGGAAATTCAACAATTATGCAAAGACACCCAAATCCCAAGGTCCCAGTAGGTGCATTTTATCTAGGTCTAAGGCAAAGGAAACAACACATTAAAAAATAAAATTCATTATGAGTGATATAAAAGAGACGTCCTTCTGACTGACGCAATAGAAAAGAAAACGTCTTCGGTCAACCCTTAGATCTCAAAGTAGGTTTTCTTACTCGCAATTTCTTTTTCAATATGTCACTGTCACTAATGCTGAGGTCACATGTCTAAACCGGGGCGCGGCCGGGCAGCCTTATGGAACGAAAAGTATGATATAAAAGACAACAAAGCACAAAAAAGATTGATAATGGGAACTATTTGCGTATATTATTGATATAAATGATTATTTTTCGTTAATCGAAACAGCCCGACCGGGCCCCGGTTTGGAAATGTGACTTCAGCATAATAGTACTTTTTTTAAAGAATAATACAGCAATGTGACATAAACAGAGGCAGCCAATGGATAAACCCATCCTTTTAGAATTTGTTTATCCGATGAGGACACGAAGCATGTGAACTTCAGGCCGGCTCTGATCTTCTCATGTTTCACGTGGTCACCCGGCTGGGGTGAAGGGTGCTGGTCAACTGTCTGGTTTATTCTGATGTTGCGGTGGCTTTAATTTGCATATATATGGCGTTTCACGTACTACATATAAAGCTACATCTCATTGTTCTGAATTAAACATGGGAGAATCGAAGAAGACACCAATTGCTAATTACTCACATTGCTTTGGTCTGCTTGTAGATTTAGAATTAGAACCATCAAGCTATAATGCTGTTCCAGGTTTATACGCTGGAATAGCCCATAGAAGGTCAATGTTAATCCCCTGTTGATGATTCGATCCGCCAAAATCAGAGGGGCTACATGTGATAGCTGTTCTATGGGTCCAGTTTTATCCTAATACCAGTGTCAGCATCTCATTAGCTTCATGAAGTCGACTAATCCATCAAGTGGGCTGTCCGCGATTCTGCCGTTCCAGGGTGACGGTTCGCTGATGGACGAGTGCACACTCAGTGTATCTAATGTCAGCATCTCATGTCAACTGCAAAATTTCAATTATTTGTACAGACGACTTTAATAGTTAAACCAGATTGCATGCATTCACTGATGCCTAGGTTCGAACAAAATGCACAATCTGGACGACTACCTCAGTTGAGGCAATCGCAAGAAACTCGAGCAGCTCAGACTTCTCCCAAAGTTCAACCATGTGGCCTCAATGTATACGGATTTGGAGCGGTAAACAAATTCCGAAGAGACTTGGCCATCTCATTGGCTGGCAGCGATCACGTGATTTTGCCATAAAATGAAGTCTCCAAGACCTTTTGTGCTGCGGAGGTGCTGCAAGTGACACAGACGTGCAAAGTTGGGCCTCAAAGCAACTGGCATCACTGGCACCGAGAGTTTCCAGTTTCTGTTGGGACATCAGGTACTTTTTGTGAACAGTGTTAGCCGCTTGAATCTATTGAGTTTGATTGATTCGTTTTTTTTTACCAGAAAAGAGCAAAATGGTTATTTTTTTCTGTTTTGGAAAATAAAATCTTTTCTCTACAAGGTAAGTGATTATTTGTACTTTCATGCAACCGCTTCCACAAATATTGTCTAATTGTTAAAAAAAGTGAACTATGTTGTTCGGACAAAGATAAATAAATCAGTTTATGAAAGAGTCATAATCGTGAAATAGTATACCTTCGATAATTCATCATGTTACGCAATGGGAATCAATTTTCATTTTTCGTACCGAGCGTTAAGCTTAATGAAATGTTAAGCTAGGTATTACACGTTATGATAGAATTTTAACAATATTTTTACCATTCTTTCTTTCATTATAAAAGCTACAGCAAGCGCCTCTAGTATATCGCCTCTATCGACTATTATATTTTACGTATTCCAAAGTCCTAAATTCTCTCTGCTTAAAAAGAATAGAGGTAATACCATTTACTTCATAAGTGAATCCTGATTTCGAACTAGACTAGATTAGTGACATTTTACTAGTAGCCGCGTCGATATCTTTGCTTAAGCTCTGAACAGAAGTTGTTCTATTAATAGATACTTAATCTTGATAAAATAACTACATAAGAGGCTACATGAAGGAAGAAAAGGATTTTCGAACCTCAATTTGTACATTTCACGGTCGTTGCCTTTGAAATGAGGATCATAAACCGGTTTAAACAAGAATTAAACGTAGCCTTGTAAAGCGCACATCTCCGACATCACATTGTTTTAAAAGCGCGTAATTCATGCACATTCTTTGTTAATGTTGCTTACAAACTCTTACTATTAACTGCCAGTCTGCCTCATCGCAAAGGTTGCAAAGTTTTCGCTGGCTTTAAAATCGTTAAAAGTACCACATAACCTTTACGAAAAGCATGAATAATATTATCCTTACAGGAGGTAAATGCTTTATCTGAAATCATTGGCATATTGGCACAGAGGACAGCCACAATTATAAAGATGCCGCGCTGCCTAAATAGTTCTGAAGAATTTTCCGAGTATTCGTTGACATGCTTATGTGGAACCTGCTGTCCGCGTGTGGCATCGGTGGCCTTTTCTGTCCGTCATCTCTGTAGGGAGATCTTCTCAAACTTCTAACTTACCACGAATAGTAACACGATAGACATTCTTGCGCAAGTCATTTCTGAGAATACGGACGGGCTTTAGCAATGTTCGTGGTAAATACACACGGCTAATATGACAGGAGTAAAATTGTGTGAGGGGTCATGAAAATTTGTCTTCATATCCCTGTTGTTGCTTTTTCTGGAACCGTTACAAGCTTTGTGTTTATACATAACTGACACTACCGTCTTATGTGTCGGACGTACCTGCTTTCGGGCCGAACTAGGGCGACAATCTCCTGACCAACAGAAATTTGACAGGGCTTCAATGGAAACGCTAATTACAGTTTGTACCAACAAACTAGGCTAGCGTTGAGTCTAAATCCACAGTAAAGTAGCTATATCTATAAGTCTATTCTATTTGGCGTCAAGTTGACATTGTATATCAATACTAAACTTACAAAAGTATTTGGCATCGTACGGAACTTGAGAACAGTGAGAACGGCTCTACTACTGGTATTCTGTTGAGACACCTGTTACGGATCCTTCATTGCTGAGCCTCAAGCTTTGTTCAAGAATGTAGAACTTGTTCCATCGTAATTTTCTATATCTAGAATATCTCAACCCATACAACTTCAACTTAATGTGCTTCTTGTATTGTAGTTGACTGTTGTGTGATATATCCATGTGTTTCGTGGCCGTTCGTCATCTATGTATGTAGTCTGTAGCTGACATGATTCTATGTTAAGTACTTCACACATATTTTCCTTACAGCTGATCTGACTCAACGAGATTCTTCATCTTCCAGGTAGATTCCAGGTAAAACAATGGACGGAGAGAACGAAAACGGTCGGCGTGCAAGTACGAGCTCGGAGAATGGTACTAGTACTGACAGGAGAAAGAGCGAGGACCGGGAGGCTTACGTGGAGAGAATGCGAAAGTGGTACCTGGAGATGTGGCACTCAGAGGCAAAGAAAGTCAAACAGCAAGGAGACGGTTGGTAGTGTTCGATGTAGTGTTCCAAAGCACTGCTCACATATATTGTACATAATTTTGAGGAGTCATCAAATGATTCGTAGGCTGATGCAACATTTGGTCCTCATGCAAGAAACAGACACACTACACTGCAGAATTTCAACCCACAACCCATGGGATAGATTTGTATCTTGCAGAATTTCCCAACAATATACTGTACATATAGCCTATTACATAGACATATGAGTCCAGAGCCTTAAAAGTGCTCAATTTCACAAGAAGCCATTGGAATAAGTAATAAACTGTATGGCTTTTTAGTGTATGAACCCAGGAGGGTTGAGATTTATCTATTTATTTCCTTCCAGGGATTTTAACGATAGAAAGGCTAGCAAGTTCACATAGCTATATATATAGGTTAACTGTAAGAGATAACGTTTTGATGGCATTTCAATGTAGAGTCGGAAGATTGCCAACAGCAAGTCAGCATGTGGTGTGCGTTTAGCAAGCCGACAGCAGTATCGGAATGACAAACAACCTTTAAGAGATTTGGCTGCGCCTTGTACTGTCAAACTTGATGGATTACAAACGACTGTTACACAGTCGGAATGTAATTCAGCGAATGATGATATATCTGAGCATGGATAAGGTAACGGGGTGAACTGAGGCGACGATGTGGCATTCCGCGTCCAATCGGCCTCACCAGGACATGCCTGTGTGTAGATGTTGAAAGGTTGGGGTTGTGTGGCGTAACGACAGAGCATTCGGCTCAGAACCAAGAGGTCCAGGGTTTGAATCCTGCCAAGTCACCAACCTTGTGCCCTTGGGCAAGACTTTCCTAACTTCGCTCATTAAAGAAAATCAAACGAAAACTTTTTTACAACACAAAGAAATGTTCTCACCTAGAGCTTTCGACCAGTTACTTTGGTCTTCCTCATAGCTCAGCAGACTGACTCAGTGAAGATGGTAATGATTTTATTCCGGCATTCGGGCATCTGAAGCAGAAAGGAATTGACTCAATACAGTCGAGTAGCATGTGACACAAGGGGGCCTTGTTGAATCTGAACGTTCTGGGTTTGAATCCTTGAAAAGGCAAACTGCACCTTCTTGCATTGCTAACCCGACTCTGGTAAAATTGAGCACCAACCTTCGGTTAAAAAAAATGGATGTGGACCAGACCTAGAAAAAGGGACACCCTGCGAGGTCTGCGTGACTTCTTGCCCGATCGGCCTCCCTGTAAACCCCGAACTAATCCTGATATAGACGATAGCAATAAATCAGTCGGCAATAGCATGGTCAAGGTTACTGAAACGGAATCTGTGTGGCATAGCGCTTTCCTTACTCACACGCAATCTCTCCACTGCGTTGTGAATGTATTTTTGTCCACTCTATATTCATACAAGATTGAGGTCACCTTGAAAAAGCCGTTGAAGAAGCTAAGAAAACCGCATTCTACATCTTTGCACAGCGATTTGCTATTCAAATTTTCGTATTAGTTCAGTTGCGAGAGACGTGTGTATTGCAAGTACCTCAGAAGAGTTTACGACAGCTCGTAACTCTTGCAAAAAGAATGCATTTCGATATGACAAAGACGTGGGTAGTTTGCCGAAATTGGGATGCCACATGATCTTTGGCTTATGCAATCCGTACATTAATCATATATAACCCAGTCCTTACATCTGGGTAGATAAGAAAAGAACAGCTTACATCAATATACCATCTAAAATGCAGTAATATAATGATGATAATTACAGTTGATCGTCGTCACTATAGAACAATCCTTACAGCGAGAATTTTTATACTTCTGCAAGTGATTTAAAGCAACATACAATCCTTTACGTCATTTGATACCAAAAAGTCTACGTTATCCTTATCAAGTTCTTGTTCATACATAAAATCATAACACTCACTATTGAATACTCTAAGCCAAGACGTGTCTTTTTATTCTCATGCGAAAACATTTTCCAAACATCGAAGTAACTCATGGTCAGTTGGCAAATTGTCATCTTCGTGTGTGACTGGGATGGTACGGAGGAAAGTTCATGGCTACTCAGCAAGCAGTCTGCCATTGAAACATATCTGGGACCTGCTAAAGATACCCAGCAGTATTTATAGTAAAACTGGATAACATGGTCGTCGGTGGGGTCAGAGCAATGTCATCACAAGGTGAAATGAAAGTCAGAAGACTCTTTTGCCCCCTAGACATTTAATTTGATTTAGTTTTTTTTAAAGGTTGCGATACGTTCACTACGAAATGTTTAGGATCCGTCTCAAGTCGACACTGTGCAACCTGTTGGAGCAATGGTCGTAAAGAACACTGTATCACTGTATGTTATATCATTACTGTATTTGACATCACGTCCCACATATTGCCTGGTTATTTTCTGTCGTTGTGGTTTGTGTGTAAAGATATGCCTGACAAGGTAGAACGAAGAAGGATCTGTTTTAACCCTATTCATACGAGGGGGGAGGGGGCTTTTGAGGCCCGCGCCAACTTTCATCTCAGATAGCGCCTGAACGGCTTGCGCTAGAACCATCAAATTTGGTTACTTTCCCTAAAATATATCTGGAAAGATATTAATTAGATAAGTTGATGCCATGGCAACGGGCTTCCGACAGGCAGTTTTTGGAAAATTCATGAAGCACGTTTTTAGGAGTAAAGCTTCGGGCCTCGCCAAACCCGTACGCGTCCAGCGGTCTGTCTAATCAATCATACATACAGCCCCAGCATAGCTGTCAGAACTTTCACATACCAGCTGTACGGATCGCCATATCTTGGCATGTAGGTTGGCTATATGGTCATTCGTACTTCTCCAGTTATCTGATATATACATGACATGTCCCAGACGGAAAGGCATTTCAGAAATGAGCCGAGTCATGCCATTACTTTCACAAACTATTCCGCCATGCTTACAGCCAGTAAATCACGGTCTCCTCAGGGGAAGTTGACAGACTTGTTGCATGCACTGGGATGACAAAGGGTTGGCACGCTTATAGTAATCAGAGGGGAGGGGGTTGTACATGTGTTTGTATGTATATGGTAGAAAATTGGGAAGTATGCTATGATGCGGGCCATATTTAGCACTAGGCATTTATTAAGTCCCAGTTCTACTATATAATAGCAATAGCCATACCCAGCTACTTCAATCTGTTTGTCATCTGTTATTGGCATCGATGTTATAGGTTGTTACTCCGTGAAGGAGGTCAGGACCTCCGGACGGAGTGTTGTGATCGGCTGATTTTTCATGTTCGCAGTCAAAACACTGGGTTCTCTTTGTGTAATCGGCACGCAATTTTATAGGCCGTCTGCGGGCATGCCCGTGTTGATGCACGAATGTGTATTTTTGCCGTTGCTGCTTTCGCGGTCAATGTAATATTGCAGACGCACCCCTACAATTACGAGGCGAATTGGAATGGTCCAGAAAAACGCGTTGTTTGGAATAGCAGTGGGGGGGTGGAACTTCATGCAGATACGGGGTGGTTTGATAATTGGTTCCAGATGTTTTTGCCCATGCTTAAGAGATGCCAAGTTTTTTGGAAGATGTTCGCAGCCAAAACGCATTCTTCCGTACGTTGCATTTCTGTGTAATTTCGCATGTGGTGTGGCATTATGTCCGGGATGATGCACGTCTTTTTATTTTTACCGTAGCTGTTTTGATATTGAAGTAAATGCATATTTTAGAAACATCCCTACTTTTACAATCCTGTGGAATAGGCCGTAGGTTTAGGCAGTTGTCTGGTAGCAGAGGTACTATAAGCAGATATCCTGGTTATCTGGCCGGCGGTAGTAACACTCGCGGTGCTTACCGCAACTGTTGCTGGAATTTGGCCTGTTACAGGCGCGCTTAATTAGGTACAGGCACGGTAAGACGTAGCCTGGGTACCATTCTACTTGTATGCCGGGGCTCCCACACTCGCTTCCCTAACAGGTGGGGCTGTCTTTGTTACTAGACACGACCATGATAGTCCGATCTTTATGTGAATGCAATGATTGTGTGTGTGTAATTAAAATGAACTTCGAACTTGAAGCACAGTATCTTTACACGCCCTGGGATCAGTAATGGATTTAGCTCTTTGTATGTTTTATGCTTGTGACGCGCCCTCATTGTATTAACCGTTGCCTAATTATAATGTCTGCATAGTAGGTCTTGCGTTGACGCTTGGGATTTTGTTGAAATATATAAAACTTCACGGAGGATTGTCACCTATGGCTTCTTGTTTTTCCTCGCACTATCTACTTAATACTTCTCAGTAGTTTCATGTTTATCTACACATACCTATACATGATCACTCATACCTGTTCTTACCACCTTCTTTCATGTTGTATTCAGACAGTACGTTTCAAGTACGTACTCTATAGTTGTACCTGCAATAGACAAATGCAAGTAGTAAATGATCAACTCTTAGTACGTGCTGCTTACAGGTCATCTTACCATTAGCAATAAAATATCACATTGGTAACCGTTGCAACATATTTTGAGTATCTTTAAATATGACTGTAAATGGCGTCACGTGTATTCCATGCATTTTATTTCTTTAATTGCAGAAATGAAGATGATTGAAGACAGCCTCATAGATTACTTCACAATGGTCGCTAAGGCTGGTAAGTAACTGAAATGCAAGTCTGTGGAACAAGCAAAACTACTAATATTATTTGTGACAGACATTCTCACAACTTCTAGTACATAAAGTTGCTGTGTCCATCTCATCACCACTTCAGGGCACGATATATGCTTTAGAAACCACAGATGGATGATGATAAGACCTAGGAAACATTGAAAAATATGACATTTATACACGACAGTACTACTAGATACTTTTGAAATTATAACTTAGCACGTCATGACGATAGCTTGCTTTGATGCTATGCTTAGGTGTGTCGTGGGGACCTCTGGCGATTGCAATGGGATTGTCAAGCATCGATCTTGCCGTCATCAGAAGGGATTGCAAAACTATCGACCAGCAGGTTAGTCATTAGCAAACCAATGTTTTTTCTATCCTGATATATTCAAAATTTAACATCTTAAACTGACTCATACACCAACAAGTCATGCAAAGTACCTACTCGTGGAAACGCAATTCCACTCTAGACTACTCTGTGTCCCTGATCTTTTATCTAAGTTCTGACTATTTGAACCACAGATCAAGTGGGTTTTGATGAAATGGCGTCACATCATGAAGAAGAAAGGCAGGAGCGGAAACGTGGACGCAGACTCAGTCATCAACTGCCTGGAGAGGAACAAAGCATACGGAGCTCTGAAGTACATTTTCAACTTTTTCTTTTGGTCTTTATTTTTGTAGCGCAATAACTAGAAAGGTACCATAATGTTTACCTTCACATGTGGTCTGCTCTGTGAATTCTTACTCAAACACATTCAAATATATGGTGACAGGAGTCTAAATCCCTCCTGCTATAGAAATTGCAACATGATGTAACCCAACACTAAGTTACCATGGTGACTTCTGCGAAGGTAAACATAATGAGAAGCAATGATTTTGTGTATTCTATGATACTGCAGCAGGTCAGTCTAGGTAGTCTGCTTTGAAAATGTCACTGTTACGAAGTAATTTTGCACTGAGCCCTTAAACTTTGCGTCTGGCTCGATTTTTTTTACAGGCACCTGAATGAGAACGTTCTAAAAGAACTCGGGAAGGAGTGGATAGACACCCGTCCAGCTGAACTGATTGAGGCACAGGTAACGTTTTCCTGTTGGTTCCAAAAAGAAGCATGTACGTCGTTGGGGGGGGGGGCGTTATATATGTACAATTCTGAAATAAACTTTAAACGCTGTGAATGTGTGATTTTGATCTCTGCAAAGATAGCTGTTTTAATGAATTATGCATGCTGGTCTATGTATTAAAAACGTTTTAAAATAAACAAGATCATGGAAGATGATATTTGATCTGTCACATTAGTTGCACCCATACATGTTGAAACACTAACCATATCTTTATCGCCATTAGCAGACAAAGTAAATGATTGGCCGAGCATCACGTGATCAGCAAAGGGCTGACGTCATCCACCATCACTTCATGTCTCACCCATCATCTACTTCCGGTTCATACGTCTTGACGTCACAGAAACTGTCATGACAACGCGTATTCACTCTCGGGCTGTCTCATAGACGCCACATTATCCATGTTTTTTAATGTCTTTATTGTTGTCGTTGCTGCTTGTCAATATTTGCTGCTCATATATTGTCATTTCCACCATGTACACTATCCACTTGTAGCGTTGATTCGCCAAGTTGTATCATGTCATCACCATTATATGTATGTAAATTGAGAGGTACTAAGCAAGGTATGAAGAAATGCTTGGCTAAAAAAAACGACGGTAAAAGTATCGAGTGTCCATTGTTTATTTGCCATAGGCCTTAACTGATCTCCACGGGAAGGAAATTCCTGGCGCAACGTGGAGTCAAGATGACCCCTCGACCTCAACTGTGGACTCCGAGATTCCCTCCGAAAGTCGTTAATGGTATACGTATATGCGAATGCCAACTATCTTAACGTCTACTCTTTCACTTATCTTTACCATTTATGATTCTGTGACCCTTGATTTCTAGTGGCTTTTGAGCCGTGAGGCTGTGAGCTTCAGTAAAGGGTATATGTACAGGATATAAGCGAATTTCTAACGTTATAGTAACGCATGTAGACCTCCATACAATCTCTTAACGTTAATGTATATGCAATAGATCTAGAGTAGATATGAAATAAAATATGTCTATTTTATACTATTCTTGTCCGTGGAACAACATATCACTTGTATCAGGGCATTTCGTATTTTACCGATTACTTTTTCAACTTCTTTTTCAACATACTGAAGTTATAGATGTTGTATTCAAAGTTGTAATGTAGATATTATTTTCAGATTAGTATATCGATTACCTTTTGTAAAAATATCATTATGTCAACGGAATGTTTACGTATACTGTATAATCTTTTAGTGAATTTGATATATATAGGAATAATCACAGGTTAACACAAGTTATACATTGTTGTATACTATTTCACATGATACCCTGCGGCATAAATACATACGTTAAAATTTATTTTAGAATTACGTGCATTATCTGCATTACTGAAAATTGGCATGACTTGATAAATGTTTAATTCCACTACTATATCAATGGGCATCTTTAAATAGTTTTGATATATACAATATTCATTCGTTGTAAAATTTCGACTTAAGGTAAAAGGCGAGTTCTATGAAAGTAGTTGGCATCAAGTATCACAACAGACCAACAGCGCCCCTCTGCGGTTTTATAGATTGTGCAGTATGACTACGTTTTAAACCGCCACAGACTTGTCATAAGCCTTACTGAGATAGTCGTTAATTGGTTAAGTAGTGAATTTCTTCTAGTTGACTAGTTGAAGGCCTTCAGACTGACAGTAAAACCATGGAAGAACAAGATATTTCAGCGGGATCAACTTTAGAATGATACGACCCAATACGTCAGTAATGCCTTGTTTACGGTTAAATGCATCACTAAGATCTACTATTAAATATAGATATCAACAGAAAGATAAGGTTCACCGTACACGTATATCATACAAATATGCAGTGCTTAACACTTGATGATACAATGCCTGCTTATACAACTGCAGACATTGCATACTGTCTCTATCAGGTAAGAACATGAATTATTTTACTTTTATTATATTAACACGTTAAATTCTAGACAACTTACTGAGTTAACATGAATACGTTCTACAGGCAGTCTGGAGTATTATTTTTTCGCTCTTAAAAATAATAACTTTTGATGCTACTAGTATTATAATGTACCGTTTCTGAAGTACAAATAATGATAAAGTGATGAAGAGCAGTTCAATGGATGTTTTAATTTTCGAGATAATTGCTTTTTACGACAGTATTTCCAAAAGACTAAGTGGCTATATCCGACACACTCCGGAATACATTATTTACAAATGCCCGACATGCACACCTGCTGTTGTTTACCATGCCTTCTGTACCAGGTATCTCACCAATTAAACCTTTCCAGAAAACATCGATCACATGGTATGCTTGTACACATAATCAAAAGAAAAATGTTAAACCAAATTTCTATTCATATCACAGTATATTTGCTAGTAGACATGTTTATATTTTGGCAGTGGTCACCGAAGGCTAAGAATGTAACATACGGCGCCGGGATAACGCTGTTTGTACGTCTACAATATATCATATATCGCCAATATCGGACTTAGGTAAGCCAGGATATTATCTTTATTTTTACTTGCCGGTATAAAACATCTCATGTATCACCAAAGTTTAATTTTAGCCTCCTGTCTTACTTTAGTTTGACAGTTTTGGGTACATAGCTTGAAAAGACAAAAAATAAAAAATAAAATATCTCAACTTTCTTGTGGCCAACTGTGGCCGAGACTGCCATATGAAAATAGGGCTTATAAGCCACACTAGACACGGCCATAACATTAACGTTAATAACACTAGAGCCTAGAGAGCTACCGTCATCTTTTGATGAAAAAATGAAAGGATTCGTACTAGCTAGCTTAAAAAATGTATATATTTCCAATACTTTAGTTTATCTATTAAACTCAAAACGCCATCAAAGCTAATTTTAGCGACATGTATTCCTTTTAATCACCGTTGACAACTGGGAGCAGCGAGAACAGCATTCTGTTTATTTAACAAAACTGGTGCCCCACCTTACATAACGTTTGGTTCTAGGTAGGGTTAGGTTTCGTTTGACAGTGATTTTTGCAAAGTCTTCTCTCTAAATAAAGGGAATAGTCGTGAGGACGATGGGGAGACCGAGTAACCAACCGGTCTTCATTATCAGACAACCCATTTTTAGCTTTCGGTTAAAAATAATGCTTCCAATTGACGATCTAAAAACCATATTTTTTTCAGGGTTCGTATATTCTTCAAACTATGTGTACATGTCACCGAAAGCAACAGCTGATATAAACATCGTAGTTTTCAAAGAAGTCCACGAAATTCTTCTTGGGGACATACAAATTCCATCCCTGGTGAGGAAAACATAAACAAGGATATTATATTATAATACCGTCTAAATCCGTGGCTATAAAAGACTGAAATATTCTGTCACTTGGTGGCCTGCCTCTCTAAAGCCTCGTTAACGCTAGCCGACAGACGTATCAGGTACGTAATGTCTTTTTAAATGGGTTAATGGCAGTTGATAGATTTTTTATAGACTTTATTGCACAACAGTTGTACATGGTATAAAGTATGGCATCTACTAGTACATATTTACTACATTTTCATAAGAGGCTAGACTAAGTAATAATAATACAAGAGTGGGTGACAAGTATGTGATATGTATGAGCTTTTACACTCATTGAAGGAGTTTCTAATATCTATACAATCTCTATCCCTATATATAGCATGCAGAGGTTGTCACAATTTATGTATATACCAAGCCCGTGTTTCTGTATTAAAGGAGAGGAGGGGTGGACAGCTTTAAGCGCGATGAAATTCCTCGTAAGAGTTTTTCTCATAGAATGATAAGCGAGTATAGGGAAGAACCCGCACTTTACGTCTATAAGCTTAATAAAGCTCTACACTTTTCGCCATAAAAAAAAAACGGCAGGATTTTATACGACCAACACCTATTCTTCGACGAATCTAAACAGCCCCTGAGAAAATGACAGAGACTAAATGATGTTTAAGTCCACCTGAGCAGAGTATCTAACGTCGGTACCCCACGAATGTCGGACTCTTGAAGTAAGAGCGCGCTTGCCTGTGACCATCCTTGCCAGCCAAGGGCATGTTTATTAGCTAGGGCATATATAACATGCATTTTTGTCTGGACAGATTTAGGTTCGGCCTCTGGTTACGTAAGAGGTTGTAAAATAAAGAGGGATAAAGTAAGTTGTTTACGTTTCGAAGCCGTGGTTCACACGCTGGGAAAAATCTGTCACTTCAAGCTAGGGCCGTCTTCAATCGAATGAATGGCATTTCTGTGCGATTTTGCGACCCCATATTTGATGTATTTAACTTCAGGCTACGAAGTTGTTGGCATGGATCATTTGGCCTTAGTTCCACTCTCAACGCATGGAATTCCCTGGCTATTTCCTTCGTCTATCCAAGGAGGTTTAAAATCAAACCTCCTTGGTCTGTCCGACTTGAAATCTTGTTTCTCGTATTATACCTATTTTTTCCAATTCATTTACTGCTTACGTACGTTCTTTTTCTAATTAGGCAACATGACACGGTACAAGGACACAGTGGTGACGCAATCTAGCGAGATGCTAATTTTCACGCCACCACTGAAAAAAGGAAATTAAAACTGACAATAACAGATATAAATAACACATAAACATACACCAGTTGGCTTAGATAGACAGAGTAACAATGGTGTAAAAACAGTTGTAACATTGTGAATTGAAGGGGCCATACGTGGGAAAATTAAGTTGTAATAGTGTCAACAATGTATGATTGGGTTAACGACAGAATATTACAGTTGGTTTCTAGTGACAATAAGGGTGAACCCCTGAGAAGCAAGTTGATACGGGCTTGTTCTGATAGGTTGTTAAAGTCGCGAATGGATCCTACTAGGTTCTGAAGAGTGCAGAGAAGGTTTGCTCGCTGTTGGTTGTACATCGGGCAGTATAGTGCGAAATGAACCATGCTTTCGCATATCGACACCCGCAGCTACAGGCTGGACTAGAGACAACGTATAAATAAACTGGGCTGCAGGTGCCGGTGCGAAGTCGTGTAGGGACGTTGGCCATTTAATCCTCGCGACTCTTGGTCCCATAGCCTATACTTAGGAAGGCCGAAGGAGGGAAGATAAAATGATTTGAAGATCATCGTCCCCAACCAGACCGGATTCGCCCGGAGGCAGAAAAATGCAGCAGATTGTTCGCGATGTTCTGCCATTAGTAGGCATCACCACAAACAAGACTTGTAAGTCAGGCAATCCTAGCATTTTTATATGATAATGTCCTACTCCACGCTGATTGGTTGAGCAAATCCATATCTCCCTGTTGATTGGCTGGTTTATAAATACGTAGTAAAATTAGGTTTGGTGGTGAGTGTAAGTTACAATGTAGAACGTTAAGTCCTGAAAATTAGTCTAGACATATATATAGCACTTTACCAGTGAAGACCTGTTCAATCGTTGGGTAAGCGGTATTTCCTAGCCTTTGGATATTTGCTGAGACATGTCATCTAAGTCCACGAAGCGACAGTACGCAAATCCATTAGAAATTGAGCAAATACTCTGTTTACATGTCACGGGAACTTCGCCGCTTAATGATCTTATGCAAGGCTTTATTGACATAAGCCACTTGATAAAGCCGTGAATAGATTTTATGTCTTCGGTGTCAGATTTGCGTTAATGGGCATTATCGATACAGTACTTCTCGCATGTCTGCTTCGCAGATACTTGGGGCTGTGTTTGTCAGGTTCTGTCTTTTCTTCCAGCGGTAGATTTTGTCTTTATCTTGAGGAAAAGAATCATGGAGGACGACGCTAAGAAGAGGGTAGAGAAGACTCGTCAGGAGTACAAGATAATGTGGCAAAAGGAGAAGGAGGCAGAAGAACGGAGAAAGAAAGGTTGGTAGTTACTATCCTATTTTTAGATTACATGTAAGTATCTAAATACAGTAAGCGACAAGTTGATGGAATGGGGCTCTGAACATAAACACGTAGCTAACAAGTTTCAGTCGCTTTATAGAAGGTCCTTTTTTGTGTGAACAAATTCAGATATTTTACCAATCGAAAGTCAAAGTCACTCTAATTAGATAGCGAACGTCATAGACATGAGAATACCAGAGCTTACATATCTACCTCGTTGAGAAAGAGATCGAGGCATGTCCTGAAAGTAATACTTCTGTTTGCGAAATACAGAGACGTTTTTACCCTTAGCTGTCTGTCGGAATCTGACTCATTTAGTTTTGCTTGAAACCCTTTGCATTTTTTTTCTTCTAGTTCTGCGTTAATTTCTCTACCAAGCTAAGAACAGATTATATGATCTAAAATGTATGTGCATAGTATGGAATAGGAAACGTATATTTCTGAAACGGTCTCTATTCCTATACTATGATATCCAGCTTTTGCTTCTGTAGGCACGTAAACATCATATCATATACAGGAGTTAGTACATACTTGTACCTGGAGTATATGGATGTTGATGGCTGTTATCAACTTCAGGTCATTGCTTGTTAATCTGGGCATTCATAACGTTTATTGCGACAGCTGCAGCACATTAAATCAGGAATGGTGACAGGACTGAAATACATTTATGTTGTTTTCGTAACTGATAAAGAAACGTGTTGAAAATCCTATTATAAGACATTTTGTTTATTGCGATGTTAGACCCGAGCAAACCCCAAGGCGAGCTGAACGGAAAAGTACTCACTACCGGAATCACGTTGTTTGACATGTTTGACGTGCACTAACAACCCCCTTATCCCTTATCAATCTTCTGTTAATGGCATTCCTTTCGTTGATTTGGTGTACCGCAAATGTATCTACTTTTGGAGTCTGTAAGCCGCAGAACACCGTGCAAAATTAGAGCAAGTCCACAGTAAATAAAGTTTTTGCTTTGTATTTTCATAAGGATGTCATGACGTTTACATCTCATTCTGCAAGGAATCTGGTACTGTCTACTAACTCTCTCACTTGGTTGTCCGTTGAGGTATCTATTTACAGTTCACTCATGCACTCACTTCACCCACTCACGCACACAAAAACATCAAATGCGACCCTACAATTCTGAGATATGTGTTGTCTTCTATTATCAGAACTAAAGGTGGTGTCTGAAGGCTTAAGTGACTACTTCCGACGCAACAAGACGGGTAAGTCGGATTCCTCGGATATCTGCCATACTTTCTAAGCCGAGCGATGAGTGCAATGCACCGTCGGCAGAATCATGTGTGTAAGGCTTAGAGTAGAAACGCCATAGTCTAGACATGTTTTGGTATATGGTTTTGGCTTGAGGTATACTGTTTTACATTGTATTATATGTACTTGTATTGTACATTTACTAACTTTGTATCGTATGTATGTATGGGCGTTAAAACTATACAGCAATCTAGGTAAAATATGACAGAACCTTGACTTTATAAGTTCATATGGCCATGACCGGATTGAAATGAGAAGACTGCAAGGCGCTAAAAAGGAGATGATAAGACATGTCGTCTGGTAATGTCACTAAGCCAACTTCAAAATAGCTTCAGTGTTAGAGTACATGTGTGACAATGTCGGCGTTTCCCCCGCAAAAGCTTTAAATAGAAAGAGCAACATTGCCCGCGTGGGCCCAAATCACTTCTAAATGCAGCAGCGTTATTAGGTTGATTGCATACGAAAATGTTCTGTTCCATGTAGGGACATTGACAAACATATTAAAGGCATCCAATGCGGTTTATAGAGCTTGGATTTTCAGTCTATATTCTAGTCACTTAGCTACATACTGAGTTGAAACAATACTATCCCAATGTATATTGACAGAAATACCGAAAATTCTGACGAAAATGGTTACTGGAAGGACCCGGGGCTGATTTTTTGGGTACAACCCAGAAAACAAAGGACTCATCTTGTGGCTTGTTTCTGCAATTTTAAATGTCCAAAGTATGAAATACTGATTCTAAAAGTGCTAATGTGGGACAGTATGTGTTAATATCATACAGATTGCCTTATTCAGAATATTTGCAGTTTTGCCGCCCTGAAATTGCATTGGATGCCTTTAAAATATTTTGGTGCTGATTTGTTGACAGGGACGTGGGCCCCGATGGCTGTTGAGATGGGTCTGACACCTGTGGACATCGGTGTCATCAGGACAGAGACCATGGACCGCCAGGAACAGGTGATACATAGACTGCAGCGTCAAACGACATACAACAAAAACATATCTACAGTAAACAAAAAATAATTCCCTTGTGAATATTTCCTTCCGTTTCAATATCGTCATACGTGATGGTTATGCGTTCCTGACAGGATACAGTCCAATTGCCAATACATTGCCTGTAGAATTTGTCAAAAAATTAAAACAATATACATGTATATAGCAAGTGCCATAAATATGACGGCGTCATAGCTCTCTACTGTAATGCAAAATCATGCACGTTAATTTCATTTTTAAATGTTACGTGGTGTGGAGGGGGGGTGGCGAACTTCAGTTCAGGAGGATTTTGGACTCCAGGAAGACTAGTGTAAAGGAACAAAACACTGATAGTGATCCTAATAAACAAACGAAACAAATGTCAGCTTGGGTAGCACTGAAATGTACGGTAGCATGGAGTGATTGAGTAATGAATGTTCCCCCTACCCTCCCCGCAGCTCCGGCGTGTGCTGGAACTCTGGCGGTACAACATGATCATGGGGGGCTACGGACCGCAGATCGGGGCCAACATCATGATCGAGTACCTGGGAAACGCGCAGATGTTCGACGCACTAAGGGTAAGTCAAACTTACAGACATCTATGAGCAGATGAATGACTTTTGGCGTATTCCATTCTGGTGAAGAAAATTAGAAATACAATCCCCGGTACTGTTTCCAACGCACAATATGTGTTAAAATTCCTTGCATTTCGTATGCATTGGTACCGTTGTACATCAAAGCTCAAAACCTATGGATAAGGGTACTGTTACTGTAGAAATGCAAAGGCAATATTATATTCTATTTTGCAATGATTCTAGATCTATACTAGTAAATAACAATGTAAAAATATTATATTGTCTTATCTATGAAACAATATGTTCAGTACTTGAGTAAAATGAATTTCACCATATCTATACTTACCAATCCTGCGTATTGCAATCAAAGGATTTCAAATGATGTATGAATAATTGTAACCACTGTATTTCTGTCCAGTTCCTACAGCCTATGTTGTTGAAGAAACTCGGCATCGACGTGGACGTAGAGCAAATCAGAAAAGAGGTGAAGGAGAAAATAGCTTTGGAGGCAAGACTGAAGGAGGAAGAGGAGAAAGCAAACGCAGAAGCTGCCGCCATTGGTAACGGGATCGTAAACGGCATCAACGGGGATGTCAACTGTGTAGCTTAGGGTTAGGAAGATCCAGGGTCACAAAAAACTGCACAAAATCAACGTCATTCTACACTAATAGTAGTTGATACATGTATATGATAAGGATAAGGCATGTCAAATCGTCGGGGGCGTAAACATTTTTCACGATACTTTCTCAGCCTTATGAGGGGAAATGACCACCAAGGGGCTAACTATCTGCGTCCTATGTGTGCAATTGTGCTTCATTAATTTTTTTTTAATTCAAACAAGAATTTACTTTGATTAATTATTCTTGGCTCGTTTAGCATGTCATCAGTATTTGCTCATCTTGTTGCGATGATCTTCGGACGCGATCTGTAAGTTAACAATCGTCAACAAAAAGCGATAGAAACAAAGCATATATGCAATGATTATTCATTGTAATGCATTATAATCATAACATGATTAAGACTGGCACACTGGAAGGTTTTCTAGTCCTGGTGATTATTAGTAAACGTTTTCCAAGGCATTTGATATTTTGGTTTTGTAGGAAGCACATCACTGGAATGTTTTATTGTACTACATGTACTCTTTTCTTGCAGATGAATTTAAGATTCCTATTTAATTAAATATATGAAATAATTGATTAAATACATAGTGTAATTCATGAAAAACTCTTACAGCTCTAGAGGTGATGCAAGCAACACGTATTTAGCTAATTAGGTACAATGTACATCAAACACATGTTGTAGACTAGATTTGAACGTCAGTAAATCATACCTAATGGTAACATTGGATTTGTTTTCTATCAAAACTATTTAAGACGTTTATTCATTGCGAATGTTTTTGTATCTAATATATTTTGACACATCTTTCTAATCGTATGGTTGCGTTTCAATGCTGTGCGTCCTGTAGATAAACCCGTTTTTCTTTGTGCTTAGCCCAATAGTAGAACATCTGAAGCTGTGAAGCCAAAGATTCCTCTAGTCCTATTAAACGGTGAGTAAGTCGGTTCAGAGCTAGTGTGAAGGTTTATCACACCCTACACTGGTGCGAGTGATGAGTTATATGTATAAACGGCCAACGATCTTGAGTATTCCTTATCCCCACGATGAACTTCGTGCCAACATATACACGTGCTATATTAAGTTGTGCAACATCCTAAGGTCGAGCCTTGGGTGCCCCCTATAATTCACGCGTTTTTTGGCACATAGCTTAAGTGCCATTGTGAACTTTACCACTGAGGTCTTGTCTGCGCTTGCTAATCCGGTCTTTTACAACCTGTTAATGACGACAGCTGGAGCACGTAAAACACAGGGAGGATTTATACGAGGGCTGATCGACGTGTATGGTAGCGGTCTTGACCTACACACTTGAGCCTAGCCCATGAACTATGTGCTTGGGTCATCATTGACCGAGAAGCAAGAGCCTAGTTCAGAGAGGTCTAAGTATGTGCTTGGGTCATTGACCCAAGATCTTGGGGAGCGGACCAAAGCTAACAAGGCTGGACTCCAGGATAGAACTAAGAGCCTAGTTCAAAGAGGCCTTGGTATGTTGCTTGGGTCATTGACGGAGAACTAAATAATGGTGACAGAAAAGACAGGCCTTATATACAGATTCGTAGGCATGTGGGAAGGGATGGATGAACGAATGATGTATCTGTTGACTATTGATGCCATTATTTCCGGATCCCGATAAGCAAACAGCTTTTCGTACGGAAGGGTTATTGACCGATAAGCTAAGAGCTCAACTCATATATATGGATGTCGAAACCACTCATCGGACACTTTCGGTGTCCGTAACCGATAACAAACATATGATACCGAGACTAATGCACTGAGTGATGTTTCAAGTCGGAAGCCAGAGTCACTAACCAGAGGTCTTAGAGTGACACAATAGGGAGTAGCCTATCATGATTTGTGCAAGAAGGCATGCGGGGGGAACAGTTGAACTAATGGTGGAGCTGTTGACTATAAATGACCGATAAGCAAACAACAATTCGTACGGAAGGGTTATTGACCGATAAAGGCTCATCAAGTAAGATCTGGATGGCGGGACTGTTGACTGATACCACCCAGTTGACTGAGATCGGTATTCGGAGTCCATGACCGATAACAAACATATCTATCGAGCCTATTGCACTGAGTGATGTTTCTCTTGACTAGAGTCAACAAGCCAGTCTTAATTTATAGACGTTAGAAGCCAAGACGGAAACATCCACGACATGTTAAACATCCAGTGCTATCAAAACGTGTTTAATCACATGGACATACGAAGTTGCTTATCACACAAACGTTAACTTCGAAAATTCAGGCCACTTCCTGGCAGGGCACCAAACTATTCCTTTGTGGGTGCATAGTTCGGACCCGCGGGCATATTTCATTAGGCCATGTTGATTTGATTATATGGATGACATCAAAACCCCAAAACTGATGCGACCGTGCAAATAAAAAAAAGGTTGGCAAAAAAAAGTTGCCTTCATTATGAAATCTACTGGGTCATTAGGGTTGAACAAATGACTAAGCACACAGTATATGGTATGTATTCAAATACATGTAACTGTAACAGACACACACGCAGACAAAAAATGAAATCAGAACCTCATGACGCCATGATGCAATATCCTGGTTAAAAAACTGCAGTTGCTTAAGTTAAGACATGATTAAAACACACCAAATGATGTGTATGGTGTTATGTATGTTTCCCATACAAATGTACTTGGTTATAAATAGGGCACATTTTGTCTACAGTACAGTTACTACTTGTGTTTTCCCAGACATACATGATACATGTATGAATGAAAGTTGTTCAACAACAAGATAAGGTAATACCAAGGAGGTTTAAAACCAACCCCCTTACTTGCTACTAAATCAGTAGCTGATTATTGCTAAAAACATTTGGTGCAACTTCATTCATAAAGGTGTGAAAGTATAGCCTGGGGTTATATTGTTAGCATCATGGCATCTGATCAAATAAAAATGTAATAGTGATTATTTTTAGATTTTACAAAATATATATAATCTTGTTTAATGTGGATTCAGCTGACTAGAAAATTAAAGCTTCATTGACAAAGAATATAAAAAAAGATTAATGTAATGTTCTGTTCATAGTTTACTATGCCCATCTTCTACGCTGGCAGCAGTAACAGCATTTGTACGCGCTAGTCAACGCATCGTCACGAGTTCCTCGGAAGAGGTTGGGTGGATGGCGACTGTGCTGTCAAAGTCAGCCTTGGTCGCGCCCATTTTAACAGCCACTGAGAAACCCTGTAACATCTCATCACAGCCAATCCCCATCATATGGACACCTACAACCTGGGAGCAAGAAACATTTCAGAGTTATCAACCAAGAATTGCGGTGTTCAAAACTCCAAGAACTATCGTAGAGTGGAACTCGTTGCCTTCAAGCACAGTTGGGGCATCATCACTAGAAAGCTTCAAACAATTTCAGCAAATAAATGTGCAACGATTGGGTGTAACAGGTTGTTTGGTGTAATATAGTCTACCTGCCGCTGTGCCGCGTGCCTGCAAAGCCAAGCGGTTATAGTGGCTATAGCAATACAGATACATGTAGGTACACAGAAACTTCACATTGTTTCTAAGAAGCTGATGGTAAATGATCTACTATTATTTGCCAACACCTAAAAACACAGTAAAAGTCAAAGCATGCACCAATGATGAATAGACCATCAACGGAAGAAAGGAATGAACAAATGAAGGAGCAAATGGACGAATGAATGACAGAATTTTACCTTCTCCTCTGGAAGAAGACAGATCATCTTCATGATGGTTTTAGTTTTCCTCTCAGTGACAGCGTGGTACATGGGGGTGAAACGTGTGCTGTAGATCCTGATGTTGTCTTTCCCATACTTTGCCACGGCCTCGTCTGAAACGAATCAAAAGGGCAGCCTAATTACACATCAAATTAATCAGCACAAGACAGGACACAGACTGTTTTCATATACTTAAAACAGCCAAACCACTCAATAAGCCAGTTCATGTTTAAAACTGTGCATAAACACAAAATCTAGCCAGGAATTGAACCCATAACCTCTAGACCTGGGGTCTAACTTTTCAGTAAGCCTAACTACTTGGACATTGACATACACGTACATGTACATTCAGTCAACTGATCCAATGACCAATAGCTAATGATCATAACACAATCAATTATGGTAAATATCTCCACCTTCTTCCAAAAATAGTCTCATTAGGTTGGTAAAGTATAGGATACAGGATTGTGTTTTTGCCGCAGAAGCTCTGAGGAAGGTGTCTGATAGACATCAAAATGTCAGCAATGTTAACTATCTTGATTGGTTGTTTAAAAGAAAAGCCCTGTATCTCCACCTTCTGTAAGCCCGACTGTCCCAATAGGAGGGTGTGAGAAGACCACTGTGGGAATGTTGTCGTAGTCCAGTTTGGCATCCTCACTGTTAAACACACGATGGGCCAGCTTTCTTCCTGCTGCTATGGCAACTGTTATGTAAACAAAAACAGACAAACAGAGAAAACATTTTTTATGTAGGACATGAGTAAAATTTCTCAGTTGTAACCAAAAGATGTTTATTACAAGCTAATGCAGCAAACATCTTATAAACAGTATTCTTTCAGCGACATTTAGCTTCAAGACATTGGGAAGAACTTGAAGTGATAATATATAACGTATCATCTAAAAGGTTATCAAAATCTGTAAAAAAAGGCACCAATCATAATAACTTCTCTTCATAACACACACACACAAACAGTATGGGTAAGGGTGTGAAGTCTGCCATCTCTGATTGCCGTGTTTTGTATACAGACCACTGTGTATACAGACAATGTAATATATTATTATAATCCCACCTGGAGTGAGAAGTGCCTTCCCACAAACGTCCCCCAGTGCGTAGATACCCTTCGCTGTTGTGTTCTGGTACTCGTCTACCTTGATGTTTCCACGAGAATCAAGTTCCACACCCTATGGTAGACATTAGTGTTCTAGTTTGATTACCAACATTTAATGCATGTTTGTCTATAGTAATTTTTCATGTAAGTTGAGTTACTTGGTAATATACATGTAAACAAGTCATGTAAGATACAAAGAACAACATGCCAGCAGTTTAAAAACCATCCTCATCATCATTATTCTAGGGTGCCTTCACCCCTTGGCTGACTTGAAAACCATAATCCAACCTCCCAAATTACTACAGTTCATGCACATCACCTAGCAGTTCAGACCAAAACTGCAGGTCCAGCCGTGCTTACCACAGTGTCCAGTCCAATCTCTGTGTTGGGTACTCGGCCGATGGCCCACAGCAAGGTGTCCACCTCTGAGATCTCCCCATTGTTGGTGAAGACAGTCAGTCTTCCATCTGCTGCCTTCTCTACTTTAGAGACCTTTAAATAGTAGCAAACAACAAAATTTAATGTAGTGATAAAATTCTCTCAACATCTCAATCCAGTTTCAGCTTACTGAATGTTTAATCTTACTGATCGTAACAATAAAGAAAAAAGTTATTCACAGCATTAACAGGTTCAATAATCCAGAAATCCCCCAAAACAGAAAATATAATTACAAATAACAGCTCTTGGTCACACATTGCAAACTAACTACAACTGACAGTCCAAACCAGTATGTTACAGTACTCTGTGTATTGTATTCCCAAATTCTTGCTTGATGTTAATAACTGTCTATTGGAAGAAAGTTTGAGTTTTACCTGTGTCTGTTTCATGAGGTTGATGCCGATGTGCTGCAGCTCTTCTGTCAGCTCTGAGCTGATCATACTGTCAAACGTACGCAACACCTACAAAAAAACACATGGTGCAATCATGATGCTTGTTTTTTATTGCCCTCTCTGTGTTTAAAACGAATGACAATCACGCAGATTATTTTGAAATCTTCAAAGGACATGCATTAAGCCACCTAGTAATTTAGACCAAAACTGCAAGATGGGTTACTGTGGGCAGTTGTCTTGAGTTTTGTTTACTGTATGAGTGCCTACCTTATCTTTCCTGATAAGTAGTGAGACATCTGAACCAAGTGTCTTCAGAATTCCCGCCATCTCTACAGCAATGTACCCTGCACCAACCACCACTGCCTTCCTGGGGAGAAAAAAAAACAGAAAGGCATCAGATAAAGGATTCTTTGATAATTAGGGAAGCAAACATTCATTTAGAGAATAATACACAGTACTACAGTACAACATAAAATAACCGTTACAATATTTTCCATAACTTTCCATATGGACGAAAAATAAAAGCATCTCACTTTGGAAGGTCTTCCAGGTCAAAGAACCCATCACTAGAAATTCCATACTCCACACCTGAGAAAGAAATTAATTGCAAAGGTGAAAAAAGAAATTTAACATGATTTGACAACCAGCATGGTTTAAATTATTACTAGTACACTATATGTGTATCCAATACAGATAATAAGCTTTTAGTAGTAAGTTTTACAGACTGTGATTTTTTTTTTAGCATAGGCCAAATTTGTGGGCAAATGTACAAGATATTCCATACCAGGAGTGTTAGGGAACACAGGCCGCCCTCCTGTAGCGATGAGGATGTGTTCTGCTGTGTACCTGTTCCCATCAACCTCCACACACCTCTCACCTACAAATTTGGCATCTCCTACTATAGCCTCCACATGACTCTGAGGAAAAACAGAACAATATGGTCAACAGGTGAAATTCATGTGAGACAATGTGCATATAAATTGTAACATATATAACATCCCTTCTTGCAATCAGTATATTATACAAGGAACATCCTCTTGAATGCGACGTAAAGTCGTTGATCAGGTGTTGAGGAAAGCCACACTTGAGCAAGTTAAAGATTGTTCTATAAATAATAAAACATACATTTAATTTGGTGTCTCAAAGGTACACGCAAAGTTGTAAGTATGTACCTTGTCAAGGTTAGACTTGTATATTCCATTCAGGTTTTTGATGTAGGCATCTCTCTTGTCTTTGATGGTCCTGTAAGAAAATAAAGACATTTTTCAAAGACATGGTATGATGCAGAATTGCTTACTAATACGTATTTCATACCCTACAACTATACAAGGATAGTTACAGTACTAGTGTAGTCAGATCCTTCAATACTGTTGGGTAAATAAGCTATAAGTAACTGTAAGATTGTTTTCATGATTCCATACTCAACACCTGAGAAAGGAATAAATTGCAGAAGTGAAAAAAAGAAACAACAAGAAACACTTTACAACAGAAGAGTACATACTTCCATGTGAAGGTGGTGGTACCGTTGACATCAAACCCATAGTCCTTGTGGTCCATCAGGTACTCTGCATGGACCGCTGTGTTCCACATCACCTGGGACATAGTACCATAGCACATCATTCCATAACATATTCAGCACTGCAGCTAGAAATGAAAGCTCAAACTCGGAGCAAACTGGTTAATGTTAAGAGTTAACTCTGGGAAGCCAGTGACTTTGGTACTCTACATGAAAAATATCATGTTATTATTTATCATGATGAACACATTTTAGCACAAGAATTAAACTTGCTGTAAGACAGTCATGTGCATGATACTGGAATTCGAAATTTCAAGTTCAGTGTATAATTACCTTTTTGGGGACACATCCCACATTGACCTGAAACACACAGAGCAAGAAAGGCATATAAATCACAATGAGGAACAATTTCTATACATTCATAGATAATGGTTAACGTTAATTCAAACAACACACCTGTTTAACCCACTGTTACAAGTTATCCGTATTGTACTCTTCTTAATAATGGCCATTTTCTGGTACCGGTACAAGACATTTGTTTATTTGATGACATATTCTAGTGGTTTATAAGCCAGGTTAACGTGTCCTTATAGAATAGTCGCTATGTATGACTTGCAATTACCCAATCTACAATGAGTCAGCAAAACAAACAGCTCAATTTTCGGTGGAAGCTTCGAAGAAAACTCACACAAGTTCCCCCCAACCGTGCTCTCTCTATGATCGCACACTTGGCGCCAAACTCCGCCGCTCTGCGCGCGCTGGCCAGCCCTCCTGACCCGCCCCCGATCACCAGGTAGTCGAAACTCTTCGCTATCGGCGCCATGGTGCAGAGAGACCTGTAGAAAATACGCCCCGCGAACATAACAAATAAAGGAACGGTCCAACAACTTTCTATCAGATCACGCCCCCGCGTCTTATCTTGTAGGTCAGAGGTCAAAGTTCACTTTTAGTTACTTTCGATGATCTCGTACCCAGAGCTTCAGACAGTGAACATTTTGCATGAGATTTGGTTGTAAAATGTTGCATTTTCTCTTCTTAAACCAGAAATACGTATAAGTCTCCTATTGAGGCTGAAATTATTACATAAAGCTAATTTACCACTAGTGTCAGACTCATTATTTTCTGGTCAACTATCTCCTTAGATCAATGAGGTTATAGGGGGAGATAACCTCCTTGCTATCATTCATCCTCTTTCTTCTTCTTTTGACGGTGAATTTATGAACGAATGTTACTATTACCAAAAGAATCGCCATGCTGTAAAGTACTACTATAAGCGAACTTCTGCTGTTACGAAGTAGGTCATCAGGCTATCAGGCTACCACATGACGTCACGTGTTTTTGGGAACGAGAGCATAGGTGACAAGCAAAATGGAGGAAGTAATCAACGATGTTGTGGATCCGGAGGATTTAAAGGTGAATTGTTGCCTTTGAATGAACTGTTTTGATGAGCCATATGGTAGAAACTTGCAGCAAATAGTGATGCAGTTTTTACCGGGTACTTTCGGTCAAATAAGCCGAAGTTTGCCCTGTCTATGATATCGTCTGCGAAAACAAAATTTTGGAAAGCTTCGAAAGGGGGAGGGGAAGGATCACTCTGAGTCATATACCGATTTCATTCACAAACGTACACGTAGGCAAATTATGTTGTAGTAGTTGTTAAGCTAAAACACGAAAAAATGAAACAATTCAAGAAGGATTTTGATTCAAATTTCACTACCAAATTTTATTGATTTTCACTGATTCTGTTGTTTTATAGCTTTTTTGTAACATTATACGCTAAATTATAATCACTCTGTCATATAAGAACCCTCATATCAATAGCATTGGACAGTCAAATCATACTACACATGATTTGACATAACTTAATATTTGCTAGATATATAGCTCTAGTCTAGATTTTAACCGATGATTATAATAATAAATCTTCATATCTTAACGTTTATCCCTTCAGAAATTTGAGAGGAAGTACAACAAAGAACTGGTAGCAGGGAACATCACAACAAACACACAGTTTGAGTATGCCTGGGCTCTAACCAGAAGCAAGTATGGGAACGACATCAAGAAAGGAGTCGGTCTGTTGGAAGGTGAGAAGAAGCTTTTACATTAATTTTGATTTAACATAACGTTACATGAATCAGTTGGTAAACAGCCTCATGACATAATGTAACAACCTGAGTATACAAAAGAATGTACAACAGGACAAAGGGGGTCGGGACTACTGGTAGAACTCTCTGGCACTTGTACCTTTAGAACTACATTGTATATATATGGGTGCTACAGCACTCCCAGCCCCAAGGACAGACAACACTTAACTAACTAAGTTCCTGTTCTGAAACAACAGGAGCTCTTTAACTACTTTGCATCAACCTTGTATTGACTTTTTCTAACTTTTGTTTCCATCATTCATAGAGTTGTTCCAGCAAGGTGATGAGCAGACACAGAGAGATTACCTGTATTACCTGTCCATAGCCAACTTCAGACTCAAGGTAGGTGAAAGGCCTGAAAAGTCTCAGCCATTACTTCTTTTAGCTATACAGTATATACCGGTATGGTAGTAAATACATTGTTTCTCGCCGCCCAAGTTGCCAAGAATTTTATTGCAAAAGTTACAAGAATGCAGAATACAAAGAAATATCTTATAGCTCTGGCATGAGGAATGGGACAATAGCTGAAGTTAAATGATACCCATGTTGCATTCCATTCTGGCTAAGATTTTTCTACATTACAGGACTATGAGAAGGCACTGAAGTACTGCCGGGCCATCCTACATGTAGAACCCAGGAACCACCAGGCTCTGGAGATGGAGACACTTATCAAGGAGAAGATGGCCAAAGGTAAATAGTTACATAAAATTTCTCAATCTTTGTACAATGTACCATCCAATTCTGAAGCCTGATGCAACAAAAAGTACAGTGAATTTCATAAGGTCAACTACAAGCCACAAATTATTGTCTCTGTCAACGTTACAGAGATTGTGATAAGGATCTCTGGCAATACAATCTGCAACTTTTGGAGACTCTTTGGAGACCTTAAGGTCACATGCCTTCCAATGGAGAAGTATCCTAACACATGGATAATAATGTTTGATATGTGTGTATTTCCAGAGGGTCTGCTGGGTATGGCCATTGTTGGAGGCATGGCTGCTGTAGCCCTGGGAGGGATTGCTGCTGTGGGATTCGCAGTCTCCAAGGGGAAAAGTTAGACCACACCTTCAGAACCCAAGGATGTTCCATGAAGAACCAATTACATGTATCCATAACGACCAATAGAAAATCAACGAATCATAATCATCCAATAGCTAGAGTCTGTACTAGTTTCAGAGGTCTAAGTTTGGTACGTATTAAGTTAGCTTGAGATTTTGCAGTGCATAGCACTTTTCATTATCTACATCGTATAGATGGTATTATGATACATAAGTATATTTGTTATTATTAATCATGCTGATATTGACCTCCCACCTCACAGCCACCTGCTATATAGAGTAAGTGATCATGTTTTTTTTTACTGTAGTTTGAATCTTGGACTGATAAAAACAAAATTCATATACTACAGTGAAATATTTGTTTAGCTCGTAGACTATACATATTTTATGTTTGTTCATGGTGAGTATATTTATCCTTCATATTTTTGCATATTATTCTATAACTATAAACTCCCTTGACTTTAATATATAGAAATAGAAAGTGGGAGTAACTACAATGTATACATGTACATGTAATTCTGTAATAGGATCAATTGCTCAAAACAAATCTGCTTAATTGCCTTTGCAAGAGGGATCTAATGTATGCATCTGTATCAGTATAGATCCGGCATAACACACCAGTTTCTGCGTCTGTATAGCCAGTACAACTACCCTTCAGTGTAACACACCAACTCAATGATTCAACAGTTATTGTTATTAATAGTGTTACAGTAGATATTTCTCACATGTATAGATTGGTATATTTTGAATATCTCAATCCACTAATGTGGTATTACATGTATTATTTATCACAATAGAGAGTAAGAGATACCTTGAAAGGTCTTGAAAGCATATATTGGAAGTGAAAGGTATAACAATTTGTGACTTACCCTCCAAGTGCTATTATAAGCTAATATATAATATATAAATGTACAAGTAGATAGTTACTCTGGATGTTAAGCATATCAGAAAATCGGCTTTATGACAATTGTCATGACCTTTACTTCCAATATCTGCTTGAAAATAATTCTTCTTTAAGAATGCATCATTGTACTACATGTAATGTTACTTTAATAGTATTCAATGAAGGATGCCAAAAAAAAGTTACAGGCAGATTCCCAAATAACGTTTTGTTTGCTAGTTTATGAAGTATAAAATGCGTACGAAATGTGATAGGTGATGTTGAATTTGTATAATTATTAATTGAAATCAAAATGAATAGTTGTTGAATTCACTTGTAATTGTTCTTTGCCTGGTCTCTTTGGTACTAGTACTAGAAATATACCGGTAGTCTTACCTGATTGGGCCATTCTATCATTCCTTTTTTTTTCTGATCCATGAGTCAGAAAGGGTGAACATCGTTTAGTGTACAGATTTTATATACTTTAGGCCAAGGCCTGAACTAGAAATACCCGATTGGGTCATTCCATCTGATGATCATTGAAGTTTTATAATAGAGCCAACAATTCCAGAATTTTTTCAGGTCCGGAAGTCTAAAAAAGCGAACATCGTTTAGTATGAAAATTTTTTATAACGCTACTTATATCATAAAAGTGAAAGTGGTAAAATCTTTTAGACTTCATGCAAAGATGTACCACCCCTATGTCTTAATGGTATGTCCTGTTGACCTCCAGTCACCCTCCAGTGATTATGCAATTATCCAACATGGCGGTGGGTTTGTTTTCTAGTCCGGTACTTTTAAATCCGTAAGAAGAGTTGTCTCACGCCTGTGCACCTAAAACAGACGCAACATGGACGGTAGCGTCAAGATCATCAAGCCCAACCCCATCGAGAAGGCAAACGTCTTTTCTAAACTGTTTTTCTGGTGAGTTTTGTCTGGTATGGAAAATGTGTTGGGGATAGCATACTGTCTGTAGCGTTAGCGTGGGTAGAAAGTAGGTCACCGGTCACTGATACAAAACAAGACACTGCTTGGAACAAAAGCTGTTATCGTTGGTTATGTAGCTGATTTCAGCATATGGTATGCTTGAGGACAGTGCTCTTGTAGCGAATCGGTACACAGTCTACTTTTTGACCATAATTTTGACCGAAGTCCATGCGGCCATGTGCACACAACCCTCCACTCATAATTTATTTTGCCATCATTCACCATTATATAACATTGCGCAGTGTACGGCCAAAGTACATGAAGCCAGGGCTGGAAATTTTTTTGCATACCTGAACAACGACAACAAGAACATTGTCCAACAAATTGTTGCAGTGCAGTGGGACACTCATATCAACCTAGCCCAGCATGGTGCCAGACTGTTTCCAGGGCCTACACAGCTGGTCAACTCCTCGGTTCCTAGAGGGCCAACATGCCCTGAAGGAAATTATACCACAGCCCCCACATTTTAGCCTAGTTACCATACTCAACAGGGTCAGCTTCGGGGTGTTCGACCGGCCAAAGGTTGTTTGGTCCCCAATAGGAGTTTAGTGGTGTTTCTAATTTCTATATACGGGGCGGCAGATAGAAACGGCTCAGCTAAACTCCTGTCAGGGGCCAAACAACCTCTGGTCAGCCGGACACCCCGAAGCCAAGCCGTTTGAGTATGGTAACCAGGCTACCACATTTAGGCCCTGACTCGTACGCTGGCTATTTAAAAGTAACTCAGTCTGGCAATGGCATCCAGGGCTCCAGGCTAATATCAACCACAGTCCAGTTAGCAAAGCTGGTACTACTACTGGTACTACCGGTCATTCGACGCAATTTGACCCACTGTCCATCTAGGGTCAAGGCCACTTGCTTAAGTACTACTGCAAAGAGGTTCACCTAGGGGGGCCCACCAATTCAAGTTTCAACCCATCAACACATGGACAGACACGTTGACATGATAATTGTCTCGCACTGTCAAGATTTTAAGGGCCAGGCTGCTCTCCTTTTCCCCCCTACGTTCAGGTAGACATCAGATTCAGAAATACCTGCACAGCCCCAGTTTTACCTGCAGTGCTGCACTAAGGTACATAAGTAACATATGGACACAAGTAACCATTATGTATGGACACAGTACATGTTTTCGAGCCCTGGTAGAATTATTGTTACATATTTGTACAGCCATACAAATGTTAGCAATACATTGAATTTGAATAAGAGTAATTTTAAAACTACTGTAGTTCTTGGAGACTAGGAGAGTAAAAAAGTCAGTCATCAATGTGTGTGTGTGTACATGCACACGTACACGTAGAGGTCTAGGTTGGATAGTTACCTATTAACTATAACGTTACATAGCAGCAAGGTCATGTGCACTGCAATCTGCACACATTCATCACACAAGCATTTTAGTGCACACTGAGGTCAACACACCTGTTTTTTTGCTGTGATATAATTTATTTGCAAATGTATGGTTACAGATTTTGTTCTTGTCTCTAATGTCACTCAATAATGATCTCAATACAATTGTAGTAAAATAAGCCAGTAAGTTATAACACGGTGAATCAGACTGGCTTATTGTTTTTTTAAGGTTATCCAAAAGGTCATATGTAGACCTGTACAATGTACCACACTCAGGTACATGTACTTTGTACATGTACTACATTACATTCACAGTAAATATATATGTGGATATTAACCAAGAATTCAGGTACACCATACCGCAGCTACTGTACATGTACTCAGTACATGGAGCTGAGGTACTGTACCTGAATTCTTGGTTTACAACTAAGTTCCGTGTACTGATACACATATGCACTCGTACGTATGCACTTGTAATAATTTGAGATGTTGATGCAAGTCATAATCGGACAGGTAAAAAATGTGTCATCTTTTTCAGGAGACATTGGGGTGTTTGTATGTCCTTTCACATTTCATTTTCATGACTTTTTCCAATCTTTATCCTTCATAACTGCTATTAAAATCTGTCAGTTTTCTCCCTACACCCTGCTGCGTAATTTATACTACTAGTATATAATTTATTATACCTTTAGTACTGATAGTTCAATGGTGAAATTCTGCCATGCATTATGATTATGCAGGCTGTCATATGGTGGGCTTTTAATTTTGGAATCTACATTTACGTAATGTACAGAATCAAACAATACAATGATATACATAAGTACTTGTAAATTCCCTTTATGAGTGCATGTAAACTTTTCAACTGTATGAAAAGGTGACGCTGAGGCCATTCCACCTGGGCAGACACATTACAAACTTGAAACACAGCCAAGACAGAAACAACACTGTATGCACTCAGTGGCGTGCCAATTAATACCGCTTTCTTGGCTCCCACGGTAATTTGGCTCTCTTGCATTGTATAAAGTCATTACAGTAATTTACACAAGGTTTCTATTACAGCTTATTCATGGAATAAGGTGTCACACAGAGCATGCTTTGTTGAGCACAAAGTGTAGCCTTGAAATCTTTAAGTTTAACACATTGTATGTACATGTAGTTAAATGCATCAGAGAGCATGGAGGTAAACAATGTGCCATTGGGTGACATTTTGACCTGTAAATTGTTCTGCTAGAATTAAGGAACTTGCAGAAGGATTCTGGTTTGTACTAGTAGATTGGTTCAACGTAGGACAAATGTATATATTGAGTGCTACTTGAATTTGCCTGACAGTGTACAGATAATTAACAATTTTGAAATGAAATGTAAAAGTTAACCACACTGAAATGGAAATAAGCTCTGTAATCTGTGAATTTTTTTTTATTTCAGTCTATCTAACTTCTATCCTAATATGTAAAGTGATTTGGTATACATTATGTAATATATGCTGGTACTGGTAAGTGGTACAGTCGAAAATGCAAGCAAGGAATAATATATGAATTGTACACAAAAGTATACCTTGTAAGAAAGTTTACAAAATTGTACATTTTGCAAGATCATCCAACAAGCAAACTTTTTTTTTTAGTTTCTTGCAGGAAAATGGACATGCAAAATGAAATTGCTTTGACTTGAGCATGTCTTTTTCTAGTAAGAACAAACATGTCTATGCACCATATTAAATGCTATCCCTCTGCATTAGGAAACCTGATCCAAGACTGCATGCAAATGCAATGCCGTGACCTTGCCCCTACAAGTCGATACAGTTGCAAAATTCTTCCCTTTTTCTCTGAATTCAATACAGACATTTGTTTGATAAGAAAACAGAAATCAGCTCACCACGTAAACAGGTAGATAGACCAGCTAGTCTAGCCTTACTTGATTAGCTGTGGGAAACAATAGCATTTTATATTCCAAGGCGGGACCAGAGTGTTTACATAGCTCTCACTACTCAGGTGTAACCAGGGTTCATGTTTGTGGGCCGCTAGGCACGTCGCGTGTTTGCCAGAGTGTTTTGACGGTTTAACCGCTACGAGTGGGGGCCAGCGCTAGCAGCCAGCTCCTCGTAACAAAAGGGAAATCCGGTTCCACCCCAGCTAACGTTAATCCCACTTTGCATGTAGTTTTTAAAAGCCGTGGAGGTGTAGACTGTATAGTAGGACAGTTAGAAATGGAGGATTTTAGCTGTGGTCCTGCTACGGAAAGCAGAGAACACTTGGAGCCACAGGAACCACCAAAGAAAAGGTTGGGCTAACGTTCACTTAAATCTTATTTGTTTGATCATCCTTGTTCTGTGTTTACAGATCAAAACGTCACGTTTTTAAGACAGGGTGGACGTAAACATGTAAAGATTCGCTGATTTTGAATCTTTTAAAGCTTAGGAGAGTGCAATGTGTAAATGTTTTTATAGAGGCTGTGCACACAAATTTGATTGAAGTAAGTACATGTACCGTCGCTGCTGTGGAATTTGATGCTTAGCCTAAACAAAGTTTCAGCTAAGTACACCTGTATGTACAATGTAGGGGAACATTTTATTTTCTTGTGGAAGATTTGTTTCTTGTAACTAAGCATGCCAAGAAACTTAACATTTGAACTGAACTTTGTGGTTAGATGGCCTATAGTATATAGGAATTCACAGCAAATTTACATTTGCAAAAAAAATAATTTTAAGCCAGCCGTAATTAATCCTCTCTTCTTTAATGAAGTCTTCTGACTTAACCTAACTACATAAACATTTTAATGATCTAACCAAGTGAACTTTGCTCAGTACAAATATTACACAAAGACCTTACAATGTACGGTGTGGACCTTAACTAGGTCTAGGTTCAACAGGACAGAGCTCTCACTTCAGGCCTTTTGTCTGTGTGGCCTTTTGGAACCTTACAGCTCAGGGATTTCTGAACGTTAACAACTGCCTGGGTAACCTGAACTACACAGTTTAGAATGTCAATAATACTTGTGAAAGGAGTCGGAGTGTTGGTGTTGTTCATAATGGGAGTCTGGCTTTGTGTGGATATTTTGAATGAATCGAAGGCCTAATGTGTTTGTGGAGTAATGTGTCAATGAATCAATAAACCACTGACAGATTTTGGAACACCTTTTGTCTGATTTTAATGGTTTGGAAGACCTGTACAAAAAGCTGGTTAACTGACTTAGCATTGATGGTTTTAAACATGTTGTGGTCTCCAAGTCTTGCGTTTACATGTAAGTTGTCAAGTATTCAATGAAATGTTTACTTTTTAAAGTTAATCATTACATTTTGAATTTTCTAAACACAATGCCATATACTTGTATATATCAGTGTACATGTATGCCTCCTGTACATTGTTTATGCTTTAATGAATTATGTGTGAAAGAATAAAAAGCTCAATAAAAATGACAATAAAATTAAAGATACACATATCTTGGATCTCTAGGTGCAATATTTTAAGGCCTGAAAACTTTCTTTATCTTCAAAAGTATCTGACAGTGTTTTAATCTGAAATATTGTTGTAGTTTTGTTCTTTGCCTCAACATTTTCCCTTGTGTTCACAGGTGGTTGAATCCATTGTTCTACACTGGTTACAAGAGAAGACTGGAGGAGAGGGACATGTACAATGTGAAGTATGAGGACTCCTCACAGAAACAGTGTGACGACCTAGAAAGGTGGGAACTCTACAAGCTTTTACAGCTGATTTTAGTCAAACATACGGTCACTCCAATTTAATTTCTCGGATTTGAAAGAATAAATCAAAATCAACATTAAAATTACATGGGGAAAATACATGATTGTAATACATATACATTGTACCTTGATATACACAGCATCAGGGAGTGAACATTGAAGTTTTTCTTCCCGCTTCTTTATCGTTACATTTTGTCTGTGTAATGTTACGCCGAAGGGCAGTTATACCAGCTATACTGATACAGATACAGAATGATCACTTGCTGAAATTTTGCTAAGAAATGTCCAGGAACCAAAGAAAATTAACTAGTGTAGTCTAAATTATACATAGAATCATTTTGCCAAAGAAGAGATGGTTTTGTAATGTTTACATCATTCTGTTCCTTTCTGCCATTTTGAATTACTAGTAATTACATATTTTCTCCATCTTTCTGCCTCAGAGAATGGAACAAGGAGCTACAGAAGAGAGGGCGGTCCCAGAAACCCAGTCTGTTGAGGGCAGTACTTAGATGTTATGCTCCTGGATGGAGCTTGTTAGGAATTATAGCTTTTATAGAGGTAAGAACACTTGTCAATATATATTTTGGCACTAACTTTGACAGATATACACGTATCAACATTACACTGAGACAATAAAGTTGGTTTTCATTATTGTGTTGAGTACCAGTATGTACTTTCCAAATAAATAAAGTAAGGACTTTAAATCTTTATTCTTAGTCCCAACAAAAGATACAAATTGGAACATTTGTGTGGGAAAAACTATTAATGTAAGTTCAAATGTTTTGTGTGAATAAAACTATAAAATACTATTTGGTTTGAAATCACACAATCAGACCGTCATCAAATACAATTACAAAACTTTTATGTTTTATACACGTATATAATTTTTTTTTGCTGCATGATGTTGAATTTACATTGTATGTCCTGCATGGTACCATTTTGAATGCAACAATTTTATTACATGATGTATTTCTTTTATGTAGGAAGCTACCAAAGTTGTCAGTCCAGTGTTGCTGGGAAAACTAGTGGACTACTTCAGCCCAGACACACAGATCTCCCTTGGTAAGTATGGAGAAATAGTAGGGCCTGTATGAAAGGAATTACAGTTTAAGTTACATTGTGCGATGACACGTGAAACCTGCAATTTTGTGGCATTACTCTAACAAAGCATCTTTTGTTATAGGATAGAAACAACCAGGTGCATTAGGTATAGTGCAAAACAGTTTGCAACAAATCATTAATTTGCTTTCTGCTTTATTTTCGTTTGCACCTGCAACAACTCCACTCACTGAATTCTGGGAGGTACTGGGACAGTAACAAAAAAAGTTAATTTTGAGGCCTGCGACGTACTAATTTTCTGACACAATTTTTTGCAAAGCATGATCATGCTACATGTAAACCTCAATGGAGGTTGACTCAGCTTTACTGTGTTTACATGTAGCTTTAGCTTTTCTGATGTCTTCACAGGGGAAGCGTATGGCTATGCTGCTGGGATCAGTGCTTGTGCCATGGCTCTGGCAGTCCTACACCACCCATACTTCTATGGAGTCTCCGTCTATGGCTGGAGACTACGTGTTGCATGCTGCTCACTTATACACAAAAAGGTTGGCTACTGACAGTAGTAAAACGTATTACCAGTAAACCTTGAATGTTCGCAGTCACCAGTTTTCTTTGCAGTGACGTCTCTTCTGTAAATTTTTGACATGGCAAATATACAATCATAATTATGATGATAATGCAAAATTTTCCAATCTTGTATTTCGACAGAATTGTTTCAACTACAAACTTAACAGAAAAAAACAAACTTTTGTCCACTTCTGACATGTGAAAATAAATACATTATGCTGAGGATTGATGCATAAGCATTGCAAAAAAATTGCAATGTAGTGTGCACTGTGCAACATTGGACTGAAAATTGTATCCCTTACCACAATAAGTACAATGTGTATCCATTATAATTGTCTTGCAATAAATTTTTACCTTCTTATATTATGTGTTCTACTTTGAAACTATTAAGTTAAAGAATGAGTGAACGTGAGGGTTCATGATTTATGCAATCATGATACAATTTTGTTTTTTATGTTTCAGGCCTTAAAACTGAGTAACAAGGCCATGACAGAGACAACAACTGGTCAAATAGTCAACCTGCTCTCAAATGATGTCAACAGGTTTGACCAGGTACCCTCTTTAACTGTCATTTCCATTCTTCAGTTCATGTATGAGTTTTACAATGAATGTAGAGAGAGACTTACTAGACTGCACTGATGTGCTATCCATATTCCAGTAATTATTTGAATTTAGTCCACTTTGATGTTAAAGTACAAAAATGTACAAAGTACTTGGTAATACGTAATCTTTAAGTTAATAGTGCCTTTTTTCTTTATTCAAAATTTGTTTTCTATGCGTGTACTAGTCTTGTTGTAGTAGTACAGTAACTGTTTGTTAATTGTTAAGAATCCCACACCAATAATTTTATAATTCAGGATCACTTGAATGTAACAACCTTTTCCTTCCAGGCCGTGCATTTTTTGCATTTCCTGTGGATCGGGCCACTACAGTGTATAGCTGTTGTGGTTCTGTTATGGGACGATTTAGGCGTGGCGGGTTTGATCGGATCAGCTGCACTTCTCACAGTGTTACCCATACAGATCTTCCTGGGCAAAGTTTTTGCTAAAATCAGGTGAATGTACAACATGTGCACACATGGAGACCATGCCGAAAAGTGACTAATATGAAGAAGCAACCTCAAAATGTGGTCATTTTCTGTTTCTGGCTTTTGGAATTTTTTCTTGAACAAAAATTATTTCAGATCCCAAGAGTCCTTAAAAATCAAAACTTCAAGAAATACATGTACATACATGTACATTGTAAGTCCATCTGTCAAATTTCCTTTACTCTCAATATTTGTTTGGCATTTCTATATATTGAAATAGTACAAAATTAATGTATAGGTTGGGCCAAAAATCTGGAAATGATCACTGTTTGAGGTCACTCTAACACTCACTTTTATTGTTTTAACAATTTCTGCACCCTTTTCTACGCTCACAGGTTCCTATGTTCCTCCACTACCTGTGGATAGCCCCTGCCCAGGTGGCTACTGTTGTCTCCTTACTTTGGTTAGATCTGGGTCTTTCTGCCTTAGTTGGTGTTGTTGGGTTTGTCCTTCTCCTTCTCCCTGTGCAGACCCTGTTGGGGAGACTCTTTTCTAAGATCAGGTAATGCTTACATTACAACTTTTCTTTAGAATTTTTTTTTAAGTTTCAGCTTTCTAATTCACTTACACTAATTCCTGCTTGTCAAATCAACCTGCTTTGCAGTTAGGGCTGATTGATTGATTAATTGGTTGATTGGTTGATTGATTGATTGATTTACCTATTTTACCTACTAGTACCTTCTGGTAGGCTTACATTTGTATGTAGTAACAATGAAAGAGGTCTGGCATGGAACGATGAAACCAACTAAAGTCATGATTCTTGCAACTGTCTATTTCGATTTTACAATCAAATTTCTGCTTCAAAATTAATCTGCAATGAAAGTATTTTCAGCTGGCATAACTTTTACAGTAAGTTATAAATTACATGACATTGTATGTATAACTTACAGTTACAAATGCATGCTTTTGAGTTCAGAGTGGGTTAACTGAGATGTGCATGAAATTAGATCGTGCTGGTACTCTTCAAAGTGGATGGTCTTTTTCTCAGATACTCTTAAAATATTGTCTTCACCTACAGGAATGTACATGTATGACAGGGATGTTGAATCAGAGTGTGCATCTTCCTTGCATTTTGTTCATTGCTGCCTTCCATGTATCTGTTCCAACAGAGCAGAAACAGCAAAGCGGACTGACAACCGAGTAAGAACAATGAACGAGATCATTTCTGCCATCAGAGTCATCAAAATGTACACATGGGAGAAACCATTCAGCAAACTCATAGCCCAGTATAGAAAGTACGTCCTCTATACAAATGTTTTCTTTTTAAATGTACTTGTAATGATTGTTTGTTAAGATTGGTTAAATTTCATGACTGTCACTCAAAACAGATTGGAGTGAGATCAACTTAAGATTCTAATTACATGTATGTTTACCAAAGGAAAACATATTGTTTTTGCTCAGTTTCTTCTTCCTCTTCTTCTCCAAGCAGTGACCTCTGACCTGGTCAATGTAACTGGTGTTGGGTTACATAATGTTGCAATTTTATAGTAGGAGGGATTTAGACTCCTGTGACCATACATATGTATATGTGAATGTGTTTGAGCAAGGAGGTTCTTTTTGAACCTCCTTGGTTTGAGTAAGAATTAACAGAGCAGACCATATGCGAGGGTAAACATTATGCATTTGCAAATGTTACTTTTTTAGTTTCATTAGAAATAATTTCAAAAGCGTTTATCAGTTCTTGTCATTCAGAAAATAATCAGTTTCTGTTTCTTTTTTCCAGATTGGAGGTGGACAAAGTGCTGCAGGCCTCCTACTGCCAATCCTTCAATAACGGCTTCTTCTTCTGTGCCAGTAAAGTCATCCTGTTCTTCACCTTCATGTCTTATGTCCTTCTCGGGAACACCATCGTTGCATCTAAAGTCTTCGTGGCGATCACGCTTTTCAACGCCATCCGCCTCACTGTATCGCTCTTCATCCCATTCGCTGTGCAGAAGGGCTCAGAGGGACTCATATCTATCAAGAGAATACAAGTATGTCGGAAAATGTTGTCAAGAAAATGTGAATTCTGAATCAGTGTTTTAAGCCAGGACACATTCAGGACTTTGTGCTTCCCATCAATTCGTCCTGACCACTCCCCAACTCAAGTTGGTACTGACAGAGTCAAAATTTAGCAAGATTTTTACAGTAAATGTGTTTCTGAACCTTCACAAAATTTTTTTTTAATTATTTTAAACTTTTAAGGTGTTAATTTTTCTAGTTTGTGCTATTGTTTTTCTGAGCCTTCACAAAATTGCATTTGTGATAGTGTTTATGTCTAATGTTTGATCTACTTAGTAATAAATTCCTTGAGATGTTGTTCTTTTTGTTTGCAGACTTTTCTACTTTTAGATGAAGTAGAACCATCAACAACCCCTGACCCTGCCGTTCAGACCAGACCAGAGGACTGTCATGTTACTGTGACAGGAGTAACTGCTTCATGGGACGAGGTAAGAGTCTGTGCATTGGGAATATAGTTACTGTTTTGGGCTTGTTGGGATGTTTGTCTGTGTTTCTGTGGATCCTGATATACATTGTACAATCATGTATACATGCAGTATTGCCATGCATTCTCAGTGTGCTGCTTTTTTTGTCTGTGGGACTGGAAGACTATATTGTAAAGCAGTATAATATTCTTCTATTTCATTGTTTGATGGATTATGATTATAATTTTAAGACATAGATCAACAAATGTGTCAGAATCCTTCTTTACAGACCAATTCTAGTGTCTTTGAAATGCCACTCACACATTTCTTTGGATATTTTCATTTCAGAGCTTAGAGCCTCCCACCCTAAGGAACATTGAGTTTGAGGTGAAACCTGGAGAACTGGTGGCAGTTATTGGTCCTGTGGGGGCTGGGAAGGTACATTGTAACGTTATTCTTGAATTGTGTATAGAGTACTAGGTGATTTTAATGTCTTTTTTATGTCCTTTGACACTGATATTGCATAGTTCTTATAAAATTATGTTTGCCCATTTTCTTTTCACCAATATATGTCAAATCAATGGTAATAATGAAGAGTCAGAACATTATGAAAACTTGAACATTGCACTTACATTCAAATTCTAATTGCAGAATGACTTACAAGTCATCTTTCTCCAGCTAGTTTCTTAAATATGAGTCAATCATCTCTCAAAATATTATATTGTGACTGATTACTGTTATTGAGAGAAAATAATGTATGATTATTTTGTCATTTTTCCAGTCGTCTATACTGAGTGCCATTCTCCGGGAGCTGCCTGTGACCTCTGGGGAGGTCAGAGTTGAAGGTCGTCTGGCCTATGCCAGTCAGGTTCCGTGGATCTTCTCCGGCTCCGTGCAACAGAACATCCTGTTTGGGAAGGAGATGGAACGGGAAAAGTACCAGAGGGTCATCAAGGCCTGTGCCTTACAAAAGGTCATTGGTTTTGTTTTGTTTTCCTTTAATGCTCACGATCATATGGGTTAGGTGACATAGTGGTAGAGCATTTGACTATGAAACGGCGATACCTGGGTTTGATCCCAAGTCGTACCCGAGACATGTCTAGACATGCGCCCCGACGTTGTGCCCTTGGGAAAGACACTTAACACGACTTTTCTCACTCCACCCTGGTGTGAATGGGTACCTAACTTTGGTCACCTGGTGGCAGCCGCACAGACCCTTGCAACAGTTCCACAAAATTGTGTTGACGTGTACTACGTCTTTTTTCAAGGAAAAATTACATTAGTATCCATTTAGGTCTACAAGACCACAGTGATTGGAATTGTATACTGTAGCACCACCTAGTATAATTTTTTTTTTTTTTATAGATGTCGACAATGAAATCGAAGTCATTGGTGGCTTGACTCAGGGAGATTTGGCATCATGCTAGAATAATGATGATTGTTGAAGTCAGACTAACTCAATATTGTGATTTTACAATTGAAGCAGTGATTACAAATTTTCCAAATGTTTTTGTATAGGACTTGAGTCTATTTTCTCATGGTGACCAAACTCTTGTGGGAGACAGAGGCATCATGCTCAGCGGAGGCCAGAAGGCAAGAATAAACCTGGCTAGGTGAGTTACTGAATATAAAAGATGTTCATTTTAACTGAGGAAATAACATTGCAAATCTAATTTTATTAGACCCTGTATAGATAAGTCTTCTGAAAGAAGAACATAGAATCCTTTTTAACAGAATGTCAACTGACAAAACTTTACTTCCTACATACTTGTACATATAGAGCGGTGTACCACGATGCTGATATTTACCTGTTGGATGACCCGCTTAGTGCAGTAGACGCAGAAGTGGGGAAGCATCTCTTCGACAGGTAAAAGACTCTATTTATGGTATTTTGCTTGTACTTGCATGTATTCGTTATGGAATATTTGAGCAAAAACAAAGTTCAGCACTGAAAAAAAAATGGTTGACTGTACAAAATCAATCAAATAAAAAAATATAAAAAAAAAATATAAGTGTACGTAAGAAAAAATATAATTTCAGCCAAACCTAATCATGGACCATACTGTCATAAAATTAGGTGCACAGCTCCAAGTTGGGTACGTACAATATATTCCCATGCAAATATATGAGATTTGTTACTTTTATGTACATGTACATTGTAACTAATGCTTCTGCACGGCCTATTCAGATGTATCCAAGGCACTTTGAAGGACAAACCCAGAATTCTGGTCACCCATCAGCTGCAGTACTTACAGTCAGCAAACAAGATTCTCATTTTGAAGGAGGTACGGACTTTCCATGACAGGTCTTACAATTTAAGATAAAGCCACAGTTCTTAAATAATGTAGTTCTTTATCACCCCCTCCTTCTATTGTGTGTCAGTGTCAGACAGTGGTTTTCTTAATATAATTTAATAACTGCATGCAAGCATCTTGTCTAACCTCTATACTTATATATGCTCTGCTAGCTGTGCTTCTGTTGTACTGATAGCCAATAACCCTTTCCCTGCAAAGGGATACTGTTCAAGTCCTGTACAATCAGCACGTTGGCAGAACGTACTGGGCCTGCACGAAACCCTGATTTTGCACAGCTTTTTCGTTGGATGTTTGGCAACATTATAGTACATGTAAGTCATTACATGAGAATTTTGCCAGTTGCAGACAATATCATTTCCGACACAACTACATTTGTACAGGTGGGATGATATGTTAACCTTATACGCGTATAGTACCTAAATACAACCTTACATGGGACGTTCTGCCAAAGTGCTATATGCACAATACATTACGGGTCTAGCACAGGTGCAGTACGTTCTGCCGATGTGCAAGTCCTGTACAGTGTAGACTACTGGTGGTCACACAGTTCAACAGCAATCTGACTCTGATTCTGACTGTTGGTAGGGTGAACAGTTGATGTTGGGGACGTACCAAGAACTGGTTCAGTCTGGAGTCGACTTTACCGAGCTTCTCAAGACTGATGATGAAGAGGAGGAACCTGGGGAGGAGCATGGAATTCTGGAAATAGACGGTGGCCTGAGACATCGATCTCGAACCATGTCTAGCGGCGCCAAGGATGGGAGGGTGTTATCTCTTGACAAGATCAAGGTAATAAAGTGAGAATTTTTTTCCTCCAACACTGGAAGGATATGTACAATTCATGTACATTGTAAGATTTGTACCTTTGGCGATCCTCCCGGAATCACAGTGTAGTATTCCTGTATTTACTTGTTCTGTCTATAAAATGACTACAGCTTGAAGAGAAGGCCCCAGAGCAGGAGGAAGAGGACAGGAGAGAGGGCGTGGTGGGCTGGTCTGTGTACAGGGACTACTTCACCGCCGGAACGGGGTTGGGGGGCATCATACTGGCCATGTTCCTCAACATCGCAGCACAGGGGTTATTTATTGTCACTGACTGGTGGATGGCATACTGGTCAGTATAATATATTATACTTATTTATTGCTTTCAAGTTCTAATACATCTGTAAAAGTCACAATAGCACCTTTTCATTTTGATTTGAACATGAAAAGAGTGTGCTGCATGCAGCTTAGAGAGCATTTGAAACATATTGTTTTTGCTACGTTTCTTCTTCTCCAAACCAAAAAGGTCAATGACCTGAACCAGACTGTCTGTTACCATGGTAACCAGTGTTCTGATATATCATGTTGCAATTTTATAGCAGTAGGGATTTAGACTCCTGTCTGACCATATATATCAATGTGTTTGAGTATGAATTGAGCAGACCATATGCAAGGTAAACATTATGCATATAACATTATACACATGTAATGTTACCTTAAGTTTCTAGTTTAAAGACTTTGTTGTGTATATTTCAACCCATATTGTATTTTTTCTCCAGGGCCCAAGAGGAAGAAGACTATTACAGAGCAACCCATCCTGCTACAACATTACCCTCCAATGGGGTTAACACCACGTTACCATACAACATGACTATACCAAGTAGGTTGTGTGAAAGCTCAAAATTAATTTTTGAGACTAGGTGCACTGGTACACCCAACCTATAAAATTGAGGTGCACAAAACATTTTTGGGTGCACCATATAAGATCAAATAAGTAGAATGTCAAATTATGTTTCATTTCTTAAGAAAAGTAATAACAATCATGCTTTTATTATTTTTCTGACACTTCAAATTGGGTACACTAAGCTAAAGGTGCACATGCACCCAGTATTTCAAGCCCTGCTTGCAAAAAGAGACAACATTACAACTTCCTTTGTTGTTGATATCATTTTTTTCTTTGCTGTGGACAAACTATAGGGGTTGACACCAACCGCAACATCTACGTTCTTGCTGGAACGACTGCAGCGCTGGTAGTGTTCAGTGTGTTCCGCAGTGCCTGGATGTTTGCCATGTGCATCAAGTCCAGCCAGGTGCTCCATGACAGGATGTTCAGCAGGGTTGTCAGGGCGCCTGTCCTGTTCTTTGACTCAAATCCTGTCGGTAAGTTCTGCTAATAAAAAATTTCTGTTGTGTGACTCTTTCCATAAATATATGAAGTTTCATCGGGGTAGCAAATAAATTATGTCAGGAAAGTTGTTATATACATTTGTAAAAGCTGAAATGTCATCAGAAAAACATCACTGTTCTTCGATCTGTACTAGTTCTGCAGCTAATTAGAAAATTAAGTGTCCAACATATAATGTTTAATTTTGTTGGACATAACTGTTGATACTGCAATACATGTGAACCACTTGGTCTGAATACGCTAAGGCTCACCCTTATTCTTACCAAAAAAAACTTAGTACTTGTACAAAATGTACATGTACATGTACAGTAGTTGTTCTCTTCAAACATGGAACCTTTGGTTTTGTAAACCATAGTTTGCATTTTTAATTTGTGATGAGAGGTTGTTATCTGTTTCTTCCCAGGGCGAATCCTAAACAGATTTTCCAAAGACTTGGGACATCTGGATGATCTTCTACCTAGCATCATTCTAGACTTTGTGACGGTAGGTGGACTGTTAACAGCTACTGAATTTTCAAATGTTGAAAACTCCTGTTGAAATTTTACATTTTTCGTCTGTGTAACAGGTTGGTGAAAAAAGCAGTCCAGTCCAATCGGCGGAAAAACAGTCCAGTCCAATCGTATTTCGCAAGGGGCGCTACTACATGCAGAAATGGCTGGACTGCTTTTTTACCCCCAAATCGGACTGGATTGCACTTTCCGCCAATTGGACTGGACTGCTTTTTCCACCAACCCCTGTGTAACTCTTGGAAGAAAAATGTGCCATGTAAATTTACTCTCCAAGCAGAGGTTGTGGGGGAATGTGGCCGTGGAGCTTCTCTGGCTAATGGATACTGCCTGGCCAATTTGATACTGTCTTTTTGCCACTGATAGGGATCTGCTTGGAGATTAATGTAAATTGTCTTTCCAGATTACGATGCAGGTTTTGGGAGGGGTGATTCTAGCTGGTGTGATCAACCCCTGGGTGTTCATACCGGTGGTGCCTGTGGTACTCCTCCTAGTGGTCATACGGAGGTACTACATGCGGACATCCAGGGACATTAAGAGACTGGAGGCTACAAGTAAGTCAAAGAAAACACAACTTTCTGGAACTTCTCATGAAAAAGGAGAGTTCTGTTGTACAGTTTTACTACATTATGATAGTCATTGCTACAGACAAAGAATCTCATCATTTCTGTCACGAGGTACTGGACTGCTAGTTCAATGCATAAACCTGTCAAAACTGAGAAACAGTACTACTTGAGTCCTGTAGTACCATCATTTTTTCCAGGGGGCACTAATATCTTGCGTTTCCCCCCCAGCTCGCAGCCCAATGTTCTCCCATCTGTCAGCCACCCTACAACTTACATGTACTAGGGTTGGTGATTATGTAACGGTACATGTAGTACCATCCTTTGTTGACAGGGGGCACTAATGTCCTGTGTTTTCCCCCAGCCCGAAGCCCAGTGTTCTCCCACCTGTCTGCCACCCTACAAGGCCTGTGGACCATCCGAGCCTTCGGTGCCCAGGAGAATTTCCAGCAGGAGTTCCACGCACACCAGGACCTGCACTCGGAGGCCTGGTTCCTGTTCCTGGCAGCCAGCCGCTGGTTCGGGATCCGCATGGACTGGCTGGCTGCCATCTTCATCATCGCAGTGGCCTTCTGCTCTGTACTGGCTGCTCAGAGTAGGTTACTTTCATACCTTATTGAATTAAACATTTTGCATGTCTGTTGCCATTGGTTAAATTCATAGATAGAAATAGACTCACTCACTCATTCAATGCTCTTCTGAACCTAGTGGTTCTTGAGGTGACCGGAAAGATTTCCATCTGGCCCTATCCGCAGCTGTGTCAGGGGCTGTGTCCAGAGTCAGTCCGCTCTCTTTTAGATCTTTCTGTATTGTTCTCCTCCACATCTCTTTTGGATGCCCTCTATTTCTTTTTCCTGTTTCTTGCCATGTTAGGGCAGTTCTGGTTATTGAGTCTGGGGGCATGCAAAAGGCGTGACCACACCAGGCCCATCTACGCGCTGCAATAGTTTTCTCCAGAGTCACCATTCCTGTTCTATTGAGAAGGTCCTCGTTCGACAGAAATTGAGAAATTCACAAAAACTCATTTCACGGAGGTACATGTATGAAATCTTGGATTTCTTGATCTAGGACTGTGTTGCTTTGTTGTTTCCTGCAGGTCTGGACAGTGGTCTGGTGGGACTGTCCCTGTCCTACGCCCTGATCCTGATGGGGGGGTTCCAGTGGGGGGTGAGACAGAGCACCGAGTGTGAGACCCTGGTAAGGAAGTCTACATAATACATTATGATGCAAATTTCACCATCAACACGAAGTATATTGAAGGCACCAAGCACTTGTAGCTCTATTTGGCTGATGTACATGTCCTTCAAATAGATTTAGTCAATCACTACATTTTCTTACTCATTATATACATATTGTAATTTCAATATGTAGGTACATGTACATGTATTTGTCAATTACAACATTGGGTAATGGGAGGGGTGCACTGTACTGTATAAACCACTGAATATGAATTTGCTGCTTTGTGTGTATGTGGCTTAGCAAAATGAGTTGAAACTGGAGTGTCACATTCAATTTGTCTGCTTGTTCTTTGTGTAATTCTTATAAGAATATCAATTTAAATTTCTACACAAAAATATGTAATGTGAAGGTTGTGTAGCTACAATGTAAGGAAACTATGTTGACATACATTATATCTTGTTTTATTTTTCTACAGATGACCTCAGCAGAAAGGATAATTGAGTACTCCAAACTTGACCAGGAGCCCCCCCTGGAGAATGACTACAGTCTCCCCCCTAACTGGCCAGTCCACGGCATCATCACGTTTGAGGGGGTCAGTTTTTGCTACTCCCCTGACGGTCCAAAGGTCCTCAAAAACCTGTACGGCTGCATACGTGCAAAGGAGAAGGTAATGCAACATGTATAGTGTTGTTTTTTTTACATCCATTTGCATTTATTTCGAAATTCCTTTTTTTTTCTTTCATTTTTTCTCCAGTAATTGTTAGTCACCCTGCTTCTGAGCTAGACTCCAATCCCAACTCTTGTCACACGATGCAGGGTTGTATTATACAGGTCATGTGCTTGAATGTTTATTGTCCTGTAAAATTAGTAGAAAATCCTTCATTTTTGTTTACACAATATAATTACAAAATGTATGTAGTGTAAAAAAAAGTATAAAAATGAATCCTCCTTGTCATGATCAGTGCATGATCACTTCTTTTAATTTCTGTTCAGGTTGGAATTGTGGGTAGGACCGGTGCTGGGAAGAGCTCGTTGATGCAGATGCTGTTCCGTATGGCGGAGCCGCGGGGGCTGGTCATGATCGACGGCATCGACATCACCAAGATCGGCGTTCACGACCTCAGACGGAGGATCTCAGTCATCCCACAGGTCTCAACCTTTAGTTAGCTCCCTCAATCCTTGCTTCAAGAGTACAATTTGACAAAGTCATTTTTGGAATTTGAGAAAGGATACAAAAAAGTTGAATTACTGGTACAAGAATGAAACCCCAGAATTGAAATTAGACGTTTGCTTACTACAAAAGATGTCATGCTAAAGAAAAGATGTGATACTGCTATTCATGTATGATTACTGCCTCAGTCTGTAGAACCATATTTGTAATAGCAAAGATCTGAATGTTGCCTACATTTAATTTGCAGGATCCAGTTTTGTTCTCTGGAACTTTGAGGAACAATCTTGATCCATTCAGAGAGTTCACAGACAACCAACTATGGGGAGCATTGGAAGAGGTACACATTTGTACTGCACACTTATTTTGATTTTGTTCAACTTACATGTAGTCTTGTAAGTTTATTTTGTTGTGCCTTACAGGTAAGCCACATCATGGTACATGTATAACACAGCAGCCTTGTCCTGGAAGTTTAGGAAGTTGGTACAATGTTTAAACTTAGTATAAGTTACAAGAAACTTTCACTGGTTTGTAGTTTTGCAGTAGTAGTAAATTATGGTTGGTATGGTACATGTTTTACATTTTCCCCTTGCCAGGTCCAGCTAAAGACTGTGGTTGAAGAGTTGCCAGGAAAGCTTGAATCAGAGTTGGCTGAATCTGGGACTAACTTCAGTGTGGGCCAGAGGCAGCTGGTCTGTCTGGCCAGGGCCCTGCTCAGGAAAAACAGGATTCTCATCATTGATGAGGCAACAGCAAATGTAGACCCGAGGTACTGAACAGTTATTGTGGTGAAGTATCTCCACAGTATTTCCACAAAGAATGCATATTTGTGAGAGAATTGCATGTCAGAGTTTGACAAGAAAGGATGAATAGGTTCAACTTTAGTCAGTGTCAAACCATGTAAACTTTCTGCCACTTTCAGATATACTGTGATACTTTGAGACTCATAGTTCCATTTTAATAGAAACTTGTATCACTGTTTGAGGTTTGTAAAGAATTATCATTATACAGAGGGTTGCTCAAATTTTACACAGTACCTACAGGTAATGCTAATGTGCCTATTTTACAACATTTGCGTTTATCACAACATATCGGATCTCAACTGAAATCATGTACAGTATTATTTTGGAATATAAGATGATACTTGTATTTCTGGCTGTAGGACTGACCAGCTGATCCAACAGACCATCCGGCACAAGTTCCGACACTGCACAGTGCTGACCATCGCTCACAGACTCAACACTATCATAGACATGGACAGGATCATGGTAGGGCTTCACTCATGCTGTTTTCCTTTGCCTGATTTAACTGAAACTTATAAGTACATACATGATTGATTCCAAACACTGATCTGTAACCTGGTCAATGACCTGAACCAGACTGTCTATTACCATGGTAACTGGTGTTGGGTTACATAATGTTGCAATTTTAGAGGGATCTAGACTCCTGTCACCATACATGTATAATATGAATGTGTTTGAGTAAGAATTGGGCACTGACCATATGCGAAGGTACACATTATGCAATTTTGCTTTGCAAATGTTACCTTTCTAGTTAATCTTTACTTTTTCCCAGAGGAACAAGTAACAAAATTTGTGTTGGCCTCTTAAACAAACAGCGGAACACTGTAAAAGCTGCGCACCTGTTTGTAGGTTATAGACGGAGGACACATCAAGGAGTTTGATGAGCCCTTCTGGCTGCTGGAGGTGAAGAGACACGGCTGGTTTAGCCGATTGGTCGACGCAGAAGGGCGCGCGTCAGCCGCCGCTTTGCGGGAAACGGCAGAGCTGATCTATCGTGAACGCAACCCAAACGTTCAAATGACCTGGCTCTAAAGGCAGTCATCAGTGTTATTTTCTTTTTCTTTAATGTCAAGCAGGAGTATGGATCGGTGTGCACTGCACATCAGCTTTGGTGGGAGCACTCTGTCTTTGCACAGCATAATCTTTTCATCGAACCTCCCTCCCTCCTCAGTGCACACATCCAAACAGATGATTTTGTAAACTACACTGTAAGGTTAGCCTGGGTGCCATCCTCTGTAGTTTCCTCCTGCTCTCTAATGCCAAATGACAGGATGGCACCCAGGCTGCTGTAAGGTTGCTTGTGCTGTTGAATCCTGAAGGTGTTGTGGAGAGGAGAGAAAAATAACTCTTTCTATTGCTGCTGTACAATATAACGCTTGGTATAATGTACAATGATGTTGGCTACATGTACATTTTGTACATGTACATGTAGCATCAAATTCTATGTCATTTACATTTCATTGCAGTACCATAGACTTTTTTGGTGCAGTATACATTTACCTCTAACATAGATTTTCTATCTTCCAGTGAGTTTGGTCTCTTCACTCAGGCAACATGCATTAAAAAACTTTCTTTCTTCCCATGTGTTAGTTTTTATTTACATGATGGTATTTGTTGTGCTTTTCCTCAGTACATAATATACATTCTCTTCCTTTGGCAAGTGTGGTACCTTCTCATCCAACTTTTTGGTGGCCTTGTGTTGACATTGCGGATCATTAAAAATACCATGCAAATGTGTGGTGCCTTTTATCCAACTCTATGGTGGCTTCATAATACATATATAGACAGATCCTTAATATAATATGGAACAGTTACTTGCTGATAACTTAGACTTGATACTAAATTTACATAAGTTCCTGCATTCTTAACACGTCACGTAGATACATGTAAGTATGTGGTGTCAATGAATGTTGTTACTAAAAATGGTCTCTTTCTCACAGGTGATAGATGAGGGCCGGATAAAAGAGTTTGATGAAGCTCACGACTTACTACAAAGGGAGGGCGGGCTCTTCGGCAAAATGTTGGATCAGGTCGGAGGGAGGGCCGCGGCCGAACTTCGAGAGAGAGCGGAGAACCTCTACAAGCTGAGGCACAGGAACGACGAGATCTGGGACCAGATAAAGGACAGTCAGAGGATCCACCTCGCTAACTACCTCCCATCCTCCGGGTACACACACATCCAGATCGAGACAAACGTATGACAGGAACGCAGAGAGAGTTTCACAAAGAAGTTGCTGCTTGTGAATTTGAAAAGACACAGCTTATTTTTATTCTATTGTCTTTTCCAAATCTTAAGTGCAAGATGCAATAAGTAGTATTCCATGACGTTTTAAAAGGTTGAAAGAATCTTATCGCTGTTTTTGGAAGCCCCTTAGCAGCGACAGCTATAATGTTGGACTAAACATAATTTCAGATCAGGTACAGTTACTGTATCATCATGTAAATTCCCTCTTTTTATGCAATCAACGTACATGTGTACACAAAAGGTCTACAGTTGTAGGTCATTAAATTTTTGCACAAATAGCATTTAATGTCTTTCTGTTTGTATAAAGGTGAAGAATGCAACATTATGTAAATCATGGCCTTTTTTGTATATTTCCATTGACAGATGTATTTCCGGTGTGGTTGGCTATAGAAAAATGCTGCTACAATGTAACATAATCATGTTGGAAATGAGTATGGATCTTACACCCCAGTCACATGTACATTGGTATATTATATGTATCGTGCATGATGTGCATTTTGTACATTGTACATGTCATAAGTTCATCAGAAATTTTATACAATGCAATTCAGTCCGGTGTATGTTTCATGTTAGCAATAATTCTGTCTACATGTATGTCATTACTGTATCTGCATGTGTGACATATTGTCAAGAGCAATTTACAAGAAGAAATTATTGTGAAGATCTCTTTTTGCAAATCTAACATAATGACTCTTGTTTCCAGTTTTGTTACATTGGCAAGACTCAGTGGTGTGTTTTTGTACTGTCACTATGAACAGTCTGTATAGAGAGTATGATATAAGTGGAGTAACATATCATTCATAATGTATCCTACCACAACACAAGCTAAGAATTCTTTGTTTTGTACTTACATGTACATGCACATGCCAGACTTAGCATCTACATAGAATATCGTCAAATTTTGTGGCCTTAAAAAGATGTGCAACCGTCCATGCAGCAAAGCATCGCGTGGTCGTTGGTGGCTAAACCAACCAAGTAGTGCTACAATCTTCTCCAAAGTAAAGTGTCCATTTTTGGTCGTGTTAGTTCTGTTTTGTTCTTGTTCTGTTCTTGTTCATCTGAAAATATTTTTGTTATAATTATGGTTCTAGTTGTAATATTCTATTGATATCTTAAGGTAGCTACATGATTGTACATTTGTCCATACAAGGTGAAGAGAGATATTGTTGTAAAACGTATTTTGAAATTTTGTAAATTCTGTTTTCAATAAAGAAATACACCAGTAAATGATGGACTATATGGTGTGTACATTTTATACTGACTGGAAAGGGTATACTGCAGCACAAAATGACACAATCACCTAGCACATAGTCTTAACACGGTATTTTTTTCTTGACACGAATAAAATGCAGCGTAGAATACTTTCAGAAACATTCCGGCCAAGGAACAGGAATTGATGACATCCTCTACTTACCTCCTACTATGTCGTAGTAACATCTAATAGTATACATGTACATCAACTTTATCTTGTCGGGGGTCTATCTGCAGGCTTTTGATAGCTTACTTTGCCGTAAATTTACAACATGACCTGAGCATACACATTACGTCTTCCACACACTAGCACCATGCTCGATTCGTTATTCCTGGCACCACATACATCCAGGCAACCAGGCTGCTTTTTCCCCCCAAAAAACGGACTGGATGGCTTTTTCCACCGATCGGACTGGACTGCTTTTTCCACCAACCCATACATGTACATCCAGTCATGTTCCCGTCATAAGAAGCTCAGGAGCTTTGACAATCGGCCTCTGACTTGGTATCAGACTCGTCCTCTTCGCTGCTGCTGCTGCCATAGTCCCCGCACAACTCCAGCCAGTCCTGGGCGTAGTCAGCCAGCTGACTGTCACGTCCGTACGCAATAACCAGCAACTTCTTGGCCTTCAAGATATGAACATACTGATATATCAGAACCCCATGTCCCACTCAAAAATCAAGACCATAGCATGTCCACAGCACGAGATATCATACCATGTACCCCGCTGCAGTAACTTACAAAACCGCTAGAGTACCAAAACTTGACCTTCCTTTTCCCAACCTTATCCTACCTACCAAATATCATAAAGATACGTGCACCACATGTACACCAGCAAGCTTAAGTTGTAACCAATTACAAAATCTTCAACCCCTATATATATGGTGTACCAAAACACATAGCCTTCTGACGAAGGTAATGATATTAATAATGAAGCATTGAAGAAAAATTCGAGGTTCTTGTACCTTTTTCAAGCTGATGAGGGCATTGTCCAAGTCGTCCAGGTGGTAGTAGGCTTTTCCCATCTTGTAGTACAGATGCCCCGTATCTGGCTCGTTTGGCGGCAGGTATAGCCTGAAAAAGGCGGGCAAATGAATACACAGTGCTTTGAAATTTAATTTCAAAACTAAGTTTGACTAGCCACTTGAATGTCTAAAATAAGGGTCTATGCTTTTGCCGTAGGTTTGGTGCCGTTGGTTGCTTACGTGCAAAGGAAAAATAAAAGCTGCCACGGCAACGAAAAGAAAGATTTTGACAGGTAAACGACTGTCACAGCAGTATCTTACTTAGCCAATCTACTGTGATTTGGGCGGGCTCTCTTCGGGCCTGTAGTGACCAGCTCAGATAGGCTATGTAGTTGAGCTGGCCTGCAGCTCAAGGGCGGCGGGATATCACTACAGGGCCGAAGGGAGCCCGCCCAAACCGCGGTAGATTGGGCTACATCTTACTCGAATGCCCGTTCCAGCCTTTTGCCGTACTCTATGGCTTTGGTCCACTCCCCGAGTTTCACGGCCGCGGCGAACGCGCCCACCAGGATTCGTATGACGTGGATGTTGTCGGCGTGGAGGATCTTATCCAGTTCCACCAGACAGTTCTCACGGAACAGAAGGTCAAACTCCACACCTGAGACAAAGTCAAGGCCAACCAAAACTGTAGTAGTACAGGCTTCAATGTTCTATGGCTTGATTTTAATAAATCTATTCACCAACTGGACTTTCCCAAATTTTCGACTGTACAACTCCAGTCTTTCCAGTCCAGTCTTGAGCAATCCACCGCTTCCGTGACGTCACGCAGATGACACATGTGACTCCGTGAGTAGTAGATAATAGGTTGCAGAAAGTCTGTGGCGCCCCCCGTCCCCGTATATGTCATGTCACAGCGCGCTTTCTACCTTCTCCAGTTTAGTATTGGATGTATAATTTACTCTTGCAAAGGATGCGTGCTTCACGGTCTTACTTTTACCGCCTTTAATTTAGTAACTAGTACGAAGGATATCAGTAGCCCAAACTCTTGGCTTGTGGATGACGTCATCGGCATACTGTATGTAAACTTCCAGATCTTCGTAGAACTCCGTGCTAAAGTCGGTATAACCGCAGGAACTGCACTTCTCGTAACGTTCATCTGAAACAACAAAATGAAATGTTGTCTGGATGTTATAATTCTAATGGAACTCACCGGTACCGGTTGCAACGATGTACCATTCACGGTTCATTCCTACTAGAAGAAACTAAGGCAGCATTAATGTTATTATTTTCTTTTTGCATATTTCACTGTATCTGTTCATCTTGCTTTGTTGTGACCTGCACTTAGCAAAGTGACAAAAATGTGCAATAAAGGTCGTCATTAATTCATTCATTTATTCCGGCATTAAAGTCATTCAACATATATTGAAACGAAACCATTCGTTACTCACTTTCAGGTACAGATACACTTTAGGACATATTGTTTTACCACACATTACAATAGGCCGATAGTTCTGCTGAACGGCGTTAGGAAACTCTTTTCGCTCATCGTGCTGGAACGCTGTAAACCTCAGGTAGATCTATATCTGCCACGCTCACAGTCCGCTTACCGCCGGGGCCATAGCACAACCGACATCGTTTTCACCAAGAGAATCCTGGCCGACTTGGTCATGACGAAGGTGTGTGACTTTCACATCCTAGGTATAGATCTCAGCCGTGCCTTCGACACCGTGGACAGAGCTCAGCTCATATCGGTGCTGAAGGACGTGGTAGACGATGATGACATAGTGCGAATGGCACATGCTCTCTTGACAGACACCACCCTCGCGGTACGCGTCCGAGGAGAAGCAGCCCCTCCGTTTGAAGCAGTTGTCGGCTCACCCCAGGGTGACAGCTTAAGTCCACAGCTCTTCAACATCTACTATGAGGCAGCCCTCCGTGATCTGCGTGAGACCTACCCACCAACCCCTGCCGAAGACAAGCGGCTCAAGCTACCACCAGAGACCCAATATGCTGATGATCTTGATTTCATAAGTACATCCCACCAACATCTAGAAAACATACACGAGCAGGCGATAAAGGTTCTGCCAGAATGGAAGCTACAGGCCAATGCCACCAAGACTGAACGAATACATATCTGTTGGAAAAGGGAGAGGGAGGAGGAGACATGGAGAAAAACGAAGTCACTGGGCTCCCGGCTAGGCATCGCTGATGATATCGACGGGAGAATGCAGTTGGCCAACGCAGCAGTTAGGAAGATCTGGTACATGTGGGGAGCACAACCTGTCTCCCTGGAGCTAAAGCTTAAACTCTTTAACGTTTACGTCTTACCTGTAATGCTATACAACTGTGGTACATGGGGGTTAACGGAACAGTTAGCCAGCAAGATCGACACCTGGCACAGGAAGCGGTTAAGACGCTTAGCTGGGTATGTCCACCCACACCACATCAGTAACACCAACCTGTACAAGATCTGTAACTCCTCTCCCCTTCAAAATGAAGTCCACCGGCGCAGATGGACTTTCTTCGGACACATTCTCCGCATGTCACCTGACTCACCTGCACAAAAGGCCCTCAACATCGCCTTTAGCAGAAAACTCTCGCCAAGGAAAGGCAGGCCCCGAGGAGGTCTTCTGGACTGTCTACTAGACGACGTCAAGTTGTACTTCCAGCAGAACATTAAAGCCGAGGCCTACGTTCTTAAGTGGCTACGAGACCAGGCAAGGCAGAAGGAAAAGTGGAACGGACTGTACAAGAACATTAAGGACTCATACTGATTTGTTGTGCCGATCCGGCTTTACCTTTGGGCAATTAGCCGCAGATTGGTACCCGAGAACAGTTATTTATTATTATTATTATTATTATTATTACAATAGATCTACAAACATTCCTTTGTCACGTTACCTTCCTATCCTAGATATGATATGACTTACTGGAGTTTGGTTTCACCTGAGCCTGACAACTCGGACACTTCACTGACTTCATGAGAGCATCCTGAAACAAGAACACGTCATCACTATGAAAACACAGGAATACTTTGTCGACAGAACACTCTGATAAAACAGGAGGTCAAATACCGCCATTTATTGAAGTAACGGTCGGTGCATAAACCATTCCCAACAAAATCTTCAGTGTGTATGTTGTTCAGGGAAGAAGCTATCAGTCCATACTAAATTTCAAGTCAATCCATTGATCTTAACTTAAGTGACATGAATCAAAGTTGAAAAGTTCCGACTATAAGCGAAATTATCTTGAACTTTACAGACTCCAACCGCTTACTGTTGACAGAGATCTCTACCAGGATCTCATAGAGGCGCCTATTCTACTTGATCGGAGTCTCTACTCTGACATGTTTGTGTATATATGGTAGACTAAACTTACCCTGTCGGTATCTAAGCAGTGTGGACACTGACATTCGAAGAAATACTTCTTGAGATCAGCTCGCCTTTCCAGAGTGACGTTGCCTTTCTCAGTATAGGAGTGACAGATCTGCACAAGATACAGAAATACGATCAAACCTTCTGAGTTCGATTGAGATCTTTTTATCAAATTTAAACACGATGGTGGTACACTTGGCTTGCAATACTTGTATACGTATGGCACTATTAATCTCCAATCGGGTTCTCTGGGGCAAGGGCAGTCTTTTTCATTGCATGGCCGCCTAGGCTGTAACCAGTAGACTCCCCTTGCAACGTCTGTCTAACGTATAGTGTCTAACTGATAACAGGTGGTCAATAGACTTCCACTTACAATGTCTAACGTATAGTGTCTAACTGGTTACAGATGGTCAAATAACGCGGGTTCAAAAAAAGTAGATTTGGCCAAAAGGGAGAATAATTGAAAGGGAGAGTTTAGCCAGCGTAGAGTTCATTTGCCCGTGCAGAAGGGGGAAATTAACCTAGGCCTGCTGATGAGGACTGACTCTCCTGGCCAACTATTTCCCTTTTTTACCGAATTCTATGATCTGTACCCTCATAGGAAGGTCTGGTAGAGGCTATCCCATTGCACCCGAGAATCTGCTTGGATGTATGACACCACAGTATGAAGTACCTCCTCTCCAGGTTGTATGTCCACCAGAGCCCTGATCTGTAGTCTGGGACCCCGGAACGTCGCCACGCAGTTCGTCTTACAGCTGTGGTTAGTCATAGCGGCTCTGAAATAACACATAAACGATATACATTAATTGTACTCATTTATCTATTTATATATTTACTTATATATATCATATAACATCATATTGATCAGATATGCATAACCCCAGCGGTCGGTTCTACAATGTATTTTACTCATCAACAGTGAATTGTTGAACAGATTGTATCATATCTTCGACCCAAAGATCTCTGAGTTGGTCATGGATGGTCTACTTACTGTGGGTACACTCCAACTCCTATTTCTTTTAGGTCCAGATCGTGGATGGCAAAACAGTTGCAGGTGGCCTGGAAGAGAAACGTTAAGACTATGAACAAAGCAAACCTTAGAAGATGCGACCATTACCCAACATTGTTACAAAGTAGTGGTCCCTGTTTTCATGAATGTCCCTTTGAATGAGATGAATTTAGGAAAGGAAGGTTTCTTACTTTGCCGTATAGACTCTCCAGTTGGGCTCTGTCAGGGAGAATGTCCTCATTCACGTAACTAGCCAACTTCTGCAGCTGGACTTTCAGCTCGATGCTGTCCTTCAGCTCTTCAGTATCTGCATCGAACACGGGCATTGTGACTTTGTTGGACGACTGGAAAACCATCATTGTCTTCGGGTTTAGCACAAAAGTAGCTTTACTTGAGGCAAAGTACTGCAAGCAGCACGTCGGCAGGATGTACTGCACCTGCACAAAACCCGACGTGTACTGTACAGAGTCACTTCGGCATGCGCACAACGTTTAAGCTTTAAGGTCATTCTCGCGTATTGAAAGATGACATCCCGTCTATAGCTTTCAAATGTTGTATAGGAAAAGATATCGTCAGTAATGGGAAGAATTCTGGCAACGTTGAACATACATCCAACGGAAAAACGGGTTTCGTTCTACCAACATTCTTCTTTAACCCATCAACATGGTGGACTCTAGATTACGTCATAGTCACGTGACTGCAAGCAGCCATTGATAGAGTAGACTCACGTGGGCACAGATCACACAATGGGCCCAGGGCACCTTGTTCATATTTTCTGGTACTCTGCAACAAAATGTGAAAAAAAATGTTACCTAATGTGTTGCATGCATGCAAAAATTTATGGCATCAAATTTATATAGAGAAGAACAAAAACAGTGCATGGATCGTAGCCTCCACCAGGCCTCCCTACGGGGGTACGGATCATAGAATTCGGTAAAAAGGGGAAATATTTGGCCAGGAGAGTCAGTCCGCGAGAGGGCTAATTTCCCGCAAATAAACTCTACGCTGGCTAAACTCCCTATTCTCCCTATTGGCTAAAATTTTACTCTTTTTTAAAAATAAACCCGCGTTGTTAATCTGGTGGAGACTACATGGATCGTATGAGAGGACAAACGCGAATGAGTGTAGTACTTGTCTGTACAAAATTCGTCCCAACAGTCTAAGATGGAAGGGAAGCTTCATAAGGCGCCGGTAGCCGTCACATTCTGACAGATGTTCTCGGTGGGCAGCTTTCTGTGGAACACAGGCAGTCAAACTCAGTCATCAATTCGCACAAACATAATGTTGTGTTACGTCGGTGAAGGTTAGACATCCAGGTAATAAAATACGCCAAAAACAGTTACTCAAGCAACTGGATAATTTTAGAAACGGCCAGACCTGGAAACGGTCAGACATGATTTTGGAAACGGTCAGACCTGCAATTCTCCTGCAGTCTCTTAGTGTCACTGATGAAAGGAAGTGAATTCTACCTGAAACATCTGACCATTTCCAAAATCATATCCAGTTGCTTGAGTTGCTTGTTTTTTTGGCGTATGATGTTCTGTTCTATCTTAAGCTTGTTCTGGTATCTTGAAATGCCATGATAAGTTGGATACTTACATGTAGTACAGGCGCCGTTGTATTCCGTATGATGTATTTCAGATCATATTGTCACAATTGCATGCTCTGTCTATCGCCGTATCGGGGACAAGTTTCATACCAGCACAGATTTAGAAACAGGAGTCTAGTGGCGAGTCAAAGTATCAACCAGTCAGCATGTGAACTATGTTGTACACCCAGTGTCGGTACTCGGGCTGGGGACAAACCCCATGACCCCATCAATTTGAATCTTACGTAATTAGGATTTGTTTTTTGGTTTGTTAGTAGACGTTACATGCAAACATAAAAAGCATAAAATGAAATATATCGAAGCCCAATCCACGCAAACGCCTTCCCTACCTGACACTCTTCGTCACAATATTTCGCAGTTAGACACTTTGGGCATGTCAGGAGCAGCTCCGGACTGAAAACGCAAATAAAGAAAATCATTAGTTGTTTCAAGTAAATTATCTACATATAACAATAACTACATATTGTATCGTTTTGTCGACATTTTACAGAACTAGAGATAGATTTTTCTCCGAAATACTTACTGTAATTACTAATTACATGGGGTTATGTTTTTGGTGCTTCTAATGAATTTGTGATATCACGAGTGAACTGTATAACTAGAGAAGGTATGGATGGTTTCTATTGATAATTTGTATGGGGTAGGGGTCTGCAAAGCGAAGGACGATTTTGGTCCCCTAGCGGCTTTCTTACGTACTGCAGCAGGCAATATTTATCGAGGCGATAAAATGAAGCAATGTACTTATCGATGGGTGCCATTTCTGTCACTGATAACGAGTAGCATTTCACGTCACATCTAGTCTAGATCTTTATGTTGGTATTCCGAACATCTTGTCTATGTTAAGTCTACGGCCGCCAGCGCTTAGAGTTCTCATGACTTCACGTTACAGTACATGTACATGTAGCTCGGACGGATGTCATATTTCTCACATTATAACGTTACAGTTGTTTTGTTTGTTTGTTTGTTTGTCTGTTAAAAAATGATGACGTGCATCCCTAGACCAAAAGTTCAAGTGTGTATTTTTAGCGAAATGTTTTTCATGACTTTCACCCTTTTTGGTCGAGCGCGCTGTAGAGCGAACGAAATGTGATCTCCTCCCGACGCAACAGGAGATTGAAATAACATGCCTGCGGTAAGGACGCCACAGGGCCGTGTTTGCAGACCCAAGTGAAATATTGTTCTTTATCACGCGCTTGAGGGGATACAGAGTCATAACCCTTATAGCTGTAATGGTCCGTTAAGTGATTCTGTACATGTTATACAAGCAGATTGAAACCTATAAAATTGAGGAGGTAATTTCAAATCAGGCAAAGAACGCCAAAGAACGCACGGACATTTGAAAACTAGTAAATACTTTTGAAGCCCTGAAGGCCTCGACAAGGACAGAGTAGGGGGTAGGGTAATGAGTAATACACAATCAAGGAAAGAAAACAGGGCAGGAATTCGTAGGCATCACGTTAAATATTGTAGTGTATTGTTTTTGGACAATAACTATAATTCGTAGGCATCACGTTAAATATTGTAGTGTATTGTTTTTGGACAATAACCTGTTCATTGTCATTCTAATATTTAGTGGGATAAACCATCTATTCCTTTCCTTTATTGCTTTATCTAATTGCTAATCCTCCATGGTACAAAATAAAAACATATCACACATACTCAAAAACATACACCCGTTACAGATACAAGGGTTTGGAGGTCGGAATTTGTATACAATGACAGATGGCTTATTACAAGTTGATAGTCTAAATGATGATTGAATAATGTCATTGCATATTGGGTGGAAAGGAATTTCAGAGGTTGATTAGATAAGTCGTATTTAACCGTTAAATGATTGAGAACTTCCATTTGTTTCGGGCGGTTAACGTTAATGACTGTTTACACACTTCTTCTATTATGCTGAAGTCACATTTCCAAACCGGGGCCCGGCCGGGCAGTCTTATAGAACGAAAAGTGTGATATAAAACCTTAACTCCCTTTTCACAACGTCTACACAGCTACAGTTACCACTGTGCGTGCGGTCAAGTAGGTATACGCCCGCCCTACAATGTCGTGTCAGATATATAAAGTAGGAAATATTGTCATGTTTGTTATTTTTAGGTCGAGACTGGAAGCCTCTAGCCTCGAAAATGACAATTGCGAAGCCCTTTAAACAAGCAAGTTCTCATGACGATTAACGCGTTAAAACAAACAAACAAACAAACAAACAAATAAACAAACAGTCAGCGTTGAATCAATAAGCATTGAACAAATATCGAAATCTGTTGCATGTACAGTGTTTTACCTTTGTTTTATCAATTTATCTATGGCCTGCGTAACTAGCCAGTGGCTGTTACGTAAGGATCAGTAACAATGCAAGTACAATACATAAGTTTTGACAATAATAAACTACTGCATATGTACAATAACAACTAACGATGCGGTCATAATAGTTACCTTTGTTCTTCTAGACAATGATGACAGCGGTCGTCTTCTTGTCCCTCGAGTAGAGTAAAACAGTACGGTTCTTCGTCTATGATGAGAGTTCCAGCCTTTATCGGGGGTCCATTCTTCTTACATCTCAGCCCCCGTCCTTTGTCTGGTGACAGGAATATCTCCACGTGTTCCCGAACCATTTAGAAGACCGAGTGATGTAAAAGTTGAAGTTGAAAAGGTATATTCTTAGCTTAAGCTTGTGATACTCCCGTCTAACATCGACCACCACCGACCAGAACATTCGAAAGGCAGACATAAAGTATTATGTTGTTTCACGTCTATCAATGTTTGGGATTTTGTGGTTTTGAGTCTTGATTCATGTCAATTTTTATTTTCGCAAAACTCTTTCTACATCTACGTGGGACTGATTTTCGCTAGAGTTGCTGAACCGTCTTCGGGCAACTTGAATTGATATGTAGATTTTGAAGCAAGTGCGATTTTACAGTCTTAGTTCCATAAAACAGCCATTTGTATGCCCCACCCCAACATGCCTCTGGTTATATGATACTTGCAATCCATGTCAGAAACATGATTTGCGGTAGCCTTAAAGGGGACATATGATTTACTACATTTGTTTGATTTACGATTCTAAAATTATTCCCCCTTCTACACTGCCTATAGTACATGTTTGGCTCTTGTTGACTTCTAACTACTCCTTTGTCTTTAAAACTCAACTTTAAAAGGTTTGAAAACAGTTTCACTATTTTCAGATCGCTATAGATGATGATGAATGAATAGCGTTGCCCTTCGGGATATTCCATTCAAACATTAATTGTGCGAAAAGGCGTTAAAAATGCAACCAAATTACAGTTAACTTCTGTGCAATTGTCTTATGCTCCTCTTCACATACACGCACCCCCCCCACTCCAGCCCTCAGCATTGGAATATCTCTCATAATTGTGGTTTTTAAGATATCAATCTAATGTGGATTTCATAAGCTCCCATATCTTTGCCCTGGGTCACAAATAGGGCCCAGCTTAGCATGCGATGCCTGTTATATCTCGGATCATGATAGCTTACGGTCCCTTTAGGGTAGCAGTATTTCCTAAGTACTTGTGGGGGTTATATAATTGGATGGCGCGTGACCTAAGGGCAGATGTTCCGACTGTAGACTAGGTTATCAGGCAATGTGCTTTGATATGTTTTGTACAACAAAAGTTTTCCCCAAGTCATGTTTGAACTTCTGTGTCGTACAAATAAGTGTGTTTAAGACGCGTGATGTAAAATTAGAATATCCATTTTGTGTGTGTTTGTGTGATGATGATTATCATTATCATCTTCCTATCTTGATAGTCTCTCGATGTTATAAAAGAATATCTAAGTTTGTCCGATGTATATGCATTACATGTGAGTGTCTCATTTGCCATCATGACAAACACCGATAAACCAGTCACCACAGCGCGTATCTGGAACAGCTGATTCTATTCGAAACCTTAAGCTTATCCAGTTATTTCATCTATATCCATATAATGAATACGGATGATGCACTATATTAGCGCCACTGTTGAACCAATTAGAGCCCCAGTTCAGTTAAATTTATTCATCAATCCTGCAGAAAGAGTTACTCCCATGCCCCAAAGTCGTTTAAAAACACAAGACAGTTGTTGACGGCTTAATACTTGTCCTGATTCTGGTAACAATGCAATTCCTTGTCTCATCTGCTTGGATAAAAAGGCGACATTTGCCTTGACCCACAATCTAGGTCAGAATCCCGCACGCTGTTCAATGTCAACGTCAACTAAAAATATCATAAACCAGATATCGATGTCTGAAGGGAGAGCTAGATTTACGCATCAAGTTTCGGTGGGAAAATGTTTAACACGTTCAGCTGTATGTAAACTCCTTCCGTCGTTTAGCTGGCCATGGAGCTATTCCGCCTGAGGGAGTTGATTGCACTTCCACAGTGAATCCTTTTTTGACTATCCTTACCTTCGCCAAGAAGGTTATTTTTACCTCCATGAAAAATGGAGGTATTGTTTTTGGCGTGTCTGTCTGTGTGTCTGTGTGTGTGTCTGTCTGTCTGTCTGTCTGTCTGTGTTTCCGCAACTTTGTGGTCATCATAACTTCAGAACGCCTTCATGGATTGTGATGATATTTGGTATGTTGGTAGGTCTTAAAAAGACGAAGGTCAAGGTCAAATATGGGCCTCCTGGTGGATGACCTTGGTACTGCAGCAGAACTTCCGGTTTTTGTATCTTTTGTCCTGAACATGCTATGGTCTTGACTTTTTGGTGACAGATAGCTTTTCCTGTCAGAAATAAGTGGTGTGGGTTTGGTTCCCCTGCCAGCTTGTTTCTTTAGTAGTAGATGTTCGCATCTATGTTGTTACTTTACAACGTATGCCAGGTTAACCATATCTGTGTTCACCCACTCCATCCACTCCAGGACTTGTAACTAGTTTTCGGATAAACAAACTATGGTTTAAACTCCATGTTCCTATCCGAAGGCGCGTTAGCAGGCACAGGTGTACCTAGGTCCTGAACAGTAATTTCTACTTTGTACTTGCGCTTTATTAGTTCAATGGACTTTCATTAACATTACAAAGAGAAGAAAGAAATTCTAAATGAGATGTAATCACTGTTAACCGTGTGGAAGGGAACAACTATATCAAATGACAGTCTGTCCCTAAAGTGTGTTAATGACCGTGGGAATGTTGGGCGACGCAATGTCTGGTTACCTAGCAACGGCAGGACGTCTCGTGCCGCGGTCACAGAGTTTGTTGTGGAGAGTTGTGGCGAAGCTGGGGAAAGTAAGTTTTAGATTTAGGTGATTTTTTTTATTTTTACTTGCACAAAAACCTGCTTGAGAAAAGAAAATGTATTATCGCGATTGTAAAAACTTAGTTACCAGTGGCCGGATGCCCACAACGACTTGATCATAGATCTGCATGCACTATGTATATAGTATATCTTGAAACGTCAATATATGGACTTTTACAATCTGGCACATTAAAAGATATCATTAGTCTTTATCGGCGTCCTTTCAACCAACCCCGAAGCAGATGTACAGCCCGACTCAGTCTTTTACGCCTCTTCTAGCGGCCCGTGTTTCTCTCACTCTAGGGGCAGTAGACAGGCGTATAAAAAAACTCATAAACATGCGTAAGCACTAATTTCCAAGCAGATTCCTTCTGGCCATGAGGACGATCAAATTGGCCACCCAAGTTTAATATCATTTGCTCTTGAACGGTCCCTGTCCCCGAGGGAATCTGCTTGGAGATTAGTAAAACACTGACCTGGACCCTGCATCTGCCTAGCTGGAGGTCATTTTAAACAAACAGAGACGGTGTCATCATGGCTGTACGACAACCCGGAGGGGTTGTTTTCCTGGCGATAGCCGCTCTTCTCATGCTGCCTCCGCCGCCGGTCCTTGCCGCTCCAGCTTCGGACCCTGAGCAGGAGCTTCGTGTCCTCCACAGTGAGTTATTTCAGTTTATTCAGTTTCACTTTATGGGGATGCCCTTATAGTACCACCGTGTTTAATATTATATAGTGAACTGTTTAACGTGAAATATGGTCTTTACTGCAGAGTTGTTGTGAGTTACATGATCCTCGGGCATGTGTTTTCACTCAGTACGTTTTAATGTTTCTTTCCGGTTGAACCGTTCTTAAAACTAGAAAGGTAACATTTGCAAAGCAAATGTATCATCACGGTTTACCTTCGAAGCTTCAGATGGCCCAACTTCACACAAAACAAGGACATTTTGTCCTTGCACAAACTAAACACTCACTAACTTAACAAATTACTGCTTTGTTTACTCTTACTCAAACTCACTCATATATATGGTGGGATTGGTGACTTTACTCCCTCTTGAACTCAGTTCTGCATGGCACTTGCAACATTATGTAACCCAACACCAGTTACCATGGTGACAGACGTCTGGTCATGGTAAGTGACCTTATTTGCTTAGAGAGGAAGAAGAAGAAACAGAGCAAAACAATATTTTTCTTCTGCAAAGGTAAACGTAGTTAGATAACGTCGATGGCCTATAGAGAGGTGGATCGAAAGGTATATACTAATTAATCAAATTTTGCATCAACTCCAATGCTATTCCTCCCCACTACAGGTCTCGTTGGAAAGCTGGAAAAACAAATGGCCGACGTGGGGCGCGCAGCGAAATCCTTGGACAAGGTACTGACTAACATGGAAGCGCAGTTCAGTGTGCTACACCGTGAGTCATACGTTGCTTAAATTTACTTTGTCATATATATAATATTGAGTGGTGACGAGGATAAGAAAGTCTTTCTTTGCGTATGAGTTTGCTCGCTGGTCCACAAAAAACGTTTCGTGTCTGAGAAAATACACAATTATAGAAACTCACGTATTCTATAACCATACTTTAGCTTTTGAGATTTACCAGATCTATGGAAGGATTAACATAACAAGTGCACGTGTGATTATCACAAGTTGTCAACCCAGTATCCATACTGTAGCCTCTACCAGGCTTGAGGAGGCGGCTGGAAAGAGTAGAAATCGGCCAAAATAGAGAGATAAGCATGCCAAGGGAGTCACAGTGGCGAACTGTTCTCTCAACGGCCAAACTCCCTTGGCATGCTTATCTCTCTATTTTGGCCGATTTCTACTCTTTCAAGCCGCCTCCTCAAGCCTGGTAGAGGCTAACCATACTGTAATTTGATCCAGTAACACCTAGACCCTAATGTTAGCAAATAAAAACAAACGTATTGTGTGGTTAATTCTCTTAATATGATTCTGTGTAATCAACTCTTCTGTCTACTTTGTCTGACAGAAAACGTGACAACCCTGGAGCGACACCGCGATGACCTGATGGACACCTGTGCGCCCCCTGCCGACACCGCGGGAACTGCAACAACCTCAGGACCAGTCACGACAGCGCAAAGAGAAGGGCCGCGGGTCAGAGGTATGTTATCATTTTTTAATTCCAACATTTAATGACTAGACATGGTGACAGCACACTCAAGTTACATCAACTTATTTTATGTCATCACCAACGCAGATACAGGACAAATACGGAACAGGACAAGACTCATTTTCACCTGAGTTTAATAAGGCCATGTTGATTTGATTATATGGATGACATCCGCGCGCGCATGAATTTTCGGCCGTTTCCAAAAAAAAAGTTTTCAACCATACTGTAAATCGTACAAAACAGTTGCAAAATGAGCAAAAATATACCGTAAGTTACAAAAAAATAAGTAAAAACTATACCAATGTGGTAGAATGCCAAAATCAAACTAAAAAAGACGAAATTGTAAGGAAATGAACTTGAAGATTAGATTATTCGCCAAACCATATTCTGTCCCATTTGTTCAATCCTCATGACCACGTAGATTTTCATAATGAAAACAACTTTTTTTTCAAAACTTTTTTTTATTCGCACGCGCGCATCAGTTTTGGGGCTCCCGGAGGATGTCATCCATATAATCAAATCAACATGGCCTAAGTGAGGAAAATCGAAAAAGATTTTACGGAAATTTACCACCCTCTGAATGTGATATATGGAATACTAACATTCCTAGTAACTAGAACAGACGAAAACCTGTTACAAAGTACAAAGTTGTGTTTTCATTTCCTACTTATTATCCAGACTGTGAAGAGCTGCTGCCTTATGGCATAAGAGACAGTGGCGTGTACACCATCTATGTTGACAACCAGCCAGTCAGGGTCTTCTGTCGCTTCGTGGACGGTTCGGAGGCCTGGACGGTCATCCAGCGGCGCCAGGACGGCTCCGTCAACTTCAACCGGTCCTGGGCCGACTACAAGGAAGGGTTCGGGGACCCTGGGACCGAGTACTGGCTTGGGAACGAGATCATCCACCAGCTCACGACTGGCCGCGGCTCCAGCGCCATGTACAAGCTGTACATCTACATGGAGGATTGGGAGGGGGGCTACATCCACATCCAGTTCGACGAGTTCTACTTGGAGAGCGAGGCGACCAACTACAAGCTGCGGCTGAACCTCCTGCGGGGCGGGAACACTCGGAACGCGATGTACTCAAACACGGGGCAGCCCTTCACCACTTACGACCGTGATAATGACGCGTACGGAGCGAACTGCGGCAAGGTGAGTTCTTATCATCATCACCGTCATCCTTAATATCATCATCCGTCATCTCCATCAACTTCATAATCGTCATTATCATCGTCATCATCACCGTCACCATCAACGTCATGTGGACCATCGTCATCACCATCAACGTCATCGCTATTATCAACGTCATGATCATCGTCATCAACGTCATCGTCATCATCGATTATTGTCATCAACATCGTTATCATCAACATCATCGGTACTCTATATCATCATCATCATCATCATCTTCGCCTTATTTTAGACATAAACTAAAACATCATCATTGCTCTCTGTTGTCTTTTGTCAACTGCTGACCTATCTGTCCCATCCACAACTCATCTTTGCAAGGACTCGCGATCGTGTGCCTCCCCAATTTACTTATTGCCCACCGTTCTATCTGTTAACTGTTCTCTGTAGCCGTTTTCCCACCATAGTTTTGAACTACATGTGCCGGTCGACGCACTTAACAGGCTAGGGATTGTTCACTAATGCTCGTAGTATGGTCCTACATGTAAGTGATATCATATCCTGGCAAACGAACTTGATTTTTGGCTTGTATCTTTTCCCCGGCTGTAGAGGTTCGGCGGAGGGTGGTGGTACTACGGCCACGCCTGTGTGTACGCCAACCTGAACGGGCTGTACAGGAAGGGCGGAGAAACCAGTGACGGGTTCGGCCTGGTGTGGCTGTACTGGCGCTCACCGGTCTGGTATTCCGCTAAAGTCACCGAGATGAGAATCATGATCCGGGACGCCAGCATCCCTGTGCGTCAGCCTTAGACTACAGTTTGCCACGCTAACGCTTACTCATTGTTGTCACATACAGTAGGAACACACCCTCACTAGATTAATATTGTTTCTAAAAACAATCATGATGTTTAAAAACATCACGATGCCTGTGATACCATTGGTCTGTATGGTCACCTGCAGTGATGTCAATATGCACTTGGAAACGATTGTTGACTTCTATATGTATTTATGTAATGTTATATTAACTATTTTAAATTGCTTAAAAGACGTTTTATACTGTTTATGTAATGTCCCGATATTATTTTAGCCTTCTATCTTTGGGACACTGTTGATGCAAATGCAATAATATAGATATATATAGTTTATGACTGGAGTTAGATGTGCAAACGTAAGGTGTGCCAGGGTGATCGGTGAAAACTGCTTATCTGTCGTCAAAACGTAAAAGGAGTTGCCACTTCTCTGTCACGAGTTTACTTTCTGTTGTTGTTGTATGCATTTTGTAAAGAAAGTGTTGTATGGATTTTGCAAAGCAAATACTGATCAGACACTATTCAAGTAAAGAGTAAAGCCTTTATTACACAGGTAACATCAATATTACACCATGAATTGTAAGAGACATTGCAAAGATTACACTGCTTTTTTACAGCATAGAAAATGTTTGTGCGTACAGTTCTTGATAGATTCTGACAATTCTTTTGCACGGCTAAATCCCTCCTCAGTGATACCCCGTACAGGGGTCGTTCGAGGGTATATAGAAGAAGAAATCTCAGATCCGTTGGGTAGTTCGTGCTGCAGATCACCTATCTGTCGCTAGGCGTCGTCCCATCAGTTGCAGACATACCGCATGCAGCAGCCGGATGAGTGGTAGCATCCCTGTGCTGGGCCCAGGTTACACACGAAGTTGTACCTGTGGAAAATTAAAGTATACGTATAGTACCGGGTTCTAACAGCCGTCCGTCCTGAATCCTGCTCTTTTTCAGTTATTAAGTTAATCACAAAACAGCACACATTATGAGTACTGTACCGTGTGTCAAGAGGCCTGCTATATGCTACATGCATATTCTAGCGTCCTAAGGCTACAGAGCTAAGGTTATACATATAAACTCGTAATAGGATTTCAGATATTTAGACTGACCCGCAGCGGCTGCCTCCGCCGAAGAAGAACCCGCGCTTGACCAGGGAGTGCGGCTCCGCTGACTCCGCAAGAGAACGGCCTTCCGTCGACGTCAGGGAGGCTGGAGGGACGTCAAGGGGTGATAAGTTAACTGTGGTACCCTATAGCAGCTAGTCTCGTAAAATAACACATGTACATATACACATATGATGTGTACATACAACAGACAGTATGTAATATACAGAGACCGCAGAGGTAAAAACAGAAGTTTAAACAACATAAAATGGATTAAAGAGAATAAAAAGAAGCCGCACATTATCGATAAACGATATGAAATGACATAGTTATCCATTTACATCCCAGAAACATACCCCAAGCAGTTGAATTTTTTACGACATATGCACGGATACCTCAAAAATGGCTTTGCTTTTCGCTATACATTTTGCTACAACGAATGTCACCGGACCCCTGCAAGCTAGGGTAATGCTGAGGTCACATTTCCAAACCGGGACCCGGCTTATTGAATGTTAACGAAAAGTATGATATAAAAGACTACAAAGCGCAAGAAAAGTTGATAATGGGAACTATCTGCGTATATTGTTGATTTAAATTGTTGATTTTTCGTTGATAGAAACAACCCCGGTTTGGAATATGTGAGAACATAACTGAACATAACTGAGAACTGGGACGATTTAAGATGGAATTTTAAGATCTTAGACCTACCCAGAACCATGCAGGCGATGAGTGCGATGATGAACGTTGTCTTCATGTTGTCACGGGTGTTGGTTCTTGAAGCTGTTGTGAGATGACGGGTTTGTATCGTCTGGTAGGCGCGCTTCTCTCCGAAGTATTGTCGAGCGTTGCGTTTGGTTCGGCTTTTATACACGCTGAAGCTGGTGAGGTTTGTTTCCTCGGGACCGACAGGATGTGCGGACATGACGAACATGCACGTCCCGGCGCGGCAAAATTTTGCTCGGACATCGAGCGGAAGTTATCATACAGCACCTATCAAGGCAGTGCAGTGTATCAATCTGTGACGCCATGTTGTACGTGTTAATTTCACGTTTAAAGTGCTATACCAGTGATGCCCCCTCCCCCTTCAGATCTATACCCCCGACCACTGTCTCACATTGATAGACTCACGAAGTCAAGACTTCTGGATGGTCTTTCAGCGTGACAAATAAACATGTGCAGACCAACGTTGTCTTTACTTCCAAGAAAGCCAGCAGCCTACTTTCAAGGACAAAACGATCAGCAATAGCATGCAATCCTTCAGTTTTGTTGACAGTTAATTACCGTCATAAAACGTCATGTTCTGCGCGTGCAACACTATAGTTAAGGTACTTAACCTTGATACCTTGATACCGTCTTCGGGATGAGAGGTAATCCTGTGGTGATCCCGATCTCGACTTCACTCAGTGTTATACTTTATGCTCTCCCAGTATTTGTCTAGGTTCGTCTTGAACTCATTTACTGACTCTGAGTCAATTACGGCCTGTGGTAGACTGTTCCAATCCCTAACGACACCGTGGTTTGCTTGCCATTTTGACCATAAAAGTTGCTGAGTTCCGTCGGTGACAAGAAAAACAAGATGGCTGCCAGACCACGCCGGCGCGACCGGCCCCGCAAATCTTCTAAAACTTCGTAAATACCACCGAAAATCCGAGTTTCCTACCCTAAAAACTTGCTATACAATGTGCTGGTCACTTTAGTTAAAAACTGAGCTAAAATTTGGTAAATAAGAAACAGTTATTCGCTAAAAACTTAGAGCTAAAAAGTTGACTTGGGAGAGCGAGTACAAACACGTCTTGTCTTCACTTCACGCATGGTAATTAATTAATCATTAATTACCCTAAACTATAATGTTGCCTGTGGCAACTGTTTTCAATTTTTACAGCGCCTTGCGTCAGCGCACAGGTGCTTGAAGTTATCACATGCGTGTACGTCATTTAGCACTAGGCGAAATTACGACAATCACGTTTGTACGTACTACAAAGTTTATTTATTGACTTGGAAGAATATTAATATAATGTTACCACACCTAGCGGCTTCCTTTCAAACTGAAGTGTCCCTAAAGGCCTTCAAACTACACATTAGAAGTATGTATGTCCTCTGGAGTATGACACCCTGTATCGACACGTTCAAGGTTCAAGGATGTCCTCTGGAGAAACTATCCGGAACTTGCTCGGTGGTAGCCGGAAGTTGGATGTGGATCCTCTTGTGGTTTTTCTTACAGCTGACTCAGATATCCACATGTATTCTATCTGAGAACTTCGTTTACTCATAGAATGGTGGGCCCTGTGTGTGATGTGTCAGCAAGAAAAGTGTACATGCCTGTCACCAGAAGTGTTAAGCCAGTTCTCAGATGTATAACGTTTGACATACTCAGCTGATTTTTATAGTCAACGTGACGTATCACACTTCCGGGTTCAATGACCTCACCATAACAAGGCCTCCAGGTTCTATGACCTCGCCACCATCGAGGTGCTCCTTGGCCAGGGCCTTTCTCGGGGCTGGGGAAAGCAAATTTTCATGACATGGGGGCATGTTGGTCATAGCGACGGCGGGGAGCTGGCCCGTGTATTCCCTGGCACACTCACCAAACCTATTGAATGAGTGTATTCGTTCGGCATATGGAAAGTGTCACGTTTACATGCCAAGAATTACAACATTGAAAGAGATTTCACATAGCAGGAACAGCCAGAATTCTGGAAACTTGCACTACATAACTACATGTGCGTACGTGCCACTGTGCACGAGGGCCCCCAATCAAGTTGCAGTTGTAGAGTTTCGGAATAATCTCGCTAGAGGGCAGTATTGCACGCTCAGTTGCAGTTGCAAGCAAAGATGGCGGAGTCGACAGAACTTTTCTCCCAGCTTGTTGTGTTCTTGCTGTTCGTCTCGTTCTTGCAGTTCGTGGCAGGCCTAGTTTTGGCGCAGATTTTCGGCAAAGCAGTTTCCAGAGTGGACAAATGGGTGCTGGTGTGGCTGTTCTATGACGCTATCGTCCATTTTACCTTCGTAAGTTAGAGCAATTTTTTATGTTCAAAGTCCAAAAAACTTTTTCATCACAGCAAGTGGCGCCCAGGACGTGAAGCTTTGAGTTAACTGTTTATTGAGCGAAAGTACAGACTACAGAAACTAAATTATGCATGTCTCAGACCGAACCAGATAGAGAAGCAAAAATGAGTAGCTTTGAGAAGATTGGACACGCCCCCTTCTGACCCCCCTCCCTCCTCGTGTAACCTGGGGGGCGTGGAGGGGGGCATAACAAGTGAACTAACTTTTTATCGTTTGTATCTTTATTTCAGGAGGGACCATTCGTATACTTCTCACTTGTTGGAACTGTGGCGAAATCAGACAGCCTGTTGACGGAAGTGTGTAAGGAACTTTTAAATAATAATTTTCATCCAGAACAGGCAAGGCAAATGCATAGTGTTTACCTTTGCATATGGTCTGCTCTGTTAATTCTTACTCAAACACATTCATATATATGGTCAAGAGTCTAAATCCCTCCTAGTGATGTAACCCAACACTAGTTACCATGGTAACAGACACAACATAGGTTCAGGCCATTGAGGTCACTGTTCGGAGAAGAAGAAGAGGAAGAAGAAACTGAGCAAAAACTATATGTTTTCCTTCGGTAAACATAAAAATGCTATATGATGATGATCTTGATTTCCCTGACTTTATTGGGAAATAGGTGTTAAATGTTTATAACCCCAGGGAAGGAGTATGGTAAAGCAGACTCCCGCTGGCTGCACTCTGACCCCACCATCGTGTCTCTGGAGATCCTGACAGTTGTGTTAGATGGACTTCTGTGTCTGGTGGCCGTGTACGCCATCTGTAAGGACAAACATTACAGGTACTGTTAGTGAAACCATTTCTTACTAGTACATACTGGTAAGATAAAACATTTTTCTTTGTACGATTTGTGCATTATATATACAGTGCATACATAGTCATTTACATTGTATGCATTATTCTAAGACTGCTCATTGTGTGTTTCTTCCTTCTGTTGTAGTGATGCATACCTAAACCCAATTTCAGGTTCAGGTCCGGATTCAAGTCCAGTGGTTTAGGTTCAGGTCCGGACTTAAGTCCGGACCTAAACCCATGGCATATACAAAATTGCATGTTGGCAACCTTGCAATGTTGTCTGGGTGAAACTTTGGCCACATAACATGGAGGCTGGCACTTGACGATGCCCGATGGCAATGTTTTCTTCATTTTGCAGCAAAGATTTTGGAATCTACGGAAGGTTTTAGGTGGTTTAAAAAGAAAAGGGGTATGTTAAATGGTCTTTTATGGTAATAAGTCCGGACTCGGTTCTTGACTTTTAGGTTTTTTTGGACTTGAACCTAAACATTTTTACAAGTCCGGATCCAAGTCCAGTGAACCGGTATGCACCACTATTCTGTTGAATATTAATATTATTGTCTTTGCAGGCACTTTGTCCAGATTACTCTGTGTGTCTGCGAGCTATATGGAGGTGAGTTAATTAGGGTTTATATATGTGGTGCCAACTGGTCACAAGTGCTGAAATATTTAACCGTTTGAGGTGGTACATGTAATCTTAAATTATCTCTTCTGAGATCAGAAAAAAATAGATGAAGTGGTGAATCCAGTGTAGCAGGCCAGAAGTACCCCTGGCCAGAATTTACCCGTACCCGGGTCTTTTCTGCCCAGGATTAGTTTCAAGCCCATTACACCTGCAAGCAAGAAATGTCTCTAATTAACATTCAGGAATAGTATCAGTCTGTCATTGCATTATGCAGCTTGTATCTAACATAATCCTTTTATCCCAGGTTGGATGACGTTCTGCCCTGAGTGGTTGACAGGCAGCCCCAGTCTGGACACCAGTAACTTCCTGTACCTGTGGATCTACCTGGTGTTCTTCAATGGACTGTGGGTGGTGGTGCCTGGCTTACTGATGCTGCAGTCCTGGGGGGAGCTCAGGGACTTACACAGGGCACAGAAAACAAACAAACGGAAGTAGATAGTCGCAGTGGGGTCAGAGGGCACGAACCTGTAATGTCACTTAATTGGCCAACAACACTGGGTCTGTTAGCCTTCTTGAAAAATTTGTTTGTTGTCATCAAGGACACTGTATTGAAGTGCTCATTGCCTGATGCCTGGATGTATTATGGTGAATTTGTGTTTGACAATAGTGTGGCCACTTGGCATGTGTGCAAATTGCGGGATAATTCTATAGGTGTCAATTGCTTTTTTTTGCACTAGTCGAACGTTAAAGTTACTAATACTGGGACTTACATGTATTCTTTGCCAAGTCCTTCCCTAATCTCTATATAAGGTTCTTGTCATCATGTCAATAACAGTAACATTGATTTGGGACACTCAGGTACTTACGCAGGACACAGAAAACATAGAAATAAATCTAAAGTAGATTGTGATTATATAACTAAGGTCAATAATGATAGTACATGTAGTTTCTGATGCTACAGTCTGGCATCAGGCTATTGTAACAATGTACTGTGTATTTTAATCATATTAGCTCTGTCTGAGTATTCAGGAATTTAATCTATACAATTTTTTTCCAAATACTTATAGTACATGTATTTAGAATATATCATTTCTGTGATATATTAAGGAACAAATGTTGTCTATGACTCCATGGGAAAGTGTCTGATTATTATTCAAATAAATACATGTACATCATGTCATCATCATCATCATCATCATTCATCCTCCGTACATATACACATGTATATTGATTTTATGATGTAGGAATAGGTAGCTATGAATGTTTCATATTTCTTACTTCTGTATCTGTATCGGTATAGCCGGTATAACCGCCCTTTGGCGTAACACACCAGGTACTTGACAGTTGGTTGAAATACATTTGCAGTGTGGAATATTTTTTTGTGTCAGCAGGGATGTGTGAGTGGTAATTGATAATTCTCAACAGATGTATGAAATTAATCATGAGAAAATATTGATTTTTTTAAATACATGAACATTTGTGAGTCTGTTCATTTGCAGTCAGTCTATCATCTCAAGTCATTATTTAGGGTACATAAGGTTTGAAATAAAAGTAACTTGTTAAGTAATTAAGGCCATGTTGATTTGATTATATGGATGACATCCGCGCGCGTGCGCGCGTGGATTTTCGGCGTTTCCAAAAAAAAAAGTTTTCAACCATACTGTAAATCATACAAAACAGTTGCAAAATGAGCAAAAATATACCGTAAGTTACAAAAATAATAAATTAAAACTATACAAATGTCGTAGAATGCCAAAATCAAACGAAAAAAGACGAAATTGTAAAGAAATTAACTTGAAGACTAGATTATTCGCCAAACCATATTCTGTCCCATTTGTTCAACCCTCATGACCGCGTACATTTCAAAATGAAAACAACTTTTTTTCTTTGCAAAACTTTTTTTTTATTCGCATTTATTATTTTTATTTTCATTCAATTTTTGGGCTCCCGGAGGATGTCATCCATATAATCAAATCAACATGGCCTAATGATCATTAATAGGAATCAGTTTTACATGTTGTGCAGAAAAAATTTTGGCGCCATTTTAAAACGTAACATAAATTTTGCTGTTACCAACATGGAACTGAGAAGATTCTATTAAAATCGGTACTGTAGTGCAGTTTCCAACATCACTGTACAATATGGCAGTCATCAGGCAAACAATCCAAATTTACCGCCATTCGGTCAAAGGTCGCGTGCATGTTCCCGCCAAATTTACGTCATCTTCGTACAACATCGGGACCACTCGGCTGCCCTCGGCTAGTCCTTCGCGCCAAATTTTGAAGATGGCGGACGACGACCAACAACCGGTGTCAGGTAAGAATATAATCTCTAATAAATCAATTTAAAGGATATGAACTATGTAGAGTATACGTATGGGTGTTCCAGAAGACTGCAGAGACTATATGTGTGTAAAACTGCTTGATGTTGAATGAAATTTCACAGTTTTAGAGCTGCGAAAGCTGGTCGGCTCGGAAGAAAATAAAGCGCGCCATGATTTTTTTTGTACGACGCAACCAACAAAAGGAGCAAGTTTTGTATTTTGTCAGGGCCTTTATCTTACCATATCCACTGTGTTCACCAGGTGTAATCATGAATTTTGTTCTTGTTTCCCCTCAAAGATGTGTTTTATGTCTTGCGAACGGTAAATTGTCGGTGACAAATTCATGTGGGGAGGGGGGCGGTAACCTAAATGTGTACAAAATTTGCACATATACTGTAGCTGATTCAGGCAACCAACGAGCTCATCTTTTAAGACATCATCAAATTAAAGTTATCTTGACACTAATTTATGTACCGTTAATGTATAAAACATCTAGGGTGTTGGTAAAGTCATGAAATCAGTTTCAGAGCAATGAAATGAAATCAGTTTCAGAGCAATGAAATGAAATGAAATGTTTAGCCAGGCAAAGACATCTCAGGTCGAGACCGTGTTAGACCAGTCTTATAAGTTATAGGCATCCCTGGATGAAAATACAAGAAAATGAAACACTAACAGTAAGACTGTGACACTGTCCTTTTGTATCCATTCCCAGAGTCTCTTGCAGCGACCAGGTCCCGTCGTACACGGAAGGACAAAACTGGACGGCTGGCTGCACTGGAGAAACTCAAGAAAGCAAAGAAGGGAGAAAAACTCAAATATGAGGTGATACTAGTGGTGACTTTTCTGTTGTAGTGTTGACGATTAATTTGACATGTTCATCTTTCAACAGCAATGCAAAATACCCATCTGCAATGTACAATTTGCATGCAATATTCAACATTTGGAATATTCTGTAATTTTGTATGTACTCAAAAGTTTGTTATGTAGTTGAAAAAAACAGGTATGCCATATAACTGTGTTTTTACTGTGCACATGATGAGGCGTAGTTAAGTTCACATTTGACGACAACTTATCTCATTTCTAGGTGGATGAACTTGAGAATGTTTATGAGGAGGTGAATGAAGATGAGTATTCAGATGTGGTCAGGACCAGACAGGAAGATGACTGGATCATAGATGATGGTGAGGTCCTTGTCTGTGGGCTCTTTGTTTGTTTGTTTGTTTGTTTGCATGACCAGTAAATCACTGCCTTTAGGTGTAACACACCGGCTTTGTGGTGCTGTGTTAAACCAGAGTGTAGGCTTTGAACCACTCACACCTGGAAAATCCATACACTTTAATGCACTTGACGTGTGGCTCTCCTCAAACATGGGACTTCCAGCTTTACCTCCCATCCAAGAAGACATCCCTAATCAAAGCTAGGTGCTCATTTAGATTTTTAGATAGATACATGAGTTTGTCAATGTGATCTGAGTGCAAGCATACATGTACATGTAGTCTTAGGCTTATGATTAGGTATCTTATGATTAAGTTGTTGTTCCTATGTTCCAGATGGCAGTGGGTATGTGGAGGATGGAAGGGAGATCTTTGATGACGACATCGCTGGGGGAAGTGACGCACCAGCAGCCAGGGGTCAGCCTTCTTACAGACTCCCTTTACATCTTTCATTGAATTATATTATTATATTTTTATTTACCATTTTTAATTGAACGACTGCCCAACCAAATATGTAGCAAATACATCCCATGTGACTTCAACCAAATCCTTACCACTGTGGGATAACACAACATGGGTATATTTCATCATATTTCAAGACTTTCATGATCATACAATCTTTATCTTCTCACTATACATGTATGTAAAACATTGATACAGTATTATACTGATGTACCAATTTTTTTTATTATAACAGACAAGAAGAAAACAGGCCCAGGACAAAAGAAATCTGCCAAACCTGTAAGTTGTCTAAAATTTCACATTTCACATCATTTTTTCGGGGGGGGGGGGCTTAATTTCACAATACAATATAGGTCAGTAGGAGTTGGAGGTTTTCTCAGTGATGAACTTTATGGATGAAATAATTCAGTAGTTTTTACTACTATCAGATGAGACATATGTGTTGAAATGGTATCTTACAGATGGTGAAGAAGCCAGTCATCAAGCCCAACAACAGTATCATGTCCATGTTCCAGTCAAGTGCTGCCAAGAAAACCAAGAGTGAGGTACATGTGCTCCCTTTTCTATTTTGATGTCATACCTTGTTTTATATTGTGGTATAGTGTGGCATGATGGTCAGAGCGTTCAGCTCGGAACCAAGAGGTCCCAGGCTCAATCCCCTGACATACCCTATGTTGTGCCCTTGGGAAAGGCACTGTACACAACTTCCCTACCTGTACGGTGGAGTGATGCCCACCAGGCCTTTCAGCTAATCGTTGATACACTGTACTTGTGTCCAAACACTGATAAGATTTGGTGTCGCCAATGTGTCAAGATTGCACATTTGCCACTAAAAATCATATTTAAAAAAAAGTTTATTAGTTCTGGAACCCAGACCACCTTGCCACCTCTCACAGATTTTTGTCTAAATTTTGTTTTTAACAACAGAAGGATGTAAAACTGGATGAGGATGAGCTGTTAGGAGATATCTTACAGGAGATGCACGCTGAGGTAAGAATGATAAAACAGAAATATTAATATAATACAAGCAGACATATAATTTACTGAATCAGATATAACATAACGAATGAAGATATGCATTAAAGGAATACTACATTGTATATTCAAAATGGCAGTGTGAAAGTGACATGAATAGCAATTCAAAACATTTCCCGGCCTGAATGTTTTAGTGGCCATAGCAGTGAATTAATGAATGGAATTGTGTAAGTTGGAGTCTTAAATATTGTTTTTTTTGTTTTTCTCATGAAAACAGACAAGATCAGGAGGACCAGCACCAAAGAGAATGAAGCCAGCTTCACTGAGGTACTATAAATTCATTTATATGCAGTCTCTGCTGTCGTAGACAATCGTGATGTCGTTTAGTTTGTTCATCTCTGTTGTTGGACGTACAATTTCCAAAATCTTTCTCTGTGTAGGCCTACAGGCAGTGCCCCAGTCAACCCTTTTGCTGCAAAGACAACACCCAAGAGACCACAGGTGAACTTTCATCCATTCTTGATGTCTATTTTGTAGTACATATCTAAAAAAGTAGAAAGCTGTTACTGTCAGGCATTTCAAGTAACATCCCCTACTTATCTTCACTGCACTGATAAAAATGATCAGAATGCCAGACAGTTTTTAAAATCTATCCAGTTGCTTGAGTAACAGTTTTCCTGTGTATCTCATTACCTGAATAGATATAAAGTTCAAGCTTTGTTCCAACACAAGAAGGGAACTCACAATAAATTTTTGATCAATCTCGTCAACCTTCGTCAGATGTGTTATGCACATTCTGACTCTTCGTATGTCGGAAGCATGATGAGTTTCCTTCTTGTGTTAGAACAAAGCTTGAACACAGATGAGCTTTCATTCGAATCTTATTACCTCGATATCTAACCTTCTCCGTTTTTTTTTTTTTTGCGGACAGGCAACTAGAGCTCGAGTCCCCACCACGAACCTCAGCTACACACTGTCCTCACCGAACACCTCCAAGCCTCGCCCCAAGCCTCCAGCCAAGGACCTCCAGACCACGCCTCCCTCCCGCTCTGCACGACCTCCCGCGACCTTCAGGCCTCCCTCAGCCGCAGTGAAGAAGAAGATGGAGGTTAAGGTGAAGGAGGAGCCACAAGAGGAGGAGGAGGAGGAGATGGATGTAGAAGAACCTCAGGATGAAGGAGGAAATGATATCCCAGGTTTGCATGCTCAGAAACTTTAAACAGGAAGCCCAATAAACTAGAAAGGTAACATTTGCAAAGCAAATGCATAATGTTCGCTTATGATCTGCGGTAGGTTGGAGGGAAATGAGTTTTTTGTAGTGGAGTAGAGTAGAGTAGAGTAGATCTTTCGTCTCGGTAGGAAGTTCTCTTCCACTTTGAGCCGCTCCTTGTAGTTTACTGCGTTGACATGGTCATCTTGTGGGGGTTGTCCAGTGCCCGGGGGTTGTACACCACTGGATGACTTCTCATGTGTTTGTCCAGTCTATTTTTAAAACTGTTCACACTTGGGGCTGACACCACTTCCTCAGGTAGACTGTTCCACCATGTTACTACCCTGTTGCTGTAGAAAAACAGTCTTTTGTTGTTGTTCACTGATCTTTTGTTTAGGCGTAAGCTGTTCCCTCTTGTTCTTGTTTTTTCTTGCATTTTTGGTAGGCACCCCTCTGTGTCCAGCTTCCCATGAATGTACTTGTAGGTCATGATCATGTCCCCACGTATTCTTCTATATACCAGTGTCGGGAGCCTAGTGTTTGAAGGTATAGTTCAATATGGAAGAAAGAATCATCAGTATTTTTGTGGATTTGCTGAAAGTTGTGACAGATGACAGTAATCTGAATCTTTGATAAAATTTCAACTTTTTTATTTGCAGACAATGCTGATGTGGACCTTGGAGACATTGATTTCAACGATGATGACTTTGATGGACAGATGTCAGAGGAAGTAGCCGAGGTCAAACAGGAAGCTCAAGATCAGGTCAAGGTCAAATCTGAACCAAAGGAGCTTCCCAAGGTCAAACAGGAGAAGAAACCCTTGTAAGTGTGGAGATGACCCTTGCTCTTTAGGCCTAGGAAAAAAATGTTGTTTCCTGTTTCCTGACAGACACTAGAAAAACTGCCGACCCTAGCCTTTTTTTGTTCTCAAGAAGAGTTTTTTATTTATTTGTTTCTATTTATTTGTTTACAGTGAGGACCAGGTGATCTCAGGTAGCGGTTGGGAGACCATTAAGGGTGAGGTGGGGTCGACTGAGGCCTTGGTGACAGACGTCAAAGTTGACTCCTCCTCCCTCCCCTTGGTGACCAATCAGGATGGAGATAGCGTGCTGAGGTTCTACTGGATTGATGCCTACGAGGATCAGTACAGGCAGCCTGGTATGGACTGTAGATTTGTTTATTTTTGTTGGGAATTAATTTTGTAGTAGGCTGGATGCCCTTTCTAGCACCATCCCAAACCCTAGTAAAGCCCAGGAAACCTCTAACTGAGGGGGGGGGGGGGGGAATACGTGTTAAGTGCCTTTCCCAAGGGCACAACGTCTGGGTGCATGTCCGGACATGTCTGGGTCCAACCCTGGGGATTGAACCTGGGTCCCCTTGTTTGACAGTCGGATGTTCCATCCACTACACCACACAGACGCCACATAGTGGCAAAGCCATAATTAGATGTTGATCCCCCTAGCAGTTTTCCATGGTACTGCAGCCTGGTTTTGTAATTCATTTTTTTACTGTAGCATGTTTGAAATGACAGTTAAACATTTCCTTAAACACCTGCCCCCCTCCCCAGGTGTTGTGTACATGTTTGGGAAGGTGTGGATAGAGTCAGCACGCGCTCATGTCAGCTGTTGTGTCGTGGTCAAGAACATAGAGAGGTCCATCTTTCTCCTACCACGAGAGACGGTAAGTACATTATAGCACCTTAAAGGCATCCAGCTCAGTGTTTTGGGCTTGGAAACCAGATTGTTGAAGTCAATATTCTAGTGACTTACCTAAATACTAAGTTTAAACAACACTATCCCAATGTACATGTATACCGACATTCGTGGAGCAAAGATGCCCAAAATTCTGACGAAAAACAGCTACTGGAAGGACTTGGATTGATTTTTAGGATACCACTCGGAAAATAAAGGACTAATGTTGTACAAATGTATTAGCTCCATGTATGAAGGTTTTGTTTTCGGTGTGTTTGTGTTTTTTGTAGCCATTGCTAGACAGGCAAGGACAATGATACATGTAGTAAGTTAGGTTAAAGGTCTCAGGAAGGTTATCTACATGTAGATCTGAGTCATCTGCTTGAAAAAAAGTTTACTGGAAATTTCAAGTATTGACAAGTTGCGTTATTGTTTCAGAGGCTGTTCAAGACTGGAGATGACAGCGGGGTACCTGTGGGCATCATGGACGTTTACCAAGAGTTTGATGAGAAAATATCCTCCAAACACAAGATTATGAAGTTCAACTCCAGGGTAAGACATTATGATCACGAGGAAGAAATTAGGAGGCATTCAGAGATGGGGGAAAGTGAAAATAAGCATGCACACATTTGGAAAGAGAAAAATATTATTATTATATATTAACTGTTAACTTGAAGTAAATCTTTGTGTAAAGTAAGAAAAACAGAAGGAAATGTGAAAATTGTCACCCTCCATTTAGTCATAGATCCCATAAAACATAGTTCTTTGTCCTTAATTGTTATGTCCATATTCATAGTCTAAAAAGTGTGTTGCCATTTACATTCTTGTCTATCCTTCACACTCCAGAAAGTGACAAAGCAGTATGCGTTTGAAAAGCTGGACGTTCCTGTTGAGTCAGACTATCTGGAAGTCCGTTATTCTGTGAGTATTGTAGCCAAGTTGAGGTCTTCTATGATTTGGTTGATGTAAATGTTGTTCTTTTTTTGGCCTTCCTTGCAACAAGTGGGTTCTCAAAATGTCAGTTGTACTGACAAAGCATTTTTTGTTGTCTGTCGATCACAGAGTGACCTACCTGCTCTACCAGCAGACCTGAAGGGGGAAACATTCAGCCATGTGTTTGGTACTAACACTTCAAGGTACTGTTGAAACCTAATCTATCAGTGTGCAGAATGTAGAGATATGTGTGTTTGTTTGTGTGTGAAAATGTGTGTGTATGCATTGTTATTCATCTAGAGAATAGAAAGTTAAGTACGTGTATGAACACAAGTTAAAAGTTAAGGATGAAATTTATTTCATAATTTTTATCTATTCTACAGGTGGTTGTAGTTCATTCTACTACGAACAAATGCCACAGTCTGTATCTGCTAACATGATTACTGTTTCCCCCTTCAGCACTGAACTGTTTTTGCTGGAGAGGAGAATCAAGGGCCCGTGTTGGCTGGATATTAAACTACCTCGTAAGTCAACACAACTCTATTAATAAAGTGTGATATTTTATGTGTGCTTATTCATTCTTTCACATTGAATCTTGAAAGCAAATTGATATCCAGAACGTCCTCCCAATCAGTTGATGCTATCTTCAGTTTCTGTAATAAACTAGGAATCAGTGGTGGACTTGGGAGACTCAGAGTTCAGGAAGCTAACTGAGGATCGTATACTTCACAGAAGTCTGAAATCTCTGATTTCTCCTTTTTCGATCCTTAGAAAAGCCGAACCAGCCCATCTCGTGGTGTAAAGTGGAGGCTTTTGTGACCAAGACGGCACATGTGTCAGTTACAACAGAAAGCAAGACTCCTCCTCCACCAATGGTGAGTTACCCAGTGTTAATCCTAGGACTGTTAACTGTAAATCATCAAATGTTTGCAGTGGTTTTTATTCTTCACCACCAATTTAGAGAAGTGTGCTGCTGCGTAGTCCAGTGGTTAACAATCCTGCCTCTGGACTAACAGATTGGAAATTTGAATCCCGGCTGTTGTCGCTCGCCTGACATGCACTCTATTGAAAAGGGTCCCAATCCTTAAGACAAGACATTAAACCATGGCCCACTGTTCACATAGCATCTTGTCTGTGACAACCAGTGGGAGATTAGTTCTTCAGTGAGCTAAAACTGGTTCAAGATCACTTTCTTTTACTTTCTTAATCCATTACTACAGTAACTGTACTACAGAATAATTTTTAAAGATTTACAGTAAGGTGATCTGCACCTGTTTTTCCACCCCCATGGTGTGCATGTTTACAAACAAACAATTATTTACCTTAGGTTGTGATGAGCCTCAGCCTGCAGACCTTACTGAACCCCAAGACACACCAGAACGAGGTGGTTGCCGTAGCAGCGCTCGTCCACACCCGTTTCCATATCGACAAGGCCCCTCCCAAACCACCCTTCCAGGACAACTTCTGTGGTAAGGCAGTCTGTACAGTTTGGATTGGACCTGAGAAAAAGTTAGGAAACAAGTTTGAACTGTAATGGCCAACAAAAACTTGAACTCACCCAAAATTTCGACTGTACAACTCCAGTCTTTGTCAAGGAATGAACAATCCACCGCTTCCGTGACGTCACTCAGATAACACACGTGACTCAGTGAGCAGTGGATTGTATGTTGCAGAAAGTGTGTGTGGTACCCCTTTGTTAAGGAATGGTTGCAACCTATGATCCTCAGTAACTGTTCAAACCACCTGGCAACTGCTACAGTACAATTTGAATGCCAAGAAGTGTACTGACCTTTTTTCCTGTCCCTGTTTTTGATTTTTCAGCTATCAGCAAACCCAATGACTGTGTCTTCCCATATGACTTTAAAGATGCCATCAGAAAGAATGTAAGTTTGTGACATTCATTCAATTTGTCTAATGCCCTATTTGGTTCTGATCTGGTCTGGGGTAGTTGATCTCTTTAATATCTAATGAAGGAACAGGAATGCCAAACATTAGGATTGAAATGTTTTGTGTCCTGCTCAGGGTGCCCGTGTGGAGGTGATGCCAACTGAACGAGCTTTGCTGGGATATTTCCTGGCTAAAGTACACAAGCTGGACCCAGACATCATCATAGTATGTAACTCTTACATGTCATATAGCACAACTGTCTACTTACAGAGCCAGTGACAAAACTAAATACTTGTCGTACATGTATAAGTCACCAACAGTTAAAAGAGACAGTTGAACATGATAAATTTGAGTTATGTTTACAGAAGGAAAACATATTGTTTTTACAGTACGTTTCCCCTTATTCTTCTTCAAACAAAAAAGGTCAATGACCTGAACCAGACTCTGTTATCATGGTAGCTAGTGTTGGGTTACATCATGTTGCACTTTTACATCAGGAGGGATTTATACTGCTGTCTGACCATTATATATGAATGTGTTTGTGTAAGAATTAAGAGAGCAGACCATATGCGAAGGGAAACATTATGAATTTGCTTTGCAAATGTTTAATTTAGGTTTAGTCAATTATCTGTATTCTAGAAAATTTGTTGTACCTATTTCTTATTTGTCAAGTTTTTCTTGCCAGGGTCATGATATTTATGGTTTTGACCTGGACGTGTTGCTTCACCGGATCAACTCCTGTAAGATCCCCCACTGGTCCAGGATAGGCAGGCTCAAGAGACAGGTCTTCCCAAAACTCTCCGTAAGTGCCAAGCAGAAACTTTAAAGTTCAATTTACCTTTCCCAACAAGGTTATATTTTTGGTAGCATTTGTTTATTTGTAATGGTGCTTGTGTTTGATCAGCATACATGTAAGTCAAGGCAATTGTCTTGCGATCCAGATCCGCCGACAATGCAGTACCTTGAACAGGGACAGGGGGCGTCACTACCTAAAACCTGTATATACTGTCTCTTGTCATGTGGTAATCAACATCAACTTACATGTACGTCACAAGAGAACTCTCAAGATAAGACCTTATTGGGTTGACAAAGAAACAGAGTGCGTCTTAAAAGCTCCCCGGAGTAGCTAATTTTTGTTGTGTGTATCATTTAGAAATATTTGTCAAAAGGCAATTGATGTGGTCATCAAAGAAATGATTACAGTACAGACACCCTGGTGGTTCACCTTGGTACTGCATCAGAACTGAAATTGACACCATGTTCCAACGTTCCAGTCTGGTGGTGGGAGGAGCAGTTTTGTGGAGAAGAGCGCGGCGTGCGGTCGGCTGATCTGTGACGTGAAGATCTCGTCCAAGGAGCTGATCCGGCTGAAGAGTTACGACCTGACGGAGCTGACCAAACAGATCCTGAGGCAGGACAGACAAGTGGTCCCGCAGGAGGAGGTCAAGAACATGTTCAGGTCAGACGGCTGGAACAAGTAACGCAAGGTTACCAGTTTACAGGAGAATTATGGAAAATGACATTTTTTGCGAAAACGCATTGGCAGAACCAAATATTTAACTAATGTGAAGAATGTTCGTCACTTAAAAAAGTGTCCGTCCTTGGTCACCTTTCTAACTGTTTGCCAGGATAGTTCCATTGACGCCAGGTCATCAGGTTCTTCTCCAAAATTTGAAGTATTTTTGGGTCTGGTTTTGGATTTGCCTTCTCCCCAAGCAGAAAGATTACAGTGCCCAACATTTCAAGGAAGTTTTAAGACATAATCTAAACTGTATGTATACTGACGTTTGACTGATGAAAAATTACCAATGATTATCTGACTGTTTACAGTACGTCTCAGAAGCTGCTGTACCTGATAGAGACGACGTGGGTGGACGCCAGCCTGACACTGAACATCATGTGTGAGCTGAACGTGCTTCCCCTCGCACTACAGATCACCAACATCTGCGGAAACCTCCTGGTGGGTGGGGCTGCCATGCCAACCATGGGCACATATCTGTTTTTTATATTTCACTCCATACCATGGTGTGGATGAAATATATTGTTTTCCCTCGTGTTTCTTCTCCTCCTCCTGCCATTTGGTCAAATGGATTCAACTCTGCCATTTTTGAGCCAGATATCCTGAAATTTGGCATGGAGGTAGAGTGGGCAAATACCCCCAGACATTTTTCCATTTTTTTTCAAACAGGCCGTCAAAATAATTTTAATGTACTTTTTTTTTTTTTTTGGGGGGGGGGGATCTTTACACATTGTTGTGTGGCTTTTTTTTGACTAGGGTTCTCCAAACAAATAAGGTCAATGACCTGAACCAGACATCTGTCACCATGGTAACGAGTGTTGGGTAACATCATGTTGCAATTTTATTATAGCAGGGGGGATTTAGACTCCTGTCACTATCATGCATTTGCTTTGCAAATATTACCCTTCTAAGGTCTGGTAACTGTCCTAACGTTGCAGGGCCGTACGTTGATGGGAGGGCGCTCGGAGAGAAATGAGTACCTCCTGCTACATGCCTTCCAGGAGAAAGGCTTCATCGTACCGGACAAGTCTTACGGGAAGAAGCAAGCTGCTGCACATCCGGTGGGTATTGTTTTCATCTCACTGATCACAGGGCTTAAAGAACACTCTCATATCACCTGTGAAGGTATCTGTATATGTACAAAACATGTATCTGTATAGCTAGTAAAACTGCCCTTCAGCATAACACGCCAGCTTTGCAGGCATACAGCGCGGCAGCAGCTGGCTATATTACACCACATGACTGGCTATATTACACCTAACCTAAACAGAGTAGCAAGGAGTTAAATGGGGTCCATTATGCCCTGAGAAAGGTACATGTAGCTGAAATATTGTAGATAAAAGCCCTTTGGTTGTGTAGGTACATGTATAAGACCCAGTATAATAAATGAAAGCCTGTTTTTTCTCTTCTCTCAGGTGGATGTGGATGCAGATGATGATGACCAGGCAAAACCAGCCAGCAAGAAGGGCAGGAGGAAGCCTGCATACGCTGGCGGGCTGGTTCTGGAGCCAAAGAAAGGTACAGAGCAGAAAGTTTCATAGCTCCAAAGTTACAAAAATGTTCACAACAGCCAAGGATTGTTTGATTATAAGTACATGTGTAACCGTTTTGAAAAATGGCAAGTGACTAAATTTTGGTACAGGTACATGTAGATACATTCATGTTCCTATTTTACTCATGGTGCTTGACTTGGAACCAAGAGGTTCCAGGTTCGAGTCCTGACCTGCCACCAATCTTGTGCCCTTGGTAAAGGCACTTTACAAGACTATTCTCACTTAACTCAAGTGAAAATTAGTATTGTTTGTCCTCTATTCGTTCTATGTGTGGGACACAACACCAGCAACAGCTGCCTTTGTTCCACATGTATTGTATAATTATAATGGTTACAATTTCAATAAATCCAATCAAAATTTAATCCTGTATTTCCTCCCTCTAGGTTTCTATGACAAGTACATCCTACTGCTGGACTTCAACAGCCTGTACCCCTCCATAATACAGGAGTACAACATCTGCTTCACCACCATCAATAGGGAGGTGCCCCAGTCACAGGTACATGTACAGTACAGGGGGGTTCTAGAAAAATTAGGACAGCAATGCTAGGGAGCAGAGCCACCAAGCTGCTGCTACAAAATGTATGTGTAACAGTTCTAGAAAAATTTATGATGAAGGGAAAATGGAGCTTCTTGTGCCCGAAGTTCTTATCAGACAAGTTACAGATGAAGACCTTGGCCACTGGTCAGTAATAGTGGTCAATCTGAATTTCTCACTTACAGCAGGATCTGCTTCCAAGGGCACAATATAATAGATGAGGGTACTGGTGCAGTGTCCAAGTTTTTTACATGTCAGATTTAGGAAACACAGAAGAAGATTTTACTTTCAAATAACTTTTTTACTACAGTTTTAAGGTACAGCAGAAGCTCCTTAGGTGCAGCATATGGCATCTGCTGCTATATAAGAAACTGGTATAGAAAACCTGGTATAAAAGATGGGTATACATATATTCTTGTATACAGTGAATTATGCATAATATCATTACGATCAAAATGTCATATTTGTCTTTAAATGACTGGCCAACCAGGTAAAGCTACAAGTTACAAAATTTTGTGGAATAACTTTATCAACATATCCACATGTTCCAGGCAGGAGACACTGAGGAGGAACAGCTCCCTGCCCTTCCCGACGCTGACCTTGAACCCGGCGTGCTGCCGACAGAGATCCGCAAACTGGTGGAGCGGAGACGGCAGGTCAAACAGCTGATGAAACAACCCGACCTGAACCCTGACCTCAAGCTACAGGTCAGAGGGGAGAGGGGAGTTATAAAGATGACATAAGTTTAGGCATAAAGGATCAGACTTTAGAAAATTGAAAAATTAACCAGAAACGTAACATTTGTAAAGCAAATGCATAATGTTTACCTTGACATATGGTCTGCTCTGTTAAATCCCTCCTGCTATAAAATTGCAACATGATGTAACCTACACTAGTTACCATGGTGACCAGGAAATGAAGGGCTTCAAACAATAAAGAAATAGGTACAACATTACAGTTTCTGCATTACAAATTAAAGAAATGTCTTAATTTCTGCCTGTGTACCGAGATAGGAACATATTTTTGGACTTCAGATTTAGTCACTGTATTATGTACAATTTTATGTTGTATTAACGTTCCCTCTCTTTCTCTTTGTAGTACAACATCCGTCAGCAGGCCCTGAAGCTGACAGCTAACAGCATGTACGGCTGTCTGGGCTTCACATACTCCAGGTTCTACGCCAAGCCACTGGCTGCACTGGTCACAAGCAAGGGCAGGGAGATCTTAATGAAGACTAAAGACCTTGTGCAAAAGGTCAGGATTATACCACTACAGAAATGTGAAACTTTCCATTCATTATTACTGTCAGACAGAATTCATGAATAGTTTCATCAGGTTGGTAAGTCACTGAGTAAAGAGACTTTTTTTAAACACATCCAAGTCTTTTATTCAGCCTGCATTTTGGGGACCGTCTGTCACCCTCCTCGGGGCAATTCTGACGTCATGACTGGTTCACGTTCAATATTGTACATTTGAGAATGCATCTATAGCAGCGACACCTGTGCTGCAGTGCAGTGTGAACCAGTCAGAACTGCCCTGAGGAAGGTGACAGACGGTCACCAAAACGTCAGCTGAAAAAAAGACTAGGTTGTGTAAAAAGAGTCCCTTTACTCTGTCCGACAGAATTGTTTCAACTGCAAACTCAAAACACTGCAAAAACCTCCTTTACCCTTTCATCACAAAATTTCATGAAAGTCCATGTAACAGTAAATTACTGACTTGTGTTGCTGTGTGTCCTCAGATGAACCTGGATGTGATTTATGGTGACACAGACTCCATCATGATCAACACCAACAGTACAAACTGGGACGACGTCTTCAAACTGGGCACCAAGGTATACAACAAAGTTGTCTCCATTATATTTGCTCAATGTTTTCTTGAAAGTGTGGTGTCACTGGCTGAGTGATTAGGCTAGTGGGTGGGGTCGAGGGGTCATGGGTTTGATTCCCGCATCACTGGGAAAGTCACTAAACATCATTATATGATAACTTCCTCACTCCACCGAAGTGTACAACGTAAATTGGTACAAATGTTTTGGAAGGAAAAGGAAGGGCTTCATGATCTAATACCTAATATCTGGACTAACAGCCTACTTCCCATATGATCTCTCTAAGTCTAAGGCTATGGGACCTACGTGAGTTTTTACTAGAATTGTAATGAAGTAACTCCGTCTGTTCCTGACAGGTTAAGAGTGAGGTTAACAAGCTGTACCGACTGCTGGAGCTGGACATTGACGGGGTCTTCAAGTCCATGCTGCTGCTCAAGAAGAAGAAATACGCTGCACTGACCATCAGCAAGAACCCTGATGGTCAGTATAGAACTTCCCTTTCATTTGTATAATTATCATTAAAAAGTTATGTCTATCCATCTACTTCTATTATCTTATTGAATTCTTCAAGTTCAGTCCTTATGTATCAGTTTCAATTGGATTCAACATACAGTTATTACTGAGAATTGATGTTTGAAATGTTTCTACAGGTTCCTTCAGCACAGGGCAGGAGTTGAAAGGATTGGACATTGTTAGGAGGGACTGGTGTAACCTGGCCAAGGAGGCAGGGAAGTAAGTTTTTATGGCTGGTTGTGGCGTCTGTTTGGTGTAGTGTAGTGGTAGAGTGTCTGGACATACACCCAGACGTTGTGCCCTTGGGAAAGGCACTTAACATGTATTTCCCCCCTCAGTTAGAGGGATCCTGAGCCCTACTAGGGTTTGGGTTCGGGTTAGGAAGGGCATCCAGCAGTAAAAAAATCTTAATTCAAAAAAGACTAGTCTTGCACTTGATGCAACCATGTCTAACCCCCAGTTTCGGGGGGAAAAAGACGTTTTAAAAAACTGGATAGAAAGAGAGGGAGAGAGTATGGCTGGTAAATGTATAAAAGCCTTTGCAGGCACGACGTGTTATATTACATGTTGAGCATATAATTTTGCACATTTTTCTCCAGCTTTGTCATAGGTCAGATCTTGTCTGACCAACCACGAGACAAAATTGTGGAGAACATCCACGAAAAACTGACAGAAGTTGGAGAGAAAGTGAAAAATGGAGACATTCCTGTGCAAATGTACGAAATCAACAAGGTCAGTAACTGTTAGTTGACATTTTTTTAGATATTTTGTAATAATTTTTCGTTTCTCCTTTTTCCCACCTTTAACTGTTTTTTAGGCTTAACTTTGTGATGCCCTTCCATACAGGCACTGACAAAGAATCCCCAGGACTACCCTGATAAGAAGACCCTGCCCCATGTGCAGGTGGCCATGTGGATGAACTCCCACAGCGAGGGGAAGAAAGTTGGGCAGGGGGACACCATCTCTTACATTATCTGTGAGGTATGTCAAATTCGGTGGACCCAGATGGTCGAGGTTAAAACCCCCCTCTGACACAGTATGAGGATTGCATTTATTTTGTCTTTATGGATGGGGACGTAGATCTAGAGTTGACCGTCCTGTGTATGCATTTTCAATTGAGTTAAAAAATAAATTCGTGTAAAGTGCAGGACTCGAATTTCAGGCCTCAAATCCGGGAACTCTTGGTTCCGAGTTGAGCAATCTGCCGTTGTGCCAAACGACCCAATTAAAAGATGGGTGATGCTTCATACAAGGTGCACATGTCAAATTGGGACTGGAAGTGACCCGTTGTGTTTGGATATGAAATCTGTGGAGCATTAACTGAGAAGAGTAGAGCTGACCCAGTGTACATGGATGAAAACATACACCTTGCTCTAACATTGGTGAACTTGTTACTCTACAGGATGGTTCCAGACTGCCTGCCACTCAACGGGCTTACGCAGCAGACAGACTGGCCAAAGAGGAGAACTTAAAGATAGGTAGGAACCAACAATGATTAGATCAACCCATCCCTTAGTCTTTACAAATACATATACATGATTGTACATATATATACAAATCTGTGTACCTATGACATGTACTGAACTGACTGATAGTAGATTTACATGTTGTGATGTTTTTTTGTTCTGGTTGCAGACACGCAGTACTACCTGTCGCAGCAGGTTCACCCTGTTGTGTCCCGTCTGTGTGACCCCATCGATGGCACAGACGCAGGCATCATAGCGGAGTGTCTAGGTCAGGACTCCTCACTTCATACTATAGATTCAACAACATGTACATGTGTAGTATGCTGGTGCATTTTAGTACAGGGCAACAGAGCTTGATTAGTTAGTTTAGATGATATCATAATTTATATCATACCCGGGCTGTGATAACTTTCGATAAGTGTTCTGGACCGGGCTGTACTTGACGGAGCAGCCCGGGCTTCCGTAGAGAGTTTCGAACTTGTTACGCCCTGACCGCGTTAACCGCTTTCAAAAATTTGATTACAGGATTCGGACATTGGAATTGATGTTGTTGCATTTTTTGGTTTACGGACACCAGATTTTGGCTCATTGAAAGGCGCATTTTCTTGGGTGGGTATGATGTAAATAAAATACACGTATTGACTATATGTTTTACATGTATGTATATGTCCTACCTGTGCAGGTCTGGACCCGTCTGGTTACAGACAGGCTCAGCGTTACCACGATGAGGAGAGTGAAGCCCTGCTGGGGGGAAACGCAGCCATGACGGACGAAGAGAAGTTCAAAGATGTCGAAAGGTGAGGTGTCGAAGTCTTACCTTTTGTCTTGACATTTGGTATGAATTGTTTACCAAGGATTACAATGCCTTAATTTTAATAATATGTTGATTTTGAATGTTTAAGGTTCAAGTTCAACTGCCCCAAACCAGAATGTGGCAAGGAGAACATCTGGGATGGAGTCTTTGTGGCAAATGTAAGTGTCCAATAATTGTAAATTTTTGGTTCTTCCTGTATATGTATAGCCAATATGACTGCCAAACGACCTTTTACACCTAACCTTTGTACATCTCAACGTAAACTCTATAGGATAGTTCTAGGGAAAAACAAGTATTTTTATTAACACCCCAATCCTTGGTTGATAACTTGAAGGCATGATCATTTCTTGTTCTTCTTTGCTGAATCTTCATAAACATTCTGTTTTACAGGTACATGCAAATTTCTCCGGTATAGTCGTGCCTATTCCTAAAAACTGTACCCTACATTGTATGTCATATTTCCGTATGCATCACTAATGTACACATACATGTGTCTCTCCCACCCCCAGAGCCCAGTGCCAGAGTTCACCCTGTCCCAGTGTGCTAACAGCCAGTGTGACCTGGCCCCAACACAGTACCTCACCATGCTGAAGAACAAACTCACCATGGCCTCCAGGAGACACATCAAGATGTACTACGAGGTTTGTTAACACAGTCAAACCTGTCTATATATACAGTCTGTATATATACAGTCAAATGAATGTCGGTACATGTACAGCCTTACACCTTAAAGGATGACACAAAGAACAACCTGACAGCACAATGTTTAAGCCCGTCACACATACAGAATCTTCCCTCGACTATCAAGCAACCAAGGTTTGCTAAAGATCGGGAACAGTCTGATCAGGTTTAGGCCACGCGTACCCTTCTATATGAATTAAATTGAAATTTGAGTTACATTTTAGTCAAATTTGTCCCATAAACACAATGCTGACCTGCTCCCAAACACCAGCTGGCCACCAGCTAACCATGGCTGAACCTCCTGTCCATAAAGATTTTGAAAGCCGACCAAGCTCCCATCCTACTAGTAAGCATGGTTAAGGGGAGTTTGGCAGTGTTCAGTGTTCGGGAGGCCTATGTGTGACGGCTGTAGTTGATAGGTCTATGAACAAATAAACAAAGATATTGATGTTGATGTAGGGTTGGATGAAGTGCGACGACCCGTCCTGTGCTTCCCGTACCCGGAGAGTTCCCATGTACTGTCAGCGTAACGGAGCCGTCTGTCCAACCTGCAACAAGGGCATCCTTCAACAGGAGGTGAGACGGTGTCACTCAGGCCTTTTCCATAATATAATTGGTACATACACAGAATCAACGTACTAGTATGTGACAGTGTGATAGCATCTGTTCAACAAGGACTTCCATGTAATGTCATAATGAATCATTATGATATTGTCTCTACAGTACACAGACTCCCAGTTATACACACAGCTGTTGTTCTATCAACACATTTTTGACTTGGACAAGGCCATCGACAAGCTTCCAGAAAAGGAGAGAGGTAAGACTACTTAAGAAAAAGGCAATTGACCCACTGATGTCAGTATGCTGTGTAGACGCTGGTGAAGAGTGATGTGAAATCTTCCTAGTCTCATTGGCACAAGAATTGGCCAGCTTGTTTCCTGTGTCCATTCAAAGACTTAGTTTATTTACAAGAAGTCAAAAGAACACATGGTATAGTACCTGGAAGGCTTGTACAAATCATGCAGATGTGTTTGTGGGAATAACACTTGCGGTTTGGCAAAACTTTTTCAGTGTTTAAACAAACGTTTACCTGCGTTCAACTTGATGGAATTCATTTGTATTAAAAACAACACAACTGCAACCTAATACTGTGGTCAAATATCAGCTGCAGATGTTTTGTGTGAAAGTTTGGATATCAAATTCACAGTTTTATTTTCCTCAAAAGAATAATTATTTTATGAAATAACCAAGCACTATTTCATCCTCCTAGCGGGACCCCGAAACATGAAGAAGGCGTACCTCTCAGACTACCACGCCCTTAAGACGGTTGCTGACAGGAGACTTAAGGACAACGGCTACTCACAAGTGAACCTGACCAAGCTGTTCGCAGGGATGAATATGTTCAAGTAGGGGAAGGATCTGCTATGAGCCAGATGGAAATCAAGTTTGACTTACACAGAAGACGATTTTTAGAGACTATCATAATAAAAAAGAAAAATCACAGCACTGATTATTGCTAACATAGAATGAATGGATGTGAAATGTACATGTATGATATCAAAATTGGGTCAATACTGCTAAATAGATAACTCTATGTATTACATGTGTGAGAGATCTTTAAAACTGGGTTTTTTGTTGTTCATTGTCCTCAGTAAGACTTATTCTTTATACATATTATACATTCCTCTACAGACCTGAATTTTCCATTGATGTGCATAACACCTAAAATTGCAAAAATGTGGACCAATAGTCTAATTACAGGTTTTATATAACTTCCTTCCTTCCCTGTCAATATTTTAGGTCCACCAATGTGTTAGGTAAGCTACTTATTAAAAGGACTTTGTTTAGAATCCCAAGAAACAGAAATTTCTTTTTCAAAATTTATGGATTGATATGAAAAATAAAGTTTGACTACTAACCATGGAAATGTGGCCAGTCCCTATACTACCATCTTGTGTTTCTCTTTGATTAAATATTAAATATACACAGTTACAAACACTGTTAACCCTCAACAAACACTGCCAAATCACTGCTCAAAATGCCACCTGCATATGCAGGTTAGTACAGGTAATATTGGAGATGTGCAGGTATTTCTGTATTGGGTACTGTGTGTTTTGATGTCTTTGCCATGAAATGTTTTCAATAACATTAGTGTGTGTGTCCTTCCTTCTGTCTGTCTGTCAGAACAATAACTTAAGAAGACTAACATGGATTGTCTTGATATTTGGTAGGTCTTGATGAGACCTCAAAATGATTAGAAACTTTTTAGTAAGATAAGAAAATGACATGGGAAAGTGGCATCATGAGATGTTAAACATATGCTACATAATTGCATAATTATGAATTGTAGATTACCATGTAAGTTCTACCACACCTATTTTTACCCTGTAGTTTTAGCACAATAGGACTGTTACCCTGTTTAGGCATACAGCTCTCATAATGAGAAGTTAAATACATTTATTCAATAGCTCTCACACAGTAAGAAAGTACGATCATTATGATATATAGGTTACTGAGTACCACATCACCTACAGTTGGATTTTCACCCTGTAGTTGGTATAAGTTGGCTACCCTGTCTGAAAGCTTAATATAGATTCTTTATTGACACAACAAAAAAGTACAGAGACTTTTGTATGGTCTTCTACAACTTAACTTATATACATTACCGTACACGTTGTCTTCATATGTGCACAATTCCACAAGTACATGTATCTATTATTCAGCACAGTTACACTCTAAAACAACTTATCCAAAGTGATGTCGTATTTGATACATACAATGTAAACATAGCTGATATGTTACGCAGGATGCCCATACAGATACATAGACACTTTTAGCTTCTAAAGCCCAGAACTTCCAACTCCAGACAGCGAAAGTGGGCGTCCTGACAGAGGATGGGGTTGTAGAAGGTGTCACACATCCCGGTGTATCCTAGTTCCAGGTCGGAGCCCAGCTGTATAGCATAGCCGTTACTATAGCGGAGAAATAATTCTATTATATTAAATTTTTACAAAGAAAAGTATAGATTGTATTCATTAGTATATTACACTTTACAGACAAAAGTATAAACTAGAGTTCGTGGAACACACTTTCGTAAGGTGTAGATATCAAATCGGTCTTGGGCTGCAGCCTGGGTGCCGCCACATCACACAAACACATTATCGAAGACATATAGACGTCTCGGTGAATTTCATTGAACCAGCTTTTTTTTTTTTCAAGTCGCCATGCAGCCTGACTGCCAGATCATGTTGCAGGTTTACCTACACTGTGCATTTCCTTCCCAGATTCGTGGACATATAACATCAGGCCCATCAGAGAATATGTTTACCTCATGTTTTACGTACATGTAAATTAGATCCTGATTTCACTGGTGTGAAAAAAAAAACATTTCGTACTCACCCTCCCCCGATGATTAAGCTGTTGTTGGCTGCCGAGATGAACATGTCCTGTTCCATCTGTCCCACCCATGGATACCTCACGGGCACAGGGGAGAACGAAAACACAAACGTCTCCCCGGTTCCAAAGTAACCCTGGTCTTTCTTGCTATCTTCGAAGCTTTTGATACATTTGATGAATGCACCAAACCTCTGAAAGGAGAGATACAATGTAGTCACCAAGAGATACAGGGTTTAGGGGTTTGCAACAAAAAAAACTGTAATAAACTTAATTGAATGTTTATATATATATAGCACTGAAAGGTTTATACGTGTAACATTTCTGTAAATTTGATGGCAAACTGAAAATAATGCGACTACAGAAGAAAAGGGGAAAGAGTTATTGTCAAATTTGTCACGTGAATTTGTAGGCCAATGTATACTGCCTGGCCAATGGATACTGCCTGGCCAATGTACATGTATACTGCCTGGCCAATGGATACTGTCCTTGTGGCCACCGAAAGATCTTCTTGAAGATTAAAACTTGTAGAACGTCTTAAATCATGTGGATCCATCTGACAACTGGAGCGGAATAATTTTTGATTCACAGGAAAGGGGTCAGAGTGCAGATGAGACAAAAGGACATCATAGAGTGTTTGTGCACAGGTTAATGAACTGTGAGTACAGGGCAAGGACATATCAATCAAGATAACAAAATGGCTGCATTTAGAGTCAAGCGTCTATGTTTCTCCATAATTTACGATTCACATTGCCATAAATTTTTGCTGTCGCGCGTTTTATGTATAGTCACATCCTTTCACATTTCAAGTCGCATTTTACAATCCTGGCAGTGTGTATACACGTACACATGAATAACTGTCCTACCTCTTCTTTGTCAGTGCGAATTATGAGCGCGAACTCCGAGTAGTTTCTGCACATGTGGTACATGGTCTGGAGGTGGAAGCCATCGTTGATTGTGCTGAACAGTGTCACTGGTCGGTGAAGCTGAAACCGTTTAGGTACCCAGGACCGCAACTTGTGTAGCTGTGAGAAACACACAGAAAGGTTGAAGTGACTTTAATATAGAATCAAAGAATACATCGTGGACCGCTTAGGTGCTTCGGATAGTCGCCACCGGACTCATTTTGCAGGCTGAATAAATAGTAGTCGAAAGACGAATAAAAGAGGTTAATAAGCAGACCGAAATGGGCCAGAGTCGTTACAGAACTTAATTTACGTTGCAGTGCAATTGTACTAGTATACCTGACAATTCACTATATTTAACAGTCTAACTAGTAAGTTTTATTGAGCATACCTGTCAAAAGCAATAGGACTATTGAATAGAGCAATATTATTATGCTTTATTGCTTAGATATGAAAATAATGGGACGTACTTGTTTTTTGTCCAGCAGATGTGTGCACTTGGCAGGGCGAACAGAGACGAACCGAACGGAACCTCGTCCCACCTTGCCGTCGTCATTAGTGTTTGTCAGTTTGTAGCTTTTGCTTCCGAAGCTGTACTTCCATTTAGTCTTTTCTGTGCTCTTCGCGCTGTTGTTGCTGACTTCCTTACTAACATACGTACCCTTGACCAGTTTGGTGGTCATTTCTTTTAAATGTTCCCTCAGTTCCATTGTTTCAGAGTCCTGGGTTGTAAAAGTAAATGTGAAGATCCGGCATTGTTCTATATACGTAGAGTATAGAACAATGTAGAATTCGAAGCGTAAAGGTCCAGACGAACCGTACTGCTTTTTTCGGCAGTTACGTTTGTATAGCGCAATGCGGCTTCCCTACATTTTTAGCCAAGCTGGGTCACCCTGCTTTTCTTAATAATTGTGTTAAGGTCTTACTTTCAAAACAATTGACGCCTTAAGTCCCCGGGACCCCATGCTAAAAACGCAAGGTCCGTGTTAGACCCTGAATATCCCTTAAGATCTCAGCTACCTGCTCTTTATTGCAACTGCCTGAAATTGACGTATACATAGAAAAATACTCTCCACCACATACCCGAGAAAACACAGTCAAATCCCAAGGATCCTGTACGTCAGAACTGTCATCAGGCCGGACAATCGAACTGGTCTGATGTTCGCGTCTTGCGTCAACATGTATGATGAGGTCGATGCGGCGCAAGTCGATAGTAGGTTCTAATGTAGAGACAACGTAATAGTATTTGGAAACGAATGAGTTGTAAATTTATACATAATTCAAAATACATATTTTCGTGTATGCAGTTTGGTGAAGTTCTCAATATCATTTACTAAATCTAGCACTACCGTTTCTAAGGGCCAGGGATGATAGGGATAACATGTACTGGTAATCAGCGTGAAAGGAGGGATACTAAATTTAACGTCTCGGTATCTACAGTTGTTGACCAAAGACAAAAACATGACCATTCAGGTCATTATACATGTGGTATGTAATAACGAGAGTACACAACTTGACAGTGATTTCAATATTCTCAATTTGGACATACACAACGATAATAAGGTTGGATATCAACTTTCCCAACTGACATTGCATGCATGGCTAGGTTTTTTCTCTGTACATAAGAATCTTACCGTGGTTTTGAGAATCCATCATGGCGAACTGGTCACTGGAAAGTGTTTACCTACAGACAAACACATCTTGTTAGGTTATTAGCTCAATATGTGATATGATGATAGAATGTCAAGTAATGCAAAGTTTAATTTGACAGAATTGGAAACATCAGATACTCCAGAATCCATCCTGCGTGATATAAAGTAAGGTAACGCTCAAGCTCAACCTGGCCCTGTCGGACCACACTTTTTTAATTGCAACATTAACTGACAAGACATGGTGACGGCACCTCAAGTTAAACACTTATTTTCATGCCGCCACCGACATAAACAAAATAAAAAAGCATCGGACAAGGAAAGCAATAATATACACTTTGCAAGGCTACCTGTCCGACCAGTTGCTGTGAAGACTGTATTTTCCTTTCACCTACCATTTACTGTGTGTCAAAAATGTCCCCAGAGAATACATGTAACGTTACTCCATATTGATAGTGCTAATATTGAATCGAAGGCACCAACGTACTTACGTGTTGTTTCCTATGTCTGAGAGAAGCTATGTCTGTACTCAGGATGAATGAAGAATGAACAAATTCTGCTCTGGTCATGTCGTCATGGGTTCTTTTGTTTATGTAATGGTTGAAGTGTTTTCACCTTTTTTTGTGGAAAAACACGTGCAGGGAAAACACATGGCTGATTAGACTAGATGATGTCGTGATGATACAACTTGTAACTTCTGAGGTTAAAATTAGAAACCATCTAGCGTTTTTACTGCTCTCTTTTGGATGAATCGGATACCAGTTTTAGATTATCACTTACGATGATGTTCTTGTAAACGTTTGTCACTAAGTTTTAACTATATTTTGCCGTTGTTGAGGAGATCCCAAGTTGGTGCTAATCATAAGATTGAATACAATACACTAGCGTCCTTACCTCCTTGTTTCGTAGGTCTGAAGGAAGCTGTGTCAACCCTCAAGCCAATCAAAGACAGTAGAAATGTTGTTGTTTAGTTGTTCCAGTCCGCTAAGGTAACGATCTCTGCCCCTTCTGTCTCTGCTTTGAGAGTGAGCCCAGAGACGCTTATCTCCAATTAAGCAGATCCCTCTCGGTGGCAAAAAGACAGAATCAAATTGGCCAGGCAGCATCCATTAGCCAGAGAAGCTCCGCGGCCACAGACGTGGGGGTCAGGACAAAAAAAACGGCCACATATACAAATGTAACGATCATTCCCCCACAACCTCTGCTTGGAGAGTAAGAGACGCCAGAGTGTGACGAGATGCGTCAACAATGACGGTTTGACCACTCGCTTGGTCTGTGATCAGACGGGTCAGTGGTTTCGGACAATAAATCATTCTGGAATGCGGGAAAGGGAAAGGTAACTGCCCCCTGGCTATGGGAATACTCATTATATCGCATGCAAATGTTGGTTGGGTTTACCGACAGTACATTCACAAACTCTTGTAGTCTTCGTGTACATATATGGTGGTTTGTTCCGATCATAGTTTTCATTGGATTGCACTTGTGTATTTTCTTTTAGTTTGAATAGGAGACCTGGATAATTTAGTACCTTTTTTTAATGTTAGTGAATTAAGACAATGACATGGGAAAGCGTCTTCATGAGGTGTTAAACACATTTATTTAATAGTTATATATGCATTAAATGATAAATAAGGAGGTACATTGAATTGTAGGTGATATAAGTTGTACAACACCTATTTGTACCCTATACTTGTCTTTGTACAATAGGACTATTACCGTGTTTTAGGTATACAGAGTTCACATGAGAAGGCAAACACATTTATTCAATAGTTATATAGACATAATTTGCTTCCTTAATAATGTACAGTGATCTTGACGTTACTATGTTTATGTTATCTTTATGTTACTAAGTTCTACACCTATAAATTCTATCCCGTTTGGCTTAGCTAGGACAATAGGGGTTTTACCCCATTTTAGGCCTACACCTCTCACATACAGTAAGAAAGTACAAATGTATACAGTATATAGGTTACTGAGTACCACATCACCTACAGTTGAATTGTCACCCTGTAGTTGGCATAAGTTGGCTACCCTGATATGTAGCTTATTATGTATGTATACCATTACCTATGTTATCCTGTAGTTGGCTTAGCACAAAAGTTTTGTTACCCTATTTTAGGCATACATGCAGAATAGTTTCCACTGACATATAGTCGAGTCAGTAAAGGATCTATATACAAATACAGTATCCAAAGTATATATACTAGTAACTTGTGTGTTTCGCCAAATGGCGGATATGCCACCTATACAAATACATGCGTATACAGATTTTTCCGCAGCTGTCTGACACTTTTTAGCTTCTAAAACCCAGAACTTCCAGCTCCAGACAGCGAAAGTGGACGTCCTGACAGAGAATGGGGTTGTAGAAAGTGTCACACATCCCGGTGTATCCTCGTTCCAGGTCGGAGCCCAGCTGTATGGCATATCCGTCACTGCATCGACAAAGTAATTTCATATTCCTTTAAAGTTTTACAAACAAAAAGACAAACAGAAGAACATAGTACACAAAAGGTTTGAGTTTGATAAAGGCGGATACTGCCGAGTCCAGTCGTCAGATGGATACTGCCCGGCCAATTTGATACAGCTGTCTTTCGCCAGAAGGATCCTCTCTGGCGAATAGATATTGCCAATTTGATACTCTCTTTTACCACCATAGAATCTGCCTGGAGATTACCATGTAAAAACAAAACAAAAAAAACACCAACACATATCTACTCACCCTCCCCCGATGATTAAGCTGTTGTTGGCTGCTGAGATGAACATGTTCTGGGAGGGTCTGGTTTTTTGTTGCGTCTGTCCGACCCATGGGTACCTCACGGGCACAGGGGCGAAGGAAAACACAAACGTCTCCCCGGTTCCACAGTATCCCCGGACTTTCCTGCTGTCTTCAAAGGTTTCCAGACATTTGATAAATGCACCAAACCTCTGAAAGGAGAGATAATCCCCGTTAGATATAAGAAGACAAACCTATGCCCAAGCCGTGGCCCACTGTATATTGTACTTGTCGAAAAGGGGTTGGAGAATTTCTCAGGGACGATAAAAATGTATATATTTTTAACGGTGTTCAATGCAAAGCCACTTCTAGGCACTGAGCTGGGTGATACCACAGATATATATTTAACTATGCCAGAAGATTATGTACTGTGCATATAGCATCTGTCTTCTCTGTCAAGACCGGTACCTAATTAAAATATCAACCTTAATGAAAGTTCTCCGCTCACAACCACTTTTTCGATGACCGTCTATGTTGATTAACAAGGGTTCACGACCCGCAAACGTATTGTCTGTACACATGTAAGGAATATGATAAAGTGTACGTGTCCTACCTCATCTTTGTCAGTGCGAATTATGAGCGCGAACTCCGAGTAGTTTCTGCACATGTGGTACATGGTCTGGAGGTGGAAGCCGTCCTTGGTTGTGCTGAACAGCGTTGTTGGCCGGTGAAACTTAAACCGTTTAGGTACCCAGGACCGCAACTTGTGTAGCTGTAAAAACGCACAGAAACGTCGAATTAACTCCTATGTAGCTTAGATGATTCGCATATATATATATTAGCATATCTAGCAATGTTAGTATAGTACGTTTACTGAGCATACACGTAGAATCACTATGTATTGTAATAAGATTGTAAGTATATCAATAAGATTTCAATTTATTGTGTAAAATTGAAACGGTCAAGTATATACTAACACACGTGCACCCCTGTCAATGATATATTGGGCTATAGGACGTACTTGTTTTTTGTCCAGCAGATGTGCAGACTTGTCAGCTGGCCGGACTGAGATAGAACGAACGGGACTACGTCTCTTGTGGACGTCATCAGGGTTTTTCAGGACGAAGCTTTTGCTTGCGAAGTTGTACTTCCATTTGCTCTTTTTGCTGTTGTTGTTGATGTCCCCCTTCAAGTGGCTGACAAACTTGCTGTTGACCAGCTTGGCCATTGTCTCTCTCAGATGTTCCCTCACGTCCATTGTTGCGGAGTCCTGAGATGTTAAGATCCAGAATTAATTTGTTATATAGACTGCTTTAGTGAAGTAGATCCCCAGTCACCATTTTTTGTGACCCTGAATGTGTCATTCGAAGTCCCTGAGGGACAATTTGTTTAATGTTCCTTCAATGGCTTCCAGAAAATCGAAGCCCCATCCTTTGCAAAAAATCATTCCTCTCCACTTTTCAGCTATTTGCCCAATTATGGATTATCCAAAACAATTCACAATAATTTAATTCAATATTTTCCCATGCAGTTACATTATATTACATGTTCTTTTCATCATCAAATTCACATGAAGCTCACATTTGTACACCTGGTAGTGTCATTGTCTGAAATATTGACGGTTATAACTAAATACTACTCTCCACATACCTTAGAAAACACAGACAAATCCCAAGGATCGTGTTTTTCAGAATTGGCCTCATGCCTGTTAGCCCAGCTATTTTGAACTTCGCGTCCTTCCTCAACATGTATGATGAGGTCGATGCGGCGCAAGTCGACATTGGGCTTCTCTGTAGACACAACGTGCATAAGAATTGGATTTGTACCTAATGACATTAGGTTGTAAATTCATACGTGTAGTTTCTTAATGCAGTTCGGCAAAGTTCTCAGTCTCATTGTCCACTACATGTATGTCTAGCTATGTCGTTTGTAAAAAAAAGTCAGTAATGACGTGTAAGGAAGGTAATAAATGTATATTGGTATATACAATTTTTCAGCAATAACAAAAACTCGACAAGGCCATTCTACATGTAGGATGTAACGAGAGTACACAAGAGTAACAGAGATTTCAATGTTCCCAATTTGGACACACATAACGTTAATATTTATGTTGGCTATCAAGTGTTGCAACTGATTTTGCGTGGATAGGTTCTGTGCTACACGTATAAGACTCTTACCGTGTTTTTGCGAATCCGCCATGGTGGATTGGTCACTGAGATAGACGTCTTCTTTACCTACAAAGAAGTATTGTTAGCTTGATATGAGTGTACCGCGTAGCCGTACATGATAAAAACTAATCGGATGTGGATCAGTGCAAACTTAACAAAAACCATTTCATGCATGCTTCAGCCGTTCAATCGATAAAATACACAAAAGACGTCCTCCCAGTAATCATGTCTAAACGAGACGGGCTCAACATAATCCTACTAGGCTTCTTACCCCCTCCTGCACACTGTTTGCTTTTATTCTTCATTATGTGTATAATATGTGCGAATAAATAAAACAAGTCAAATGTTGGTTCCAGCAAGTGAAGATTACCAATCAGTAGAAAAGTGAGGGTTTTGAGCAGACAACGCACTTCAGGCGAGTCACTGGCCTGAGAGCGTGCACCATTTCCAATTATCGAAATTGTAATTAAGGGCTCCCATGGTGGAACAGATATCTGCATGTGAGGAGGCAATAATCACATACAACTGTTGGTTCCACCACGTGGAGGTCCGTGATCATTGTAGAAAGCTTAGCAGCTGTGAAACATCTACATCATTTGTAAATATGCTCCCCCTTCTAACCATTACACTTGCGTAAACATGTTGTTCCTAAGAGGACTTTGTTCATATCTAAAAGCATTGGAATAGGCGGCCATATTTAATCGCGCCTGTATAATGACCCCAGAAAAAAAGGTATTAGATACTTTTTAAATAACGTCAGTATGAGAACAAACGTGATGGCGGCTAGAAATCTCTGAGAAATGTCATCTTCACTACAATAAAATCACGGACATAAACTAGCGCTTCGCGAATGAAACTCTTTCACATGTGAGGAATTCTGCCTTGCTCGCTCAAATACTGTTTGACTTTCAGCCGTCATATAGTCGTAGGCTTTGTGAAATCATGATCGTGTCACTCACTACATCACATGCGATCCGGGATTGTGTTTTACAAATGGGCAAGCAAATACAAAATGTACTTCATAGACAGATGAATAGTAACCATGCATATCCCCCACTTAATACTCTAAGGTAATACTGACAAATTCAGATTTCTTATGCGTAACAAAACCTGTTCTTTTATCATACAAAGACACGGGAGGTTTGAACCCGGGTAGCTTGCATGTACATAATATGTAAAATAAATTCTGTTCGCCTACACTGCCTAGTACTCAAATACTCCAGAATCCACCCTGTACAAAGTAGGAAATATGAGAACCTCAGCTCAAACTGTCTAGTCACACCGCAGTTTTCATGGCTATAGCTACTTGTCCGACCAGTTGCTTCGACGACATGTTTTCCTTTTACCTACCATAAACCGTGTGTCTAGATATCCCCATTGTCTAGAATACTTCAACTATCATTATCCTAAGTTTGGTGCATGCTAAGATTGCGTCCTTACCTCTCGTTTGATAAGTCTGGGAGAAACTGTACCTGCACACAAGATAACTAATGAACAGATGCTGTTCTGGTCTGACATCAGTGATTACATTCATTTGTTTATGAAAGGGAGTGATCTGTCTCCATCTTCTTTTGGTACAAAACGTGCGAAACGTGCACGTGGCTTATGTATGACGAATATGTGAGCTGATCGTACGATGGCATATCTGTACAAAAATGTATCTGTACAGCCGATATACATGTATGTGTCATTCAGTGTAACACACCAGCTTTGTTAGTGGGACCACAGTTTGCAAGGCTAACTATCTGCCCGACCATTTCCATCGATCGATGGCATACATGTATATTGGCATTTTGCATATACCTACCATTTACTGCGTCAAAAATTTCTCAATATAAAGGCTTTTCATTGACGTCATCATAATCATGATATGAATCTAGGATGTTGAATCTCAGGTTTTGATTAAGTAGCAGCATGTCTGCATGTTTGCCAGACATACTAACATGGCGTATGTGAAAAGTCTGTATACTGTAAAATACTGCCTGGAATCCATCCGTGAATGCTTTGTCTCCGCTCCGTCCATCCGCTCTGCTTTGTAAAGAATACTTCCATCCTATACTTGTGCTAAGATTGAACACTCATGGCTAGCTTGTACCTACCATTCAACGTGTCAAATATGTACCGACAGAATACTTCGATCCTAAGTTGCTGCTAAGACCAAATCGAAAACACTAGCGTTCTTACCTCTTGTTTTCTAATCCCAGGTCTGGTTTAAAGGAAAACTCTGTCAACTCACTGGCGACCGATCAAGGAATGAAGAAAATCTCGTTGTTTTTCTCGTCCGCTAAGGTATCAAATGGTCTCCGATCTCTGCCCAGAGACGTCAGGGTGTGACAAGATGCGTCACCAGTAACGGTTTGACCACTTCTGCGTAGTCTGTTTTAGACGGATCACTGATTTCAGGCGGTAAACGTAAATCATTCTGGAATGCTAAAAAAAGAGGTTATCTACCCCCTGGGGGTAGTGATTATATGCAAATGTTTGCTTTCTGCAGGTGCCGATCAGCAATTATCTTAAGGCTCAGGGTTGGCACCCACCCGGTCACTGACCTGGGCGTACCATTTGTTTGTTACACAAGGTGGGAAATTAATGTAGAAATGTAATTATTATCAGAATGATTCATAATTATATGACTCATTTTGATCGCGGGATACATGCCCCTGTAGCAATAGAATATCATGTGGTTGTTGTTTTATCTACAACTAAACAGTGTCTTTTAGGACACTGTTTAAAACATATCATCATTGAACTGTATCATAACAGGTGCAAAGGTTTGTGGTTGCAGAACACAGTATTAATGGGCGACCCCGGGGTCTATGACCGGGTGTAGAAAGTAGTGCAGACAAATAACTTGAATCCTGGCTAGAGTGACTTATATGAGAGGTAGCCATGAGTAAACTGCGTTGTGTGGTATAGGAAGGTATCGGCTTGTACACCGTATGAGTTGGATTGTGAAGATTTCCCTGTTCGTGTATAAATGCGCGGCATTACGCAACTGCATCCCAGGGTGATCCGGCTGCAGTTCCGTTGACCTTCGTAGAGGGTCAAATCAAAGTGGTCGTCATGGTGTTAAAAAAACCTAACTTTTTTTGTTTTCCGTTATTTTGTAGATTATACCGTATATTTCAACACATTAGTTGGCCGTGTTTTTCTTGTGAACCCTACTATAATTTTATCGCGTCGAAGTGAGGAACTCGTTGCCACCAACAGTTGGGGCATCATCAATAGAAAGCTTCAAACAACTCCTGCAATTAAATGTACAAAGTTGTGTGTGACAAGCCGTTCGGTGTAATATAGCCAGCTGCCACCGCGCGGCGTGCCTGTGAAGCTGGTGTGTTACGCCGAAGAGCGGTTATACCGGCTATACCGATACAGATATAGGAATCCCCATAGGGCGAATTAGAAAACTGTGTTCTGCCACCTTGTTTGCATGTTGGTTTGAATGTTGACGTATTCACGAGAACCTCAAATCTCAGTTGTTCAGGCCATTGTTGTAAAAATGCCTAACTTAAGTTTGATATTTGATACTTTTAACAACTTGCCATACATTGTAACTGTTACGATTGTTGTGAAATGAACTTTGACTTGACTTTGTAGTATATTTACGTCTGAAATCCTGTTCGCGGCCAGAAGAAGTATGTAAATCTCTCTCGGTGGAAAATCTTACGAGTTCTTTATGAGTTTGTTAACATTCTCATTTGTGTTGTAAGAAATTCAGACACATAGAGAAGCTGTAATATTGAGAGCCCTGATCTTTATTTCAAACCAAATCAAGGTTGATACATGTATTCATATAGGACTTCTGAGTATTAGCAATCTTACTTACTATGTACAAGTACATTACACTCTTTTACCTTTAAGTTGCCAGGAATACCTTTAAGTTGCCAGAAATAAACGAAAAGAAACCGCCGTGCAGCCTTGTTTGTTGTAATAGGATTGACAAGATGAAATACTTCCGGAACAACAGGCAGCATTGGCAATATGTACAAAATACAAAACCATAAGTATGAAAATACATCACAGTATTATATACGGCGACTTACAAGCAGTGTTAATGAACAATTTTGAGTCGTTTTACGGTAATTACAAATGTAGCTAGTTACAGTTTTGAGTTAGCAAAAATCAGTACTGTTTTTGTGGGAAGTCATTGACGCCGACATGTTGGATTATGACGTCATGCCGGCGCCATCTTGTTTGCGCATTTCAATTCTCCACCGAGAAGAGTTAGTCTGTCACGTAAGCCTGCCCGTCCATGCTTCTGCAAATACTGCAATCTAGTTATAAATGTGTTATTATATGTCAGTCCATACCACTGAAGTATAATGTTTTTCCTCGTGTTTCTTCTCCGTTTTCTCCTCCTCCTCCTCCTCCTGCCATTTCGTTAAATAGATTCAATTTTATGATAGATGTTTTCCCCTAATACTGGAAGCCCAAGAGCTCCACGTCCAGACAGCGGAAGTGGCTGCCCTTGCAGAGCGGCGGGTTCTTGAAAGTGTCGGAGGATCCGGAGTAGCCTCCCTCCATGTCACCATCCAGGAATATGGCATCTCTGCCTCTGAAAATAAGAAGAATGTCAAGGTTTTATAGTAATTTCTACCACTCGCAAGAAATGTAAAAATACTGGAAGTGTGTCGTCACCACGTCTGGTGATTACATGTTGGAATTAAAAAAAATGTAAAAATAAGACATTTTAAAGAGCACTACCGACGTTTTTTTTAAACGTTAACTTAAGAAACTTATAGATCAGAGCGTTGTACGAGCACAAAAGAAAAGGCTGCTTCAAAAGAAGATGACGGTATAAAATACCGAAACACGTACCCTCCCCCAATGATGAGCCTGTTGTTGGTAGCTGAGATGACGATGTCCCTGTCGGGCTCGATGTCGTCGCTGCCCTGTCTGCCCGCCCACGGGTACTTCCCTGCCGCCGGGCTGAGGGAGAAGAGGAAGGTCTCCTCCATCCCGAAGCACGACCGCCGTTTGGTCTGTGCTGTAGCCGCTGTGAGCGTGCCGGGGATGTAGGCACCGAATCTCTGTGAGCACGGAACAAATTATGAAGATTAGTCAAAACCTCCTGAAGTTCTGCTGCAGTACCAGTCAAAGTCGCTTGGGGGTACGTAATCGAAGTTGTCTCATTTTCACAGAAACTTAGCAACTGTATCACAATGGATCCATTATGTTGAACACTCACAAACCCACGCGGGGCACCGAAAACATACCCTTCTGGTGAAGGCAACAATTTGTGAGCGAAAGGTACTTAAAAACGTCTAACCCCTCCCCTACCCAGGGAATCACTAGACCCTACATCTGTTTGAGGATTATGTGACGTTATCGTACCTCCTCTCTGTGCGTGCGGATGATGAGCACGAGTTCAGCCTGACCCCTGCACTTCTGGTACATGGTCGCCAGGAGGTGCCCGTCGTCCACGGTACTGAAAAGCGTGACCGGCTTGCAGACCCGGAACCTCTTTGGCAGCCAGCTTCGCAACCGGCGCATCTGTAGAGCATTTAAAACGGCCTCCAGTTTATTTCTGGACTTCCAGTTTAATTTCGAACTAATTCCCATACCTTAGCAACCTTACATCTAATATCGTAATATATAGGTAAAAATGATGTAAGAAATATGTAGCAGCCATCAGGGACCCCTTGTGGATTAACCTAGCTAGTTCTGCAGAATTCTCCAGAATTAAGCACTGAGACACACCGAATAATTAAATAACAACCTACTGCCCATACGGCATCAGAAATGGTACGGAACCTTTACTTTGGTTTTGTTTTGGTAAGTAAAAAGACCACGTTGATTTCGTACATTACCTGTGGTCTGCTGAGCAACTGCGACTCTCTCACAGGGTAGATAGAGACCACCGGAGTTGAGGTGAATTTCTGCATCGCTTTCAGGCTGGCACTGGGGATTTCTGGCGGCTCACTTCCCCTCCTCTGGGCGCCCACTTCTTGGAACCGACCCAAAAGCCAGATGCCTTTCTTCAGAATGTCCCTCATCTGAGTTGATCCGGCACTCTGTGAAGGACAAATGGAAAGGTAATTAGAAAGGTAACATTTGCAAAGCAAATGCATAATGTTTACCTTCGCATATATGGCCTTCTCTGATAATTACCTCCGGGGAAGGAGATATCCTTCCGCGAGGAGGTTTTACTATTGTTCGAAACATTTCTGTCAGCAGCTGTTTCTCGCGATCGGCTGGACGGATTGGTCTGTTGTTCGGTATACGTATTGCTATTGGGCTGCAGATGATGCAGAACGTTTTTGTTTAATTGCATATGTGCTTATGGGCGTCGAAATAAAAGGTTTTTAAGTGCTCCGGACACCCCCGTTATGCTGAAAATGGAATTTACCATGTTGTTAAGGAATGGGGAGGTTGCAGTTTTGGGTCTTAGCATTCAAAAGGGGTCAAACAGAGGGGTGTCTGGTTCCGATAAAAAATTTGGGTGACGGCGGGGGTAATGGCGCGGGTGACGGTGTAGGCTGTCAGACACGTTAATCAACAGTCCATACCAAACCAACCGTCAGTAGCCATCAAACACATACAAACATATTACGCACATAACTTTCATACTACACACAAACAAATAACCTAAACCAATACAATACAAAAAAAACCCGGAGGTTTGAAATCTACGATTTTCCTTGTTCTTACTTAAACACATTCACATATATGGTGACAGGAGTCTAAATCCATCCTACTATAAAATTGCAACATTATGTAACCCAACACCAGTTACCATGGTAACAGACTTGGTTTATAGACGAAGAAGACGAAACAATATGCATATGTTTCCCTTCAGTGCACATAATTAAAAGAACAATGGGTTGTTAACATGTTACGATATGCGCAGTTTGATGATGCTGGAAACCAGATCCCCATTTTGACCTCTTACGATTTTCAAGAAGATAGAAAATTTCAAACATGCAAAATGGACTAAAGAAAATATTAGTAAGCCTGGTACGTGTAGTCTGACCTAGTTTGAAGCTTTGCTATAGACCGATTTCATGCACATATACTGTATTGGTATGGAGTTACAAAGAAGTGTGTATGTGCAACACAAAACATACCGTAGTGCCGTAACTGTGTATGATCTCTCCCTCAGGTCCGACCAGGAAAGACGGGAAAGCTTTGCCTTTTTTCGGCCGCATGGTCATCAAGTCTTCCAAGTATTGAATGGCTCCGTCCATTGTCCCTGTAATTACGCAGAAAAGCTTGTCCAAATTCTAGACGTGTTTTCATACTAGACACAGTCGTTAGAGAAGTATCATCTCATTGTCTGACAAATAAGTTACCAGAGAACATATACTAGTATTTCCCCTCTGTCAAATTCAACATAGGTTTTTACCTTTACTGTTGGTAGAAGGCACGTCTGCTGGGATGTCCAGGGCTTTCTGCAACACAGAGGAAAGACAGCATTCTTATTCACTCTTGACATATCTTGTGCAGTGAAAGTGTTCTCAAACCAGTTTGGCCTTTATGGAGAGCTAATAAATCTTCCTTTTATGGGTAACTGGTTCATTTACCAGGTCATTGGACTGCGACCCTTTCTAGTAGCATGTGTGGCCAAGCTACAACGACTTCCAAGAACTCCCGACCTCTTGGTCCAGACACAGACCAAACGCGATGCCACAATCTGGTGTTTTGCGTTTGTTAATAAACGAAAGACCTTTATTGTAGCTCTTACAAGCTAAAGTACAGGTCATGAATAAACAAGCAATAAAAAATTACAGCAATATCTTACTTAAAACTATATATACTAATGTGAACTACTATTTACAGGTCCAACTTCTTTTCGCTTCTTGAGGAAGTTGTAGATGTATGAACATATGGAGCTAACGATACAAGTTTCATAAGGAATACGAATTTTTCTGTCGTATCTAAAAGTCTAAGCTGGGGAACGTATCTTTTATATAAGTATAGAAGGAAATGACACTCATCCTGATCAGTTTTATCTAAATTACAAAATTGGCAAATCCGTTGATGTTGAGGAATACGGCTATGTCTGCCTGCTTCTATGTGGAGTTTGTGTGAACTAATCTGGAGGTAATCAGTAATGTTGTGATTACTGGTACCGGTGAACAGTACCTTCTCCTTGTCGCCGTTCAGACTCCATTTGACGTGCAGCACCATCCCCTTCGGTACCTCACTGTGACGCCGCATGCCCAGCCCGGAGCTGGGCTTCATGTACAGGTCGTGAATTTTGATGTCCCCTGTTACATTGAAACAGATAGGCTTTAAAGGCACCCAGTGTAGTTTTAGGGCTTAGAAACCAGATTTGCAAAGTCAATTTTCTTGTCACTTATCTACATACAAAGTTGAAACAGCACTGTCCCAATGTATATCATTTAGCAAAAATGCCAAAAATTCTGACGAAAAACGGTTACTGTAAGGACCTGGGTTGATTTTAAGGGTACTACCCAGAAAATAAAGGACTAATCTTGAGGCTTGTTTGAAATGCCTTAAGTATGAAACACTGATTCAAATGTGCTAATGTGGGACAATATGTGTTTATATCATACAGATTGTCTTATTCGGAGTATTCCAGTTTTGCCGTCCTGAAATTGCATTGGATGCCTTTAACGTCTACTAATGTTTATGATTTCATTAAAAACCGATGCCACAATGCATCCAATGATTAGACAGATCGCTCAACAAATGCCATAGATTATTTTATACATTAGAACTAATCGTTTTTGTGTGTTTTGCTGTCTTAAGAATCAGACTTTTACATCTTAAACCTACCAAGAGTTTTCTCGTCCATGGTGGAATCTTGTGTCAAACTTCTTTATTTCCCGAACTGTAGGGAAGAAAATACATTGATTTCATTAATCTTAAACACTGATCAACAGCATAGGAATCAAGTAATGGACAATATGAGGCAAAATTAACTGCTTGGAGCTGTTCATCGGGGTATTTCTGGTTATTGAACACAACGATACAGACAAAAATACAAACATGTAAAGTACAGCATATCAAGTAAACAAAATCTAAGGTAACAATACAATACAAACGCGTGGAATGGATAGGGATCTGTACGAGGTAGAGAGAATGGAAGGCTTGTGGGGCTGTTTAGAGGTTTTGTACCGAAACGACTGACTGTGGAAAAGTTAAGATGTTTGTCTGTAAAAGGCCGGTCATTCACACCAACAAATACCACATGTTGCATCCTACAACAGGTCATTCACCTCTAGCTCTGTAGCTTCAGGGTATTTTTCGTGCTATCAACAAGTTATTTTGGGTCAGAAAAACGTGAGCGGTCAAAACGTGTCAGGTTGACCAGCACAATTGACAAAAAACATGACAACCCCAATTCCCCTTCCCACCTTTACTAGTAGTATCGACAGAGAACGACGATTTTTTTTTACTTCGTTTTCTTTACTAATTGGTCACCACACAACAAGACCTGAGGGCCAATCAAACGTTGCGAACTGCCTGAATAGAACTATAAAAAAACTCGTCTTCATATCTACCTAAGTCAGAAACACTGAAAGTGCTGGTGAGAGTGATGGACATACGACTCCGGAACCTCTGATATAGACTGCGATGACTTAGAATTGAAGTTATCTTGACTTGATAAAGACGGATGTTAAAATTAACGCAGTTGGAGAAGACAATGTGGTTTCTCAGCTGTCTGTGCTGAAGGCATCCTCGCACCACATTCGAACAAACCCACCACAATTGTGGATGAAAGAAAGGAACAAAGATGCAGAAATACTTACATTTTTGTTTACAAACTGTTGTTTTGAGCAGCCAAGAAAAACCGTGCCTGATCACAGAGCGGTTGAAAAATGGTGTGGTCAGGCAGGGTTCGTTTTCGCCTGGGGTGCAAATTATATATGCGTGATTATGGGTCCAGCGAGTCACCATGAGTCACAACCAGGTCAAGCCCAATTAACTTTTTGGGTCACCACGACCTTTTACCTTTAACAGATCCTTGGAGAACAAAGACTTTGTACAGGTTATCGACCTTTCACCAGTTTCATGACACGTGAAGCAAAAGCACGTGTCTACTCAGTTTGGGTTATGCCCATCGCAACTAACTACCTGTTATTAGGCAAGCTTGCCTTGTGGATAGGCTTGCTGATTTCGCATAGTTTAGAAAACAGACGAGGCATCCAACCACTATTACGAAATGGAGACATTTATTGTTTAGTATCATAGACCACTATTATGAAGTAGATACATTTATTATTGTTATAAAATCTATGAATGGATGGTCATGGTAGGTCTTGACAAAATTAGCAGCTCATAATCATTAAGATGGTAGCGAATTCAAGATTTGTTCAAGGCACGGTTAACAATACGTTACATTTATCTATATTAACATAGTTGTGACATATACATTGTAACAGGTCTGAAAGTCCATGTTGCTGGCCCTCCGGTTCCGGTTGTGGACGCTCGGCTGCCCTCTCTTTCTTAACTTTCGCAGACGGCGGCCGAAACACTGGACCACTCTCTTCAACAGGCTTAGGCCTCTGGGTTTTATTGCTCCGATATTCTGTAAAATTTAAGGGAGGGTAAGGTTGGTGGACTTAATGACATTAGTAAATGTTCTAGATGGAAAGCATTATTAGTTGTAAGAATTAAAGTGAGAAACTGACATCGATCTAAGAAACATATATTTCGTACGTAAACGAGAAAGTTTTAAGAGTTCTGAGCTGTAAATTACAACATGGCATACAGTCGTTATACATAATGTGTAATTTCAGCCTCCTACAATAACCAATAGTTGGTCAGACAGAATCATAAATGAACAGCCCTCGTACTTTGGAAACCACTGGCGTGTCCCAGACATCAAGTCTCCGGACGGTCTGCCCGGCCGGCCCCACGAGAAAAGACGCGGGCCTGCGGCCCTCCTCCACCGACAAGATGTCCTCCATGCACCGCAGCACCCCCTCAAATGTGGCCGGCTTTATATCTGGGGAAGGAGACAAAAACTGATATTTTCACATCGTATTTCTCTTTCTTCTTTTGTCATCCTCATCTGGGACGAATCATAATACTTTCAGTGGATACTTGTAATATTTGAGCTTAGATGATGATAAGGTCCTTTTTAGAAGATAAACCTTTGGTAATCCATGCTTGTTTGTATGTTCGTTTGTTTAGGATCTTCATTAGTGTGTTGACTAGTATTTGATTAAAAAGATGATACCATTTTATTATCTTATGGCATAGCAATTTGAGACTGGTACCAGGGTTTCAGAGCACATCAAGAATCTAAAATTATTTTGATATTAACATGTGACTTTTACCTCTTTTCCTTCTGCACAATTCGTCCGACACAATTTCCTCCTGTGTCGTGCAAAGTTTGCTCTGCAGAATTACATAAAACGACACAAAATTACCATAATTACCGCTGAATGGCCCATAAACGAAATTGCCCTTCATTTTCCTTACACCTCCGCACAATCACACACAAACACACACACACACACACACACACACACACACACACACACACACACACACACACACACACACACACATACACACACACACACATATATATATATATATATATATATATACTCACACTCACACTCAACAATACATTAAGAAAGAAATGACTTATCATACCTTTTCTTTCCGGCCATTCAGGCTCCAGATAATATGAACCGTGACGTCAGCATGTTTATTTTTCACGAACTTTCCTCCCAAACCGGCGGGTGATGACGTCATCCACAGGTCGTGAATTATTATGTCCCCTGTTTCAGCACAAATTTATTTTTATTTATTGTCTTAAGATAAATTTATTGCTGGGCAATTGTAAGTGATACAAAATTGCCATGTATTGCATCTTGTACAATTCCAGAATCCTAGCCTACTGTATAAAGGACTAAGTATATATAGTTAGCGCTTTTACAGACTTGTCTAATATCTATGCCATGTCTAATATCTATGCATCGTCTTATGCACTGTCCTATATTTACAATGCAGGGATTATTTCATGTTGACAGTTAGTTAAAATTTGCTTCGTTGAGAAGAATTCTGGTACTAATACAAAGCGGTACAGCATGTATGTAAGTATATATAGGCATGAGCATGTCTTTAGTTTGTAAGCTTCAAAAGGGTACGTAATTTCTTTTACCTAGTTTGCCGTTATCCATTCTCTAAACCCAGTGTGTGGTTGCGATGTCGGTGTAGCTGTGAACAAAGAAATTGATCATGTTGCAATTTTATAGCAGGAGGTATTAAGACTCCTATCTGACCATATATATGAATGTCTTTGAGTAAGAGTTAACAGATCAGACCTATGCAAAGACTACGTGCTTTGCAAATGTTACCTTTCTAGTTATTGCTGTATCCTCGATAATTGATATAGCAAATGGTTTGTGGCAATGTGGAAAGGAATATCACCGATATTTACATAAATACCTAACCTGGAATCCTGCTTGTTGCCAGTAATAACACAGGGTAGCTCTTCGACAACATGGCCAACATACCCCGAGGAAATCTTGCCTCAGTCTCCTCTGAGGAAGGCCATTTAGCACAAAAGGCTGTCAAGGATGTTTTAAAGCAGGTAAAGAAAATCACCGGAGAGGGCTTAGTTGGCCAGGCGGGGACAGAAGCTTACAGTGCCGAGGAAAGCCCCGGTAGAGACCGGTGATCAGGTTAAAACAAGGGCCTCCTCTACACCTGCAGTATGATTCGCATAGGGTGAACTAGTGGTCGGACAGGTCATGACATGACAGTTCATGTCAGGGTGATACCCAGTGCAGTTTTTAGGGCTTGTAAAACAGATTTTTCAAAGCCCATATTCTAGTCATTTATCTACATACTGAGTTGAAACCACGATATCCCAGTGTATATTGACCCTCATGGAGCAAATTTTCCAAAATTCTGACGGAAAATGGATACTGGAAGGGCCCTGGGCTGATTTGTAGGGTACCGCCCAGAAAATAAAGGACTCATCTTGGGGCTTGTTTCGGCAATTTTAAATGCCCAAAGTATGAAATACTGAAGCAGTATGTGTCAATATCACAAAAATTGCCTTATTCAGAATATTTCCAGTTTTGCTGCCCTGAAATCGCATTGGATGCTTTAAGACATTCGATAACCGCGTGATTCATATGCAGATTTTGTGACCTCCAGTGTTTTCGTCGAGAACAGTAAATTACTCACCATGTCTTTGCGACTTATTCATGCGATGTCCCGAGTAAAAGTTGACGAATGATGTCAGAATGACATGTCAATGATGCACCGTGATGAACCCTTGAGGCTACGCTTTCTTTAAGACATTCCGTAACATTCATATGCAGATTGTTGTGACCTTTAGTGGCTTTTGTTTTTGTGGAGGGTACTTCTTATCAGGTCGTGGCGACCTATCTGTGCGCTGACCCTAGGAAAAGCCATCCTTCATCTATCGACAGATCTATACCGGGCATAGAATTAGGCCATGACGATGCTTTTCATATCTGCAAGGAATAAGTATTCAGTATTCATTGTATAGAACCTGAATGTCAAATGCGCCTATACCATAGATTTTTTTCACGTCAGAGGGTATGGTTCGTTTTGTTTTGTTTTGTTTTGTTTTCAACAATATTTTCCGTCAATGTGAAAACACCTAGTTGACTTGTGTGACTGTGAGGAGGGCACTCAGAAGGTTTTTATTACAAGAAAACAGTACGGAATCAAAATACTACTACATCTTTAATCAAAATACGAGTAAATCTTTAATTTGTACTAAAGGATACATTTTGTTCTGTTCATATGGTGAAAACAGTGAAACAAACGCTGAAACATGCGATCATGCGATCAACTAAATCCCTTGCCTGAACACAACAATACTTACTAAAAGTTTGTATTTTCTTGGTGCCCTTTAAAGTTGTCATGATCGGCGCTTGAATAAAAGTAAAATGTTTTCAACGCTTTCATGTGTTCCCGATGGGGGAATTAGGTTCAGAGATTAGTCTAGGGTTGTTTTGTCCGCACGTCATCCACAGGAAACTGTGATTGGTGGGACGTATCGCAATATCAAAACGCAACAGCGACGAATTCATTCAGTTTCCGATCTTCTGCTGCAGACAGTAGTCAGCATGGGGACAGACTGATAAGGTATTTGGTGTTGTTTTTTTCTAATTCTTTGCTTCAGACAGAGAGACATATTTCTGCGCGCTTGTTGTTACAAAAGCAATGCATGTACGTGAACACAAGCCGGTTGGATTTTGTCCTGGTTGGACATTATACGTACACTGTACGATTTTTCAAACGCATCACCAAATTTAAGTACGTGCATGTTTTTTTTTTAAATGATATTACAGTGTTACCAAAATATCGGGCTCGTTCACATTGTAATCAAGACTGCCCGGTTCCTAAACTCAAATTTCAAGCACACAACGGTATCTGATCAGCCCAGTGGAGCAAACATGCACCATAACGGTCCTCATTATGTTAGAATAACGTTTTGTAGAAGTAAGAATCCGTTGTTTTCTTTCAAATATTGCTTACAAAAGATGGGCATATATATCGGTATCGTTTAAAAAAACTCAGAAAGGTGGTCCCCGCCAGATTTCCTGATATAAGTGCAGGTTACAATATGGACTTGTGATCAAGAAATATGGCGCGACAGATTGGCTTTTTTGACATCTAAAATTCGCCTTTTGCTGGTAGGAACCAGAAATGGAGGGTACAAAAGGATTGCCGGTAGAAGAGGGCTACAAAATGGAAGGAGCAAAACCCCGTCCACGCACCGTGGAAGAGCCAGGCAAAGGCCAGTCGCTGGGTCCGGCAGGTGCGTGCGTGCACCACCTGGGCGACCTCACGGTCTCGTCCTCGGATAACCTTGAAGTTCCTGAAAAGGAGGATCCCTACCAACAGGCTGAGGAAGTTGGCAAAGGCTACAAATTTAGAGGTACGTCCGCTTTAAACTTGACATTACAACACTCTTACCGCAGTGCTACAAAATGTTAAAAACAATGAGAACGATTTTTTTTACTGGAAAGCAATGCCATAATTTGTATTGTTATAATATGATTTTTTGACGGTATGCGTCATGTATATTCAATTGAATCAGCCCTAGTTTGTAGTCTTTTGTTGTTGTTGTTTTCTAGAATCTATGATTAGTCTCGGTGCGTGGGATGAAAAGAGGGAATGTCTCAAATCTGCTTACCATAAAATAATGAGGCGTGCTGTGTAGGAGGGCAAAAATCAGTGGGGTCGTGTGGCGTACGGAAGAGTGCTCGACTCGGAACCAAGAGGTCCCGGGTTCGAGTCCTAACATGCCACCGATCTTGTGCCCTTGGGAAAGGCACTTTAAATTTGCACGACTTTCCTCACTTCACTCAAGTGAAAATGAATATCATGTGTCCTGTCCTGTACTTTTCCTCTGCGTTGGTGGCGGTATGACATAAGTTGGATATAACTTGAGTGTACCGTCACCATGTCTAGTCATGATAAATTGGAATTAAACAAAAATCAGAGAATGTAAGTCAAAAGTGCTTTCTGAAAACTGATACTTCATTTGAAATTAATATCAAATTTCGCACAAAGGCGATAACAATTTGCAGTCAGTAGCCTAGACACGTCAGAGGTTGAAAAACTGTTTCATAGTATTACGTATACTGTACTGTAAAGTAGTATCCATTTTTGCTTCCAAAAAATACTGTCGATGAGAAAATAACACCATCCTCCTTACTTTTGTGCTCCTTTAATGTTTTTTTTTTAAATATTCCAACATTTCATGACTGGACATGGTGACAGCACACTCAAGTTATATCAATTTATTTTATGCCGCCACCAACGCAGAGGTAGCTTGGATGCCAGACCCAATACACTGGACACAAAGTATGCTCACTGAGATACTTTGTGTCCAGTGTGCTATGGGTCTGGCATCCAGGCTAACGCAGAGGACGAATAAGGACAAGATAATACTCATTTTCACTTGAGTTTAGTGAGGAAAGTTGTGTTAAGTGCCTTTACCAAGGGCACAAGATTGGTAGCATGTCAGGACTCTAACCTGGGACCTCTTGATTCCGAGTCGAGCACGCTGCCGCTACGCCACACGACCCCACATGTTACATATCCTTTAATGTTACATATCAGAACGCATGAGTGACACGTGGAGTAAGGTGACATCTCACAGAGTGTGTTGGTTTGTCGGTGGGTCCGGTTGGTGGACTCCTGGTGATGGCGTTCGCTATGACCCTGGCAACTCAGTTCATTCATGGAGGCAAGGTGGGCCAGCAAGTCTTACCATCATGTTTCATTAAATATGAACGTGTGATCCTCTTCCAGATTAAGACACCTACTATTTAAACTCATAATGGAAGTTCATTTGTTTTGGTAGTTGGCAAAATACGATGCTAAACTTTATTCCAATACAAGGTACAAAATGATAAAATTTTCAACGACCACTGTCGCCTTCATCAGGATTAAGTACTGACATGAAAGTCTTGTGTGAATAGGTCCAGTGTCTGGAACTCTCATGGATTACGTTCGGAAGTGTTTAGTTATTACTTTACCTGATAAAGGCGACAGTGGTTGTTGAAAATTTGATCCCTGTGTACCCTTGTGTTGGAATAAAGTTTAGCATCGTACTATAGTTTTATAAACTTTTTGTACCGACTCTCCCACACTCAGTCAATTCAAGACTCACTGCAGAAACAACCTTTTGTCCTGATTCTTTTACACTTGCACTTGAAAAAGAAAGAAAGGAAGAAAGAAAGAAAGAAAGAAAGAAAGAAAGAAAGAAAGAAAGAAAGAAAGAAAGAAAGGAAGAAAGAAAGAAAGAAAGAAAGAAAGAAAGAATGAAAGG